CGTGTTGCGGATTTCAACGTGGAGCATGTCCCCGAGCTCCTTGGCGAGCTTGGTGAGCTGGAGAGCACCGACGCCGTGCGCACAGTCGACGTACAGCGGCGTGCGCAGCTCGAGCTTCTAGTCATACGCCGATTGCATGAGGATACGAGATGGGGAATAGGTATGGGTGGTACCTTGGGGTCGACACCGGTCGTGAGCTGCTTGAACGCATCGACAAGCATGTTGTAGTAGCCCGCCTCGGACGCCCAGTCGCCCTTGTTGTACTGCTCGTGGTTCCACTACATCGCACCGCGTTACGCGCGTGTTCTTGTCCAAACACATACCATGCGGATGTAGTGGTGGAGCTGCGGCGTCGTCTGCAAGCCAAAGTCCAAGACATTGCCGCCAAGAAGGAGCGCGCCTTCGCGCGCGAGTTCCGACAAGTGCTATTGCATGCAGCGAATGATGCACGCATCCTAGATGAAGGTGAGAGGGTACCTCGCTCGAGACGCGCGTGTCCTTGGCAATAAAGATGTTGCCGGTCGTGTCCAGGTCGATCTTCTCGGCGCGGACGATGCTGTCGAGCACCTCGACGACCTTGTCCGTGTTGGCGTTCGCAAGCTGCATCGCGTACTTTTCCCACGACTGCGCGAGCATGCCGCCGTCCGCGTCGACGAGCTTGACACCGTTGTCGGGCGCCGCGTTGTGCGAGGCGGTGACCATGAGACCCGTGATCTTGTGCTCCTTCTTGGAGCGGAGGACTGCGAGCATGCCCATGCGGTGGAACGTCGAGCCGAGGATGTCGGCGTTGTCGCGGAAGCCGGCCGTGCCGTAGCCGAGCACCTTGTCCGCCAGAGCCGCGGGCTTGGCATGCTTGGGCAGCTCGTCCATGAGGCGAGGAACCTTCTCGAGGATGCTCGGGGCCGCGTTGATCGTCGGCGTCGGCGCGGGCGGGGCAGCAGCGGTCGAGCTCATCGCAGGTAGTGTCGTCTAAGCCCCAAGAGGTCGAACGGAAAGTGAAGGCGTCAACATCAAACGGCCTTGGTTATCCGGATGCATCCGCACCCAAATAGTGTGCTGCCCACCCTCCTCCTCGCACGACGCTGTCGCCATGCTAGGCAACCTAGCACCACATCGGACTCGCGTCCTGGGAGCAAATAACACTGCTAGTAAGGCTATAGCTGTGGGCTTTTAAGGCTAGCGCCCGTCCTTGTGGTGTCGTCCACTTCGAGCATCAATGTCTCTACAGAGCAAACTCCAACAGACAGATTGAGGCTTCAGCCTACGGGCTCCAATCCCATCTCATGCACGAAGAAGCGCATGGCGACCTCGCTCAATGCTGCAAGCAGCAATAGGTACACTGCCAGCAATCTCCGAGACGAGCTACTCGCTCGTCCCGACTTTTGTATTAGCCTGCGACCTGGTGTTGGCCGCGCCACTGAACGTAGCTGCTGCGTCGTGGCGCCACGTCACCTCTTGCAGGCTGCTGCCTTGCCCGCCATGGCGCGAGTAGGTACGCTGCTTGTAATCGCGGTAAGAGGGTTGGTAACATCATGACGCACAGTATTTCCTGTCCACACTATATGAAGGTGTGTTGTGCTCTGGAAGATTTGCGATCCGACGACTTGCGGCATGGACAAGCCGCGCTGGAGCCAAGGCCGGGCGCCGCCCAAGATGAGCGACGCGAAGAAGGTGCGCAAGGTCGAGATCCCGTTCTCGGCGACAGCCGCGTCCCAGTGGAAGCAGCTGCGGCAGACCGTCTCCGCCGCGCACCCGGAAGCGACGGCGCGCGCAGCCATCGCCCCCGTGCGCATCGGCGATCTCTGCAGCGAAGACAAGCACAAGGTCGGGAAGCTCGTGCGCCAGCTCATCAAGGTAAGCGGCGAAAACGACGCCAAGCGCTGCGAACTTCAAGACCTCTCGGCCAAGCACGCCGACCTGCAGCATCGCCACCAAGGTAACGCCCCCGATAGCCTCGTCCATGGCACTTGGACGCAGCATTAGACCTCGAGTCGAAGCTCAACCAAGCGCTCGAAGTGATCCAGACCTACCAAACTCGCATGCAGGGCTTGCAGAAAAAGTCCGAGCGGGAGCAGCTGCAGCTCGAACACGCCCTCGACGCCTTGGATGGCTGCCATGTACGACATCCGCACGACGGTGGCGCAACGATGATGAATGCAGTGACCGACTAGGTCGAACTGGCCGCCTTAAGGGAAGAGATCGCTCGCCACGACGACGCTCGTGCCCAAATCGAGGCCAGCCGCCGCCACGAAGTGCAGCAGCTGCGACTTGAACTCGACGCGCTGCGTCAGGAGCTCGAGCTCGAGCGAAGCAAGCGCCAAGAGATGACGTCGCAGTACGACACAATGGCCAAGGTGCTGGGTACCTCGACCCTGCAGACCGTGCGGCTCACGCGTGGATCCCAGGAACACGAGCGTTTGCATCAGTCCCTCGAGCACTCGATCGACCTCTCTTCGCTGCTCAACGTCACGTCGACACCGGACGCCAATGTCCAGCGCATTGTGCAGGCGTGGAAAAGCCGTCTCGAAGGTGCGCTTTTGACGCCCGAGACGGGCGCCCAACGGCTCGTTTTTGGCTCCGAGAATCGTCAGGATGTCGGGACGCAGTGGGAGACCCGCGGCCTCCTTCGCGAGGTTCATAGCGTCGCGTTAATGACCTTCGATGCGATGTGTGCGTAGGTTGGGTGCAACACCGAGGACATCGACCCTAGTTTGCGCCAACAACAGCATCACCTCTACGAGGGTCGAAGCGAAACACAGACCCCGGTGCTGCCGCCCTCGCTCGTCGACAGCGAGTATCGATGTATCAATTTGATACGGCGTTGACGAACGGTCACAGTAGGTTTTACGAGCTCTCGCTCTTTGAGCTCGTGAGTGCGCTCGAGGAGCACAGCACGGAGCCGCGACGATCGCCACGGCGAGTGCTGGAAACGACGCAGCGACCTCGCGCCAAGTGGGCCAACTCGTACTTTGACGGGCTGGCGCCAATCGGGGCAGGGCTGTCTGGCGACGTTGGCCGAGTGTCGCAGGGCCCGCTCTCGGCCGAGGAGCTCTCGATCCGCGACGCTGTGGAGGCCGATATGCAGGAAATGCTCTCCGATGCGAGTTTTGTGTTGTGCGACTTGAATCGCCAGTGAAGCGTCGAAGGGTTGTGCGATAGTTGTACTTCGTTATTTTACGAGATTTTGTTGACAGAAGGCGTCGACATGCTAATCTACTTGCGGGCCTTGTACTGCGCAGGCGTCTCGCGCTTGTCGAGGCTCCAGATATTGACGCGCTTCTCGCGGGCCTCTGCTTCGAGCGCCTCAAAGGTCTCGAGGAGGCCGCCGTAGACAGCGCCGCTCTGGCGGTAGATGTTGGCGTAGCCGTGGCGCAGGAGCTCCTCCGAGACATTCATTGGCGCCGCCCACGACCCATAGTAGACCAAACAAACTACAGGAAGAGCCATCGTCAGGAGGCACTTGGAATCGCATCGCACCTGCGCGGCTGTACTGGTCCTTCATGAGGAGCTTGAAGCTCACGACTTGGTCTTGCAGCTCGCCTTTAAGCCATGCTTTTGCCTCTTCGCCAAACGGCTGCCCGGTGCGTCCAAACTTGGCTGTCTCGGGGCAATCTATGCAAGTAGTATGAGTGCAACCTCGATACAATGGATGCAGGGTGACGTACCAACGCCAGCGACGCGCAACTGCAACGTGGTCTCGGTGAGCTTGCCCTTAAAGTCACCGTCGCCACTAATGGCATAGAAGAGATACGATGAGCTCGAGCCGTCGGCGCCAGCAAGCGTACTTGGCAAGCCACGGCACGTGTCGGACGCGGATCGTGTCGCCGTCCGTGACCGAGACGACCTTGCCGCGGAGTGTGCGCTCGTGCTCAAAGAACTCTTTCGGGATGTCGTTGACGGTCGAGAAGCGCTGGAACGGCTTCTGGAGGTGCGGGATGAGCAGGCCGAGGCCGAGGCCGACGGCGAACGCGAGGATCGGGATCCACACGGGCACTTCGAGCATCGCGAAGGATTGATGGAATGCGAGAGAGCCAAAATTCAGCCACCCGACCAGATGGCTTCGCCGGCGCCATGCTGCGATCGTGCAAATCTGTCGCCAACCCACCGCCCAGTCGCTCTTATGCAGTATGACATCGTCTTGGAAGAGAGCTCTGTATCCTGTGCATCGAGCGAGCCATGTCTTCCTTGCGCAGAACGGCGATTTGACACGCTTGCTTGGCCAACGCCTAAATATGGCTATATGCGTCTAAATATGTTATATGCCATATTTAGAAATCGGGTCGCTTGCGCGGGCTGTACACCTCGCCCGCCGGCACGACGTAGCGCACAGTGCCTCTTGGAGCAATCGCTATCGCTGGGCCACGTTTGAGCGATTTCAATTTCAGCGCGATTCGGTCGCTTGCCGAGCCTCGGCATCGCGAGCTCGGTTGTATCACACACATCCCACGTATATTTGCCTCATGCGTGTCATGTGGGATATGTGGGAAATGCGAAACTCCTCAAAGACGAAGCCTCCCCGATGCGAAACGGCGAAAGGGCCTCGGTGCGGGGTGCCGATGGACCCGCCGCCCGTGCAGCCGCCGACGCTGGTGACCGCGACCGAGATGGCCGACGACGTCGCTGCCGACGCGGTCGTCGCCGTCGTTGCCGCCGGAGCAGCGATCGTGTACGACAACTATTTAAACCGCCGCATCTTCAGCTACACGGCGCACCGCGTCGGCGCCGATGTGCTGGAGTTGGCTTCGGTCATTGAGCTCGCTCGGCGGAATCAGTGCGCTTTCCACGACGGCGGCGTCAACGCCGACGAAGGCCGCGCGCAGGACGTTGACCTCTGGGCTCGCAAGATGACGCCAATGAAACCTATGACCGCCAGTAACCACGGACCACTGAGGTACTAGACCCACTGTGGCGCTCGGCACAGAATGTATCTTGGTGGCTAGCCCATCGCGAGCAAGCACGGCGGCCAGCCATCACAGCGCCGAGCCAGGAGGCGTGGTTGCTCCAGCAGCCGTAGTCTCGTCGCACCCGTTTGTCGTGGTTTCACTGATGCGTGTAGAACGGAATCGAGACGCAGTCAGTCGGCTCTTCCAGCGCAACGTCGCCTCGAAGGCAGGTCTCGATGCAGGCGAGTCCCAACAAGAAGCGCATCGTCAAGGAAGCGCAGGTCGTGCATGTGCCCGAGCCCGAGTGCCCCGCGGACGTCCGGTTGGCCGAAGCCAGCCGGCGACAAGCCCTTCTTCGGCTGCTGCAAGAGGCGGCAACGCCACCCGAAGACGACGCACCGCTCAAGCCAGCACCCGAGCGGCGCCGAGCGCCAGTCCCGACGAAGAAGAAGCGCCCGAATACTCTGTCCTGCACGACGGCGCCAGCGGCCATCGACCCCGCCGACGACGCCGTGCTCATTGAATTCAATGTCTCTGACATTGGCGACACGCGCGTGCCAAGTCGGCGACGCCACTCTACGCGGCAACACGTCACTGCGACGCACGACCGTCCCCGGCCGTCCATTTCCGTACCCAGCATCGCAGAGCAGCGCAGCTTCCGGGAAAATGCGCAAATGGTACCCTCCTGATTTTGATCGCCCGCGCGAGGCAACGATTGTAGCGAATACCAGAGAACGCACTGCACTCGGTCGAGAGCCTCGCGCCGGTGCCAGGCGTCAAGGTGCGATACCCGTCTCGGGACGAAGACAGTCGACCATTGTCCGCGCGGTCGGCCGAAATGCCAGGTGCGTCTTGACACCACCAATAGTGGTATCTGCAGCACACATGTAGCCATCACCGCCAACGGGTCCAGCGCCAAAGACGGGTATGTACATGACCCGAGTTCATGGCGCCTGATGCGGTGCGGTCGGTAGCGAAACCCGCGCCGCCACGGCCCAGTCGTGCGCCAGCAGCGCTGGAAAGCGAACCACCACGAGAGAGGCCGCTTGCAACCCGTCCACGGGGGTGGGCACCTCTGCGTCGACCTTGTGGAAGCCCAAGAAAGTAAGAGAGCATGTCTTTGGTGCCGATCGAACGCTTCCTCGACAGACCAAGATCCAAGACCGACAGACGCAGCCGATTCCTGTCACCCGCAAGCAGCCACAGCGCAGCCATCCACAGTACATTATCGTGCAGGTACGTCGTGACAATCACCGTCTCGTACGGGGGACATGGGTTGTCGTAGGAGTGTTCGCCACCTACGCGTGCATGTCAAGTCGTTCGGGTGCGTTCTCTTTTACGACGCAGATGTACATGACTGCACGCTATAGGTCGTATCACCACCCAAGCCCACCAAGCCGCCGTCACAGACCACTGCGTCGCGTAGGCTGCAGCGCGCTCTCGACGGTGTATTGACTGTCCTACTACGTAGCTCTGATTTGCCGCCGCACCAAGCTCAAGTGACGCGTCGTACAATGCGCACCGGTCGCTCCACCAACATCCTCCACCAACACACTTAAATAGTGCGATTACCAGGATTCCCATCATGTCTCGACTGTCCAGTTTGATGTGTACCTTCAAAGCCATAGAGATTTCACCTTTCATACACCAGAAACATCAATCAGTGGGATCAAAACTGGGTACAAGTCTCTACTGAATGACGCTGTCGAGAATCGCGGTCGCGTACGTTGGCGAGCCCATCTCCATGGCCTCTTGGTGCAACTTTGCTTTGCGCTGGCTGGTCACGAGTAGAGCCATGACGACCTTATCTTCGCGCTCCTTCTTTTCCTTCTCGACCTGCGCCTTGGACTTCCACCACGCCCTTTTGGGCTTGGTCGTGAGCACATCCGGGTTGTCTTCGAGGATCGCTTGCTGCTCACGGTAGCGGCGCTCGAGCTCCTTCTCTTCTTGGAGCGCGTTGACCGCCTCCCGGAGCGCGACGAGCTCACTCTCGCGTTCGAGCTCCTTCTTCTTCTTCTCGCGGAGACTCTCTGCGATGCCGTCGCGGTGGCGCTCGAGCCCCAGCAGCAGCACGGACGGCTTGGCCTCGACCGTTTCCTTCGTCACAAGGTTGTAGTAAAGGTGTCCACCCCGCTTCTCGTCGAAAATCTCAACCCAGTCGCCGGCCGTTGCCGCGTCTTTGCAGAGAATGTACGTGTGGTCGGCCTTGCGCCCGCGGGCGTGCTCGAGCTCATAGCACGCAACGCAAAAGCTGTCGCCGCAGAGGTTGCAGAGACGGACCGCGACATCGACGTCGCACCGAATGCAGTACGTCTCGAGCGGTCCCAAGTCCACCTTGAGCACGTTGAGAAGCTCGATGGTATGGAGCTTCTTCTTCCCAGAGGCATGAACAGCTGCGGCGCAGTCGGAGCAAAACTTGTCGTGGCAGTCGTGGCAGATACGCTGCGCGACGCAGCGCTCACTCGCGGGGCAGTGCGAGCACAGTGACGCACTGGAGCTAAAGTGCAGTGGCTTGTGCGTCAGTCCTTCGGCCGTCGCGTGTCGCGAATGAAAGCAGTCGTCGCAGCTGAAGCGTGTGCCAGCGTCGCACGCCGCGCAGTGGTACGTGGCGAAGGCGTCGCAGTGTTGGCACATGGCATGCTACGCACGTTTGGTAGAATACCAAGAGGAAGGAAGGACGGGCTGTACCTCGCGCGTGCCGTTGGCTTGAAGCGGCTTGAAGTCGTGGGTGCGCTTGGTCTCGGCGCGATGCTCCTTGACAAAGCACGACGAGCAGTACGCGACGTTTGGCGATGGACACTGCACACACTCTTTGACCGCGCTGGCCTTCTTGCAGCGCCAACAGAGACGCTTGGTAGCCTCTGGTACCGCCGACGTCGCCGGCTGGGGGGTCGCTGGCTCGGGGGTAGCTGGCTTGGGGGTGGAGGGCTTTGGTGTGGAAGGGGTCGCGACGGGCTCGGGCTCCTTGGGTGGTGCTATCGTTGTTGCGTCACGAGCAGGTGATGCGTCGCCGGTCGGTGTCCATTTTGTCTCGCCCGTCGCGCGGTTGTGAAAGTACATTTGGCCCGTGTTGGGGTTGTACAGCTCTTCCCACGCATCCGGAATCTTGGGCGGCGCGTCGTCTGCCTTCTTGGCCGCTCGCACGCGCAGCATTTCGCTAGGAATCTCCCACGACGTCTCGCCCGTGAGTCGGTTGCTGTAGTAGACGTAGCCGTAGTTGTCCGTCACTTCGTCCCATGCGCTCGCTTTTGCATCGGCCATTTGTTTCTAGTTCATTTTCAAGAATAAGATCGCATCTCCATGTAGGTCAAGGTTACGTTGGCGTCGGCAATGCGCTGCTGGAGCTCCAACGCTTCGGCTTGGGCACGCGCGAGGTCGGCTTCGGCGCGGGCGATGCGCAGCGCGTGCTCGAGCGCACGCTCCTTCTCGACTTCGGCGCGGAATTTCTCCATGTCGACGTCCATGAGCCACTTGTCCTTCGCTTCGCGCGCCGCCAGCGACCGCTTGTACGCGAGTGCCGTCTCCTGTCGGCGGATGAGTCGCCTCTTTTTCCATTTGTGCTTTTCCGTACGTGGTGCTGCTTGCGCGCTCGGACCTTGGCAACGAGGGCCCGGCCGATGCGCCCGCGAACCCGACGCTGGATGTGGGTTGCGCTCGCAGCTTCCAAAAGGTCCCGCCGGTACTTGGCCTACGAACGGTGAGGTTTCTTCGAGCAACGAAGATATGGCGACCTCGAGAAGGAGGTGGTAGGCGAAGCGCCCGTTGCGGCCGCGGTAGAGACACTGGATGCGCGTTACGGCGCGGTCTTCGTGCTGCATGGCGAGCGTCGCGGCTTCGATGCCGGTGTCAATGGCGGCCACGTGTGCCAGTGTGAGCGCCGAGAGGGGCAAGCTACTGAGAAGCTTTGCGAGTGGCGACGGAACCCGGCGAGTCGTGCGCCGCTGCTGTGTCAGCACGATTTGCTGCGCGCGGTGCAGCGCCCGCAGGGACGATCGCGATTGGTTGCCGCGCAGTCTACGCACAGGTTAGTCCACGGAGCTCTTTATCTACAAGCCACGGCAGCACCGGCTTTGAATGCGACTGGCCGACCGCTGGCGCTCCTCGGCCGCAATGCGCTGGGCCTCGGCTTGAGCTTTGGCGCGCCGCCGCCCCATTCGGCCCCGCTGGATCCGCTGGATCGTGACGGCGGCTGCGTGCTGCTGTGCTTGGCGTCGACGCAGGTCGGCCTCACGTCTTCGCCGTACCGCCCGGGCAAAGTGTTGTCGCACCATGCACTGGATCGAAGTGGCGGCCGCATGCGAGGCCGCGAGATGGGCGCGGACGCGGTAGCCACGGTAGAGGCACTGGATGCGCAACGCGCTCTCGACTTGCTTGCGCGCCCACGCCACCTGCCGCGCGGCTTTCTCGTGCCGAGCCTGTCGCTCTCGGCGCAAGATGCCAACGCGCTTGGTGGCGTCGAAGCACCGAAACGCACACTGGATGCAGACGGCAGCGTCAAGGCGACGGGCCGCGAGCCGCTCTTTCTGGGCCAAGAACCGCAGATGCAGTGCAAACCTACATCGTTTACATGTCAAGAGGTATGCAAATCAGGTGTCGCACCGGCCCGTGGACTTGCGCCACGAGGCTTGGACCTGCCGCGCCGCTGCGTCGAGAGCGATTTCGTAGCGCCGGCTCTGTGCACGTCGTCGGCCTAAGATGCCGCGCGCGAGTCGCTGGATCGTGGTGGCTGCCGCCTGCCGCTTGGCTTCGATCTCGGCCAGCAGTCGTTGCTTGGCCAAGTAGCGCTCGCGCTCCGCTTGCTCCTACGACATCGTGAGGCGACGCGAGGCAACGCGAGGCTACGGCGAGCGTCAACTGGCGCTTGGCGAAGCGCGTTGCGAGCACTTTCTGGCCCTTGCTCGTGCGCCACGCATGCTATCGAACATGCAATGGTCCAAGCGCCACGTGGCGATATGGAGTACGTACTTGGATGATGAGAGCGTTCTCGCTGCGAATGCGCGCGCGCATGCGGGCGTCGTAGAGAGCAATCTTGGCCAAGTAGACGCGCACGGCGCTCTGCATCACAATGGCGGCGGCGTGCAAGGTGGCGAGGTACAAGTGCTCGGCTTGGACGCGCGCGAGCTCGGCTTCGTGGCGAGCAATGCGCAGCTCGCGCACTGAGCGGCGCGTGCGGTGGCCGCGGTACCGGCGCTGGATCGCGATAGCGCACGAGGCGTAGAGCTGCGCCTCGATGGCTTGGCGGTCGCGGATCGCAGTGGCTTGGCGGCGGATCATCCACAGCTGCGCGTAGCCCGTGGCTTCGAACCGAAGGAGCTACCGTGGTCCGAATTTAGTACTTTGTCAAATGCAATTGAGTGTGTACGTCCAGAACGAGCTGTGCATCGCGCGCCTGACGGGCATCGCGAGCGAGCTTGAGCTGGGAGAGCACGGCCATGTCGCTGCGACGAGCATGAGCCAGCGACGAGACGCACCATCGACGCACCGCCGTCGTTTGACGTGCACTTGGATGCGGATGGCGGCGCGGTTCCGCTCGGCCGCCACGAGTGCCCGCGTCGTGTCGACCCACCTACGCGGACTCGGTGACGCGTCAGCCACGCAACGAAAGACGACCTTGTGTACGCCGTGCGCAGATTGCCGAGCAAGCAGCCGCCCGCGACGCGTTCCAAGAGCTGGACGGCCCGCGTCTGCATCTGTGCGTGGACTCGGGCCTTGGTTTCGGCGGCGCGCAGCGACGTTCTACGCCAGGCCGTGAGCAAGCCTGTCTCGTCTGAGCCACGTACGTGTGGTGCTTCCAGCGTCGGAGACCTTCGTCGAGGTACTTGTTCTACCATGCATGTCAGAGGAGGAGAACGCGGGGAGTCCAACTTGGAGCTTGGAGAAGACTGCCATGATGGTCGCGACGCCCTTGGCTCTGCAGTACTCGGTCATGTTGTGCTCAAAGAGGAACGTGAGCGGCAGCGTCGCGCGCTGCGCTTCGATTTGCTGCGCCAGCAGCGTCTACGTGTCGCAACTCATGAGTCGGCGCAGACGACGACAGACGGCTACACGCAGATGGCTCTCGTCGTTCTCGGCGACCTGGCGCGCGGCGTGGAGGCGCCGCGACGTCGGCGCTTCCTTCCGCGTTGCCATGCTACGCGTCTCGTCAAGCGGTCATGACTTTGCGAGCGAGACACGTACGTGGCCGTCTGTCTTTTCCGGCTCGTGAGCTCGAGCACGGGCGCCTGCCACGGCTTGGCGCACACAAGGGTCTTTGTCTCGTGGACGATCGCATCGAGGCTGTCGATCGCCGCTTTCGGCCGCGTGCGCTGGGGCAGCTCCTTGAGCACGACGGCGTCCGTGACCTTGTCCCGGCTATGCGCAAGGACCATCTTGCGACCTGCCTCGCGGGCTGCGTTGGTCCGCGGCTTGGACCGCACGTCCTCGTCGCGGGTCCACTCAAAGGGCTCGCGGAAGTCGGCGAGCGTCGCGTCGTTGACGGTCAGCCACGGGTACTTGGTCCCGAGGCCGCGCAGATCCCACGCCGCCATGCCGGTTAGAACGCGCCGGTTTCAACGTAGTATATTCTTGAAAAGATGGGCAACGCCAACAGCAGCGTGGACCTCACGGACGGGACGGGCCGCGTGACGGAAGCCGAGAAGCGCGCGCTCACGCGCTTCACGGAGCCCGAGATCCACGTGATGCGCGAGATGTACCGCGGGATCACGCACGCGTCGAGCGAGTCGGGCGTCAACAAGGCGAGCTTCCTCAAGATCTTTCCGCTGCCCGGCCTCCTCGGCGGTGCGCACGGGGTTCAACATGCGCGGCCTCATTTCGCCATGTCTAGAGCGACTGTTCGCCGTCTTTGACAAGAATGCGTCGGGCACCATCTCATTCTACGAGCTCGTCGCGGGACTCGCGGTGCTCTGCCGGTACGACGCGACGACGCTATGGAGCTTATCAGTGCTTAGCGGCTCGCGCGAAGAGAAGCTCAAGTTCATTTTCGATTTATACGATGTGACCGAGTACGTCGACATCGCGGTCCTGGCGAGCGTGAGCTGCAAGTGGCGTAGGCGCGGCGCGATCTCCAAGCGCGACATGATCACGATGATCCACCAGTTTCCGCAGTCGGCCATGTGCTTCCTCCGCGGCTTCTCGATGGACCCGAACGTACCGGCGAGTGACGTGGCGACGGTACGATGCGATGCAATGGAAAAAGGCGAAAAGGAAGGCAGGACTCGGCGTTTGAACTGGCGGCGCACGAGATGGACTCGGTCGAGAAGCTCGTCGACGATGCGTTCGCTGCGCACGCGAAAGGTGACACGATGGCGTTCCCAGAGTTCCTCGCGTGGTGCAATGACTCGCCACTCGTCTCCGAGGTACCCGTACATATCTGCCTTCGCAGATTGCGACAACAAAAGTCTAGTTTCTCATGAGCATCCTTCCGGTCGAGACGACGAGCGAAAAGAGCGCTGGCAACAAGCACGCCGCGTACGCACTACACCTCGAGAACGCCTAACCCTAGACGGACCGTGTGCTAGGATCTCGCCGCTGCCGCCGGTCAAGGAAGTCCCGCCCATGGCACGCCGCAATTCATCGTCGTCTGTCATTGTGCGCACCGAGAAGCTCTATTCATTCAAACGGTACGCTTGCTCGCCAGAAGCAGCCTCGTTCTCAACGACGATGCCCAGGCATGTGCAGCGGGACACGAAAGCGCTCCTGCTCGAGGTGCCGATATCTGTCTCTTGAAGAAGGTTGTGACGTCGTCGTAGGCCAAGAAGTCGACGTCGACGCCGTCCGTCGTCGCAGCGATCGACGCTGTAATCTCGCATCCTGCCGTAGCCATATCAACGCGCCACTGTACGTAGGCCATCGCTGAAGTCGACAAGGTCGCCATCAAGAGCCTTGGGAAGCTCCGCATGAAACGAGCATCCGTGCTCGAGGTCGTGCACCAGGGGTGCCTCTGGAAGAAGGGCACGCGCTTGAAGCAAATGAAGACGCGCTACTACCTCCTCAAGGGCAACTTTCTCTACTACTTTTTGTATGTCAAATCCACCGACCCTTCCTCACCGTCGAGGCGTAGGGCCCAAGAGGACACGCGGCCGAAAGGCGTCATCTTCATCTCCGGCCGGTACGTCGAGGCCAAAGCCAACAGCGCGATGGAGAAGCAAGGCTTCTTTGAGATTGAGATGAGCACGGAAAATGGCGACGAAACCGAGAAGCGGTACCTCTACGCCCGCTCGCAAGCCGAGTGCAACGCGTGGGTCGCCAACCTCAAGCAAGCCACGTGCAAGCTCGCGATCGACGAGTTCTATGCGCTCGGGCGCGAGCTTGGCCACGGCCGCTTCTCGCGCGTTCTCGAAGCCACGCACCGCGTACTTCTCTGACCGGTTGAGATGGACATGGCCAAATGGCGTGTGGATAGACCAAGAACGTCAAGTGCGCGGTCAAAGTCATGGACAAGACGCAAATGGGCGCGCAGGAGAAGGAGCTGCTGCGCACAGAGATTGCGATTTTGCGGCTCGTCAAGCACAAGCACATCATTCGCCTCTATGTACGACGACATCCTATTCACTATGCAAGGAGCAACGTCATGCGGTTGTAGGACGTCTTTGAGAGCAAGCAAAACATCTACATCGTCACGGAGCTCCTCACGGGCGGCGAGCTCTTCACCAAGATTGTCGGGCGCGTCCGGCACTCGGAAGCCGTTCGCAGCGTACTTTGGCTGGCATTTTGCTCATTTGGTCCGTTTAGGAGACGAAGGCGGTGATGCGGCCGCTCTTTGAGAGCGTTGCGTACTTGCACAAGATGGGCATTGCGCACCGCGACATCAAACCTGGTCTCAACTTGATATCTTGATGCATTGCCATGGACGAGTGGAGTAGAAAACATCCTCTGCGGCGAGAACCTCACGGATTTGCGCATTGCGGACTTTGGCCTCTCGAAACTCGCGCACCCGCACGAGATCATGACGATGCCGTGTGGGACGCTGAGCTACTGCGCGCCCGAAGTGCTCGCGCAGAGTGGGTACGGCAAGGAGGCCGACATTTGGTCGCTCGGCGTCATCATGTACCTCCTGCTCCGTGGCGAGCTCCCGTACTTTGGCAAGACCAAGCAAGAGATCATTCAAAAGACTCTGCACGCCGAGGTCGACTGGGACGGCGACGCCTTCTGGGGCTCCATTTCGACGCTGGGTACACTCTCATAAGCTCTCCCCCGTTACACGCGATGGATGTGTAGCCAAGGACTTGCTGCAGAGCGCGCTCACCAAGGTGCCGGCCAAGCGCATTTCGGCGGCGGCCGCGACGCAACACCCGTGGTTCCAAGCCCAAGGCTAATCCGCTTGGGTTTTATGATGAGCACTACTACATCGATATATCTACCAAAATATACAAGAGCGAGGGCGCTTAGGCGTACGGGCAAGGCACCTTGTCCATCTCGACGTAGACCGACTTGAGCTGCGTCCACGCGTGCGCGCCCGCGACGCCGTTCTCGCGGCCAATGCCCGACTGCTTGTAACCGCCCCACGGCAGCTCGACAGGCGCAATGTTGTACGTGTTGATCCACGACGTGCCGACGGCCAGGTGGGCGATCGTGCGGTGGGCGCGGCGCAGGTCGTTGGTAAAGACACCGGCCGCCAGGCCGAGCGGCGACGCGTTGGCGCGCGCGACGACCTCGTCCTCCGTGTCGAAAGGCAGGATCGCGCAGACCATACCAAAGATCTCTTCCTGCACAATGCGCATCTCGTCTGTGCAGTTGGTAAAGATGGCCGGCAAAATGTAGTTGCCCGCGTCGCCGACGCGCGTGCCGCCGTAGAGCAACGTCGCGCCCTCGAGCTGGCCCTGCGTGATGTAGCTCTCGACCTTGGCGACATGGGCCGCATGGATCATCGGGCCAATGTCACTGGTAGGGTCGAGGTTGTCGCCGATACGGAGACGCATCGTGCGCTCGACGAGGCAAGCGACAAACGGCTCGAGGATCTCGCGCTGGACAAAGACGCGCGTGCCGTTCGAGCACACTTGGCCGTTGGAGAACCAGTTGCCGAGCATAGTGCCCGAGACAGCTTCGTGGATGTCCGCGTCCGCGAAGACGATGAGCGCCGACTTGCCGCCGAGCTCCATGGTCGCGGGCTTGAGCCCCTCGGCGCAGGCCGCGTACACGCGCTTGCCCGTCGCTGCCGAGCCCGTGAACGACACTTTGCGCACCGCGTCGTGCGCTACGAGCGCAGCGCCGACGCTCCCGGCGCCAAGGACGACGTTGAAGACGCCCGGCGGCACACCTACGCGGTCGCGCGTTGAGCAGAGGGCGATGCAACGGCGAAGCTAAACCTGCGTCCAAGTAAATTTGTGCGAGGCGGAGCGCGGTCAGCGGTGTCTCTTCGGACGGCTTGAAGACCATCGAGTTGCCAAACGCGAGGGCAGGTGCACTCTTCCACGCCTACAGCACCGCTCGTGAGCGCACGGGCATGACGCTTTGAGGATTGTACAGCGCTCTGGAGCGGGTAGTTCCATGCACCAATACCCGCCGTGACGCCGAACGGCTCGCGCCGCGTGTAGCCCCAATTCGGCGACTGCACATCGAGCATTTGTCCACCAAACGTCGGCGCAATCCCGGCAAAGTGCTGTAGGCAGTCGACCGCGCTGGCAATGTCGCCCTCCATCTCGGCGATGACGCGGCCCGTGTCGAGACTCTCGAGCTTCTGGATCTCCGCGCTCTGCTCCGAAATGAGATGTGCGGCGCGGCGCAGGATGTCGGAGCGCGTGGCCGGCGCCAAGCTCGCCCACGCGGGCTGCGCGGCCGCCGAGCTTTCGACGGCGTCTTGCACCTGGCTCGCCTCGAGCTCGTGGTACTGCGTGATGGCGACGCCGGAGCGCGCGTCCAAGAGCGAGCGCAAGGCGCCGCGGCCTTCTATGGCGCGGCCGCCGACGAGCGACTTGAGGTGGCGCACGGCAGTGGCAGTCATTGTCGGCCGCTCGATCTTTTTTTCCCAGGCTGGGCCCAGCCGGTCCCATGGCTTTCGGTTTAACCGTATGGTTGGCGCTGTATTATAAACGGAATAATATATTAATAAAAAGATACGCTTCCCAACGTGGCAGCTGGAGCGACGGGCTGGCTTCCGCGCCATGCATGAGGTGCGCTTGACCGTCTTTGGCGTCTCGAGCGTACCTACCACGGTCCATACAAGAGCTCCTGTACATCGTTGCCTTGTCGCTGGTTCCACTTCTCGCGGGGGCATCACCCGCGCACCAGCCGACATGCAGTACTTGAAGAGCGTTGCAACGGCAGCAGTGTAGCGTCGCTCGAGCACGCGTACGTAGGGGTGCCATCGAAGGGGTTACTCCTGGGTTCAACTGAGAGCAGTGCTTCCCGAGGCGCACTCTCCGCCATAATACTCGTCCAGGTCCGTCGCATACGCTCTGATCCTGAGGATCGCGATTGATAATTCCAGTGCGTCATGCAGTCTCTTCTATGCACGCGGCTACTCGGTACTCGACGCTCGCTGCTTGAGAGCGGCCGAGCGGTTGAGAGTCGGAGGTGCAGGATCTCGCTGGACGCTACGCCATACGAAGAAGACTACCGCTTTTCTTCCAGGCACCGTGTCCGTGGCTGCGTGCAAACCACGTTCCCCGAACGGTCGGCCGCTGCCGTATCCAGCGTTGTCTCTGCTTCTCGTACTAAGAGCAGTGCATCATACTGATATCGGCGGCACCGAAGCACACTTGGTTCTGCGTCCCCAGCTGGTCACGCACGACGGCGGTAGCTCCATCTTTGGCCGACCCATTCTGCATCTGCGTTCTCCGGCCAGCAGGTTTCGTTGCCGATGCACACGCAGGCACGCCATTTCCGAACTTTCAATGGAGTCGACTCTCTTCAGCAACGACGAGATCCTCTTCCTCACGACGCTCTTCAAGGACGACGTGATGGCGCCCAACCTCTTCGCGATCTCGCTCGACTCGGTTGAGACGCGCCCTCCGCTCTTGCCGTCGTCGTTTCAGGCGCTTACGCCACCTGCGTCTTCGACCATGCTCCGCCCTACGCTTAGCTTCAGTCCGCTGGAGAAGACGAGAGCCAGCATGCCGCCGCTCAAGGGCCCATCCCTCGCGCCCAAGCAGCTCTTGCCGTCGACACCTGGGTCCTCGAGCCGTGGCCTCTGCCGCGTGCCGCATTGCACCAAGCGCATTCGGTCGAAAGGCCTCTGCAAAGCCCATGGCGGCGGTCGCAAGTGCATCATGGCCGGCTGCGGCAAGGGCGCGCAGAACGGAGACTACTGCATCGGACACGGCGGCGGCAAGCGCTGCAAGCACGAGGCGTGCACGAACGCAGCGCAGTCACAAGGACTCTGCAAGGCCCATGGCGGTGGGTCGCGCTGCAAGGCCGACGGATGCATGAAGAGCAGTCAAGGCCGTGGCTACTGCCGGTCGCACGGCGGCGGGCGGCGCTGCGAGGCGGTCGGTTGTTCCAAAGGCGCGCAGCGCGGCAGTTTTTGCGCAACGCACGGCGGCTTCCGGAGCTGCCACGTCAAAGACTGCACGCGCACAGACCGCGGCGGCGGCTACTGCGAGGTGCACCGCCAAGACAAGCTGTGCATCGTGGCCGACTGCAAGAAGCTGCAAAAGTCCAAGGGCATGTGCACTGCGCACATCCGGGAGCTGCGAGCCGACCACAACTGCTGATTTATTCCAAGTGCTGCGTGTCCATGTCAATAGTAGTCTCTTTGTTGCTCTCCTTTTGGCTACTCGCGGACTTCGGTGGTCCACGGAACCGGCTTCGGCAGGATTCGCGCCGAACCTTCCCCGCCTGTACGGTACACGCATCCTTGCAGTGACACTGCAAGGAGGACAAGGTGTTCCAGCGCATCAAAATCAGCAACGAACCAAGTGTCAACCTTGCACGTCGGAGCTGCGGGGAGAAAAAGATATCTGGCTCGTCCCACAGTGCGGGCACGGTATGAGTCAACGTGCGAGATGCAGTCATACGGATTGCCTCAGCGGCCGAGGAACACCATTGAATGGGAGATGCAGTGCGACAGGTCTGGAGCTGTCGCCGCACTGCTTTGACAGAGTAATCGCGACGGGCAGCGCGCTTGCACCCCACTACAGTACGCACGAGTAGCTCGTGACAGCGCCGCTTCTCTCACTCTACTACGTTCTTAGTTGGCGGCGCGTGTTGCGAGCGTCGAGCGGTGGTTACGGGTCGCAGGGATGCAATAAATGCGCCAGCCGTTTCGATACAAACACCGTATACAGACACCGTCATTTAATAAAATACGCAAGAAGTTTCTTTGACGGTCCAAAAGCGTTGGCTTTTTAGCCAATCACATCGCGGGGTCAGCGCAAGATCCGTCATCGTCGCCTTGAGGCAATCCTTGGTCATTCCACAAATTGAACCAAGCATGGGGTTGCTCGTCGTGGGCACGCCGCTGCCCTGGGACGACGCGCTCCAGTGGCTCAAGCACGTCCGCCGCAATGGCATCCTGCAGTTCCTCGAGACGTACCACCGTGTCAAGGACATCCGCGGCGATGTCTTGAAGTGGGGCGACGAGCTTGAGTATGGCATCTTTGAGCTCGACCACGACGAGAAGACGGTGCGCCTCTCGCTCCGTGGCTCTGAGATCTTGCGCGAGCTCATGGACAAGGAAGAACGCTTCCACCGCGCCGACCACGCCGAAGAAGAGTGCAACTGGGTGCCCGAGTACGGCGCCTGGATGGTCGAAGCCACGCCGCGCGTGCCGTACGGTGGCTTTACGTCAGACCTTCGCCGCGTCGAGCAAAGCATGCGTCTTCGCCGTGCGCGGCTTCTCTCGGTGCTCAAGCCCAACGAGATCGCGCCCACCGTCACAGCCTTCCCGCTGCTTGGCGTCGGCGACTACATCACGCCGCCCGTCGTCAAGCGCGGCCCGATCGCCAACTCGCTGTACATTAGCGACACCATCATCAACCCGCACCCGCGCTTTGGTACGCTCACGGCCAACATCCGCAAGCGCCGCACCGAGAACGTCGACATTCGCGTCCCGATCTTCAAGGACGTGTTTACCAAGCAAATGCTTGACGACGAAGCCGCGTGGGTCGCCGAGCACGCGCGGCCGACGTACGGCGACGCGACGTCGGGCATCAAGAGCCCGCTCAAGGAAGGCTCGCGGAGCCCGACGAGCGCCAAGGACATCGAGGTCGCGGTCGCGCCCGAGCCCGTGTTTGCGCGGCTCACGCGGCGCCAGTCGTCGTTCTCGGAGCAGTGCGAGCCGTACCCGGGCTTCATTCACATGGACGCGATGGCGTTTGGCATGGGCATGTGCTGTCTCCAGGTGACGTTCCAGGCCAAGAACATTGGCGAGTCGCGCCACTTGTACGACCACCTCGGCGTGCTCTCGCCCATCATGCTCGCGCTCACGGCCGCAACGCCGATCCTCAAGGGCCGTCTCGCCGACACGGACGTGCGCTGGGCGACGATCGCCGCCTCGGTCGACGACCGCACGCCCCAGGAGCGCGGCGCTGCGCCGCTCGAGACAGCGCCTCCGAGCTACAAGCAGATGGCTGGCGACGGCGTCAAGCGCTTGCCCAAGTCGCGCTACGAAGGCATCTCGGCGTTCATTTGCAACCACAAGGACGGCGACGACTGCCACGCGAACCTCGACCACTACAACGACGTCGAGATCCCGTTTGACGCAGAGTCGTACGCGACCTTGCTCTCGAACGGCGTCGACGACGTGCTGGCGAAGCACATTGCGCACCTCTTCATCCGCGACCCGCTCGTGCTCTTTGAGCAGCGCCTGCACCTCGACAACAAGACGGCGACCGACCATTTCGAGAACATCCAGTCGACCAACTGGCAGACGGTGCGCTGGAAGCCGCCGCCGCCGCCGGCCGCAGACGGCGCCGCGTCGCCGCACATTGGGTGGCGCACCGAGTTTCGGTCGATGGAAATCCAGCTCACGGATTTCGAGAATGCAGCATTCAGCGTCTTTATGGCCCTCGTGTCGCGCGTCATCTTGGCGTTCGACCTCAACTTGTACGTCCCGCTCTCGAAAGTCAACGCCAACATGGAGATTGCGCACCGCGTAAACGCAGCGACCGAAGAGAGCTTCTTCTTCCGCCGGCACCTTGCGCCGCCTGACGTCGACGAGTGCCACAAGGCCGGCTGCCACGTCCAGTGCAGCGCAACGTGCGTCGACGATGCGGCCAAGTGCATTCACGGCGCCGAGAGCTTTGAGACGATGACGATCGCCGAGATTATGCTCGGAAAAGGCTGCTACTACCCGGGGTTGATCCCGCTCGTGAACGCGTACCTTGACCACATCAACTGCGACGACACGACGCGCCGCTTGTTGGACAAGTACCTCGCGCTCATTGCCAAGCGCGCGACGGGCGAGCTCCCGACCGCGGCCACGTGGATGCGCCGGTTTGTGTGCTCGCACCCGGACTACCACCACGACTCGGTCGTCTCGCCGTCGATCGCACACGACCTCATGGACGTCTGCGCCAAGATTGGCGAGGGCGCGCTGCAGTGCCCCGAGCTCCTCGGCGACGTGCGCGTCGAGCCAATCCGCGGCAACACGGCGTACCAAGTGCCACTCAAGAGCGAGAGCGTGGATACCACCAAGCGCTGCGAACTGCTCCGTCGCTACGTCCAGCGCGGCGGCGATGCCCAGTCGTAGTCTATACACAATACAACCACTAACCTAGCTGCCTGTCTGCATCGTTGGTTGACTTAGTTGTCGACGCTGCTACGAGGCGCGTCAGTCGCGTACGCCGTGTACTTGAGCGCCGAGCCTTGGACCTGTGCACGCGTGAAATGACGTTGGAAGCGCGCAGGAATACCTGGGCCGCAGGGTACTTGATGGTGTTCTTCTTGATCTTGTCGAGGGCGGCGGCTGGCAAGTCGACGTTGCATCGGTCTAGAAGACGTAAGAGACCAGATCATCGCTTGATGATCTTCTACCGGCGAGGCGGATGAGGTAGATCAAGACGTCGCTGAGCTCTTCGCCCAAGTGTTCGCGGTCCGCGGCCGTCCACGCTACGATGGCGACCTTGAGCACAAGCCGTTGGCCAAGCATTTGCACGTACTATCCGGGTGTTGGCCATCGTCGCCACGCCACTGGAAACACTCGCAGAGCTCGCCGACTTCGCCCGTCATGGCCAAGAGCAGGTTGCGGGGCGTGTGGTGCTGGACCGCCCAACATCACAAAAGAACCGGTGAATGCGCAGATGGTACCTTGTTCCAGTCGCGCTCGTCGGCGAAGGCGGCAATCTTCCCGCGAAGACCCTCGAGCGTCAGCGTCGGCTCGAAGCGCGCGGCGGAGGTCGTCTGCAGCTTGTCCTCGTCGCTGCTCATCGTGCTGTCTTGCCACACGTCGGCCAAATATCCGGATACGGACCAGACCCTCGGCATCTGGCGCCATCGCCGGCACGGAGGTCAAGCCTCTCTTCAGCTGCATAGATATGGATTGAAGGCCCGTTCGACGGCAACTTGAGCACAAGTATTACCAGGTAGCAAGCGTCTCCAGCGCGACGCCTGTCAGCGTACAGCGGCAGCATTTAAGCAACGAACGCCCGGCTTCCTGCTTGCCTCGAACGCAGCGACAAGCTGGCGATGGATCAAGCATACAGTAGAGAAGGCGAGAGCGGGACGATCGCCCATGGAATGGATCGGCAGTATTATAGCTAGCGCAATGGAAGGCGCCTGGCATCGTGCCACGTACGACGCTCTAAATTGTGTGCGTTTAGCCAGCCGTGATCGACCAACCAATAGAAACCGAGAACGAGACCATGGGAGTGCTCGTGCCCGAAGATCTGGCGGGGACGACTTACCGCGGGTTCCTCGACGTCGCCGACGACCGCCAGTTCCTCGTGCGCGTGACCAACGTGCACGGCCAGAGCCTCAAGGCCGCCGGCCTCGAGCTCGACGACCAGCTGGCGCAGCTGCTGCGCCCGCACATGCCCGTGGTTGCCCGGCGCCTGCAGCAGAGCCCGACGCTTGCAGCCTTCATGCTCGAGCTCCACGACCTCACGACAAGCGCCTTGCGAGCGCCTTCGTGCGCCCTCGATGTGCACGCGCCGGCGCTCGCATTCTTTGAGACGCTGCTCAACGACGTGGCGCAGATCGGCTGGGACCGCATCGCCGAGGTCAACACGGACGGCGTCGGTAACTGGAACGGCCTCCAGGTCAAGGTGGTCGACGCCAAGCAGCGCACGCACATCGTCTCGTTTCTCATGGACGCAGCGTACCCAGCGTCGCCGCCGCAGTGCGCCGCCGACATCCCCGAGCCCATGCCGCCGCTCCAGTGGTCTGGCACGAGCACCCTTGCCGACGCGCTCGACCAGGTCCTTTTACGATTGCAGGCGGCAGCAGGATTCAGATGCGCTCTGCGGTTGTAGGTCACGACGGTCTTGGCCAAGTACCAAGACTTTTGGGACGTTCTTGACGACTTGGACAAGAAATGTTACGTGCTCGAGCCGGCGCGGCCGACGCGCGCGTGCAGACGGCGGCGCCTCGCGGTCGTGCCGCAAGCGTCGCTGCATTTTGAAGTCGCCGACCCGCTCAACCCGCGCGCCTTGGTGGACGTTGTCTGGTTCGGGAACGAAGCGACGGTGGGGCCACTCCGAGAGACGCTCTACAAGCAGCTCGCCAAGTGGAAGCCCGCCGACACGCTCCGGAAGAACCTCGAGCGCGTATTGAGCCTGAAGTTTCCGTCGCCGTCGACGACCAAGCGCGACGAGTTCCAGCAAGAGTGCGGCATCTGCTACGCGTACCGAGCCGAGGACGGTGCGATTCCCGGGCGCATCTGCGACCACAAGAGCTGCGCGCGGCCCTTCCACGAGCGCTGCATCCTCGAGTGGCTCACATCGATCGCCACGTCTCGGAAATCGTTCCAAACCATCTTTGGCGAGTGCCCGTACTGCCGCGAGCCCATTTCGGCCAAGCTATAAACCTGTAGGATCCACTTACCGTGTCGTCGTCTTTCAGTGAGCACTCGACACTCGACACTTGCTGGCGCCACGTCGACCAACCCTTTTTCGATTCTCCCTGACGCATGGACCACCGAACACCACCACTCCGAGGACCCATCGCGTGGGCTCTATTCACCGTTTATGTCGCTTCTGTATTCGAGGACAAGCGAGGGGCCCCTGCTACTTTTGATCACCGCATCGTAGCCAGTGTTCGCATTGCAACAAGGTTCGGCTCTCCACCACGTGGCGTGAGTAGCCTCCGCCTTGCGCGACGTTTATAGAGCAATGCTATATTGACGAGAAGGCAAAACACGACGATACAAGTTGGCGCGACTGCAGAGGTTGGCGACGATTCGATCGCATCGTCCTGGTGTGATCGGTGCTCGGTTACGAGTGAATGCGCTTTGCATACCGGCGGCGGTTCGGGCCCATGCCGTCGTCGTCGTCGTTGTCATCTCGGCCACGCTTCTTGCTCTGCTGCTGACGCCCACCCGCCCGGCGGTGGCTGCCGCGCTGGTACTGGTCGCGTTTCCACGGCTTCTCGGGCGGGAAGTCGTTGATCGTCGCGCGCCGAAGCAGGAGGCGCCAATTCCTGTCCATGTGATCCGACGCCTTGATCGGCACGCCGACGCGCCAGCCGGCTGCGTGGGCCGAGACGCCGCTGTCGGCGCTCATGTCGTCGCTCGGTGCAGCAAATGGGTTTTGCACCAAGTCCTTGACCGGCTTGGCCTCGAGGAGGATTTCCGGCGCAATGTCGGCGCTCAGCGAGAGGAGCGCGCGGGAGACCGTGAACGCATCGTGAAACACGATCGTGCACGAGCTGTCGTTGATCCACTCGACGTACGACGGCCCGTAGCCCGTAAAGTAGGCCAGGATATCACGCGTCCGGACGCTCGTAAACGCGTCGTCCAGCGAGTACATGTGGATCGCGTCGTCCCGCGCCTCGAGCGCCGTGTTCATGTCGACGCGCTCCGCGAGCACCTTGGGCGAGGCTGCGTGGAGCTGCATGTTGCCTTGCGTCTCGATGCCAAACTTGGCGGCGCGACCAGCCCGGCGCGCGGCCTCTTCGCTGCGCTTGGCGAGCTCGTCTTCCGTGAGACCTTCCGAGATCTCGCGCGCGACGCCGCCCTCGATCGCGTACTCGGCGACGTTGAAGCGGTTCCGCCGCGCCTCTCGCTTCGCGACTTCTTCCGCGCTCATGACGTCAAAGCCAGTCGTAAAGCCCTTCTCGGTCACGGCGCCGCTGCGCTGCATCATGCGCACAATCTTCGAGTCGAGGAACTGCTTGACGTCCGGTTGCTTGTACTCGCTGTTGAAGCGCTGGGCGCGCTTCTTGGCGCCTTCGCAGCCGGCGACGTACTGCGTGCGCTGCTCAGGCGTCAAGAGGTCCGTACCCGACGGGTCGGACATGACACAGAGCGCAACTTCCGACGAAAGCAGCGCCTGTGTATGGGCCGCGACTTGGATCGCACGGGCGCGGACCGGCGACCGACCGCTCGTGACACCGACCGAGACAACTTCGACGCGGGTCGTGTCCTTCGGAAGCAGGTCCTGGCCAATGATGACGAGCTTGTCGCCGATGCCATTGCCAATGCCAGACGAGAGCTGAAAGTACGCGTCGCCATCCGCCTTGCGGTGCAGCGTCATGTTGAACCAGTACTGGCCGGCCTGCGTGTCCGAGCAAATGCGGCCGCAAAAGACGCAGGCGACCTCGACATCGCGGCTGGAGCCTCGTCGCTTGAGAATCGACGCTTCCGTGTTGCCTTGGCCGCCACAGAGGAACTCGTACGAGAGATCAATCGTTCCGTTCACACGGACGCGCGTGTGGATCTGGAGCTCCTGCTGGCACTGCGCATGGAGCGTGAGCGAGAACGCGTTGACCGTGTCGTGCTGCAAGTGCATGTTGATGTCGGTCCACGAGGCCACCCGCCCGAGGAGCGCCGAGACCTCGACGTCCGGAAGGTTCATCTGCCTGGCCTCCACGACGACGGGCTCTTCGACCTTGACCTCATCGACCTCCATGTCGCCGCCGTCGGCCGCAGCAGCTTCGACCTGCACGTCCTCGGTAGCGTCGACCTTCATGTCGTGGGCAACTTCGGCCTTCACTTCGTCGGTCACGTCCATCGTCGAACGAGGTGCTCGGAACCGCTGAACACACCAAATGGCTGGAACATCCGGATAATCGGACTTGCAAATATTCACAACAAGATCTTGCCTGCATGCAGGACGTTCGCGACGGGATGGACGAGCCGCTCCTGGCGCCACCGACTACGAGCCCGCGGGCCGATGCTGCATCGACACGCGGGCAGATGCCTCATCTGCATCGCATCCTTCTTTCGCCATGGGAGAAATGGGGCTACCATGGCCGCTTCCCATGGAAGCTCGCCTGCCACATCCTCCTCCTTCTCTGCACCATGACGCAGGCACGATGCACCGACTTCGCTTGCGCTCATTTCGCGCTTCCTAGATCTTTGTCTACGACGCGCAAAACTCGGCCTACATCCGCGCTTCGTACCGCAACTGGTCGGCGCCTCAGCCTTGCACCATGGACTCACGCAAGCGTCGTAGGGTCTACTTTTTCCTCCCGAGCGGCCCAACGCTCCTCGAGCCCGACGAGTACCGGTGCGTCGGCAACGTGCTGAACGATCGGAGTGCAAAGCGCCTTCTTGTAGCTTTACCGAGAACCTGTACACGATCAACGGGACGATAGCGGCGATGCAGAACGTCCGGGATGCGTACTTTGCCATCGGCGGCCTCTCGGTCGCCAACTACGAATACCACTATGACGAGCCCAAGGTGCCGCAGCCGATTGCGCTGGCGGTGCGGCAAGTGATTCGCGGCAACGTCGTCGAGAGCGCCTACAATATCACCGAGACCTCGATGGGGCCGCTCACCAACCACACGTCACCGAAGGACGTCGCCGCCTTCTTCTACTCGCTTCAGCGCATGACGTACACGCTGCGCTTGCGCGACATGGACTACGGACCGCTCTACTTTGACTGCTTTGACTGGCAAGTCCACGTTGCGATCGAGAAGGTGCACGCGAGCCATCTTCGGTAGTTTGCCCAGCTTTTTCTCGCGCCTCTCTGAGCTTTCTGTTAGCATCATTGTCGAGCCAAGCCATTTGCGCATCTGCTCGACCGAAGGGCTCTGGAAAGCCATTCGACACCGGTATCTCTGGCTCAACGTGGTCATTCTGGTCGTTGGCGTCGTCTACTTGGCGCTGAGCATCAAGAGCCTCATGCGCTCGATCCGCATGTACGACGGCTACGTTTGAACCGGGAAATTGTATCCGTATCTCGTAGGTTTGCCAAGGCCAAGCGCTTCGCCCACGAGGCGTTGCACGTCGAGTCCGAAGAAGCGCGCGGTCGGCATTTGCTCCAGAGCTGGCACGACGTTCCTTTGGCGATCAAGCTCCAGTTCTTCAAGACGCAGTACAACTTGCTTGCGTATGTAGTAGGAACGCACACACAATGTCATAGGTACATTTTTATTGCGATTGCGATCGTCCTCGTGGGCCTCAACTCGGTGTGGAACATCTCAAAAGCCGTCGCGTACGTGCCCGTGAGCGAGCCGCACCGCGTCGTCCAGGCCCTCGTACGTCGGTCGAGTCTCCTTTGGCTTCGACGCGAAATCTTTCTTGCAGGGCCCTCTACTTTTATGTGCAACGTGCGTCGGGTACCTCGAGCACAACCCGCATTTCTACTCGATCGTGCTCACGCTGCGCTGGGGCATCCCCAAAGTGCTCTACTTTCTGGTTGATGATCTCTCGACCACCACGCGTCTCGAACTCTTGGATTGTAGACGGGCGTCTCGCCCATCTTTTTTGGCTACGCCGTCTTCGGGTCGATCGTCTTTGGCGATCGCGTCGACGGGTTTGCAGGCCTCGCGGTAGGACTCGCCGGCTCGCTCACATCCTAAGGTATCCGGGCCGGTGTAGCAATCTTGCATCACGCTCTTCTCGATCATGAACGGCGACATCATCCTCGACAGCTTTGACGCGCTCAAGCTTGACTTTCCGATTCTTGGCGCCGTACGCTCTTGAGTTCATACCTCGTCGTCCCTGACACGCTTGGAGTAGGCCTACCTCTACTCGTTCATCTCGCTTTTCATTTACATTGTGCTCAACATCTTCATTGCGATCGTTGAAGAGTCGTACTTTGCGACGCGGTCGTACAAGCGAGCGCTCGACGTGCTCTCGAGTGGCCTCGTACGCTCTTCTCCGAGGTGTCGTCTCATCCTGCCATTGTGTAGTTTGCCGGCGACTCGAACGCGCAGCAGCAGCGGCTAACGTCGGACGCATTCCGCATTCTCCTCCGCGCGCTCGAGCACGAACCCGACGACGGCAATTGATATGGATCAACGTACGAACAATATACACTATGGTTACTCTCCCAAGACCTCGGTGGCGAGGACTTGGACGTCTTCTTCGACTTGGACGACGTTGCGATGCAGAGACTGGCACTGCTCTTCGAGCGTCATGACCTGGCCGCGCTGGACGCTTAGGCACTTGCTGAGGCGGTCGATCTCGTCGTGCGCTGCCTTGAGCGCCTTCTCGTGCTCCGCGCGGACAAGCGCAACCTCGGCGTCCATGCGCTCGGCGAGACGCTCGATCATGGCGAGGATCTGCGTCTTGTCGGCGCGCTGCGTCGCGTCCATGTCTCGGAGCACGTCGTCGTGCTTGTTGCAGCGGCCAAAGAGCTCGCCGATCTGGTCGCGGACGCTCACGCGTGGGCCTGCTGTGCCGAGACACCGAATGCCAATGCGCGACTTGGACTCGCGGGCCGCCGACTTTGGCTGGTGCTCTTCGTCGTCCGAGTAATCTTCGTGGCGCGGGTCCTCCTCCTTGGGACCCACGTACGACGCGTTCCCAGCCATGACGCGACCCACGGGCATCGTCCCAGAGAGATTATAATGAGGCGCCAAAACGCTCTTCTTGTCGCCCACCCGCCATCTTGTCCATCTTGGCGTGTTGCCCGTTTCACCTGCCCAATAGGCTGCCAGCAAATCCTCTATCTTTTTGTATTACGACTGTTTTGGCTGCTTTGCCTGCTTTGTCTTTGGGTGCATCGCGCGCTTGTGCAAGAGCAGCTTGTTCTTGGACGGGAACTGCGCGTCGCGGGTCGGACATGGCAGCCAAACGATCGGCTTCTTTTGATGGTCTTTGGCATGGGCGGCAGCGCGCACGTCGGTCGTTGTCACGGCGAGGCAGTCGCAGACGTTGCAGCACTTGAGGTCTTTTTTCTTGTCCGGGTGCTGGTACCGGAGCTGCCGTTTGTAGCTGCGTTCGTGCCGGTATCGCGCGGCAAAGAGCGCCTTGTAGTCGTGGGCGTAGGTAGCGTCGTGCAGACACACAACGGGCGAGACAAAGCTCGTTGGGTCCTGGTACAGGCGCCGCCACAAGTTCGGGTCACTTGACGCGTGGTGAAAGGCGCGCGAGACGAGCGATAGCCGAGCGATGCGCTTGGGCGAAAGAAAGCCAAAGATGTGCAGCAGCACGTCCGGGTCCAAGCAGTCTTCGACGGAAACACGCGCTGTCCGTCGCCGCTTCTCCTGACGGTACGCGACCTCGGCTTCAAAGGCCGGGCCGGAGAGCGCGCACGGGATCTCGTTTGGGAGCTGCGCCGTCTGGATGGCGCGCGGGTGCAGGCGCAGAGTCGCAAAAGGAATCAGTGACGCCCACGGCGCAGAGTCAACGCCGCCGATCTCGTGCTGTGCGAGCCACAGATCAATGTCGCGCTGGCTCCGATGAAAGCACGTGGCGAAGAACGCCGACGTGAGCTCCTCGGGAATCTAATTTCCAAATTTCAAGAGATCCAATGGCAGAGTCGAAGCCTGTACCTCTTGGTGCACGTCGCCAGCGTCCAGAAGGAGACGCTGAAGCTCGACTTCGCGGCGCAAGTCGAGCTTTCGGTGCAGCGCAATGTAGTAGGCTGCCGCGAGCCGCTTGTGGGCCGCACAGGCCGAGTCGGGCGAGAAGAGGTTGCCGAGGAGAGCGACGATCGTCGGCGTTGGCACGAGCGTCGTATGCGCGCAAAAGCCCATGAGAAAGCGCAGGTACGGATTCCCAGCTTCGGGCTGCGACGACGCGGTGGACATGGTCATGTCGTAGCAGTCGCTGAGGATTCGGAGCATGAGGTCTTCCGAGAGAAGCGACGTTAGCTTGGTGAGGAGAACGACGCCTTCGTGCGGCGTGGCCAAGCTCTCGACGATGGCTTCTTGGAGGCCTGCGAAGAGGCTCGGAGGCGCGGCTTTGAAGGGCAGGTCTTGGAGAAAGCGAAAGAGACGGCAGAGAAGGTCGTCTCGGTACGGCGCTTCCTTCGTCGACGTCCAGTTGATCGAGAGGATGGCGCGCACGAGCACGTACAGCATGCTGGGGCTCGATGCGTTCGCGAGGAGACCGTGGTACACTTGGCAGAATCCGTTCATGACGACAACCGCGCACTGCGCATGGGCATCGAAGAGAGACTGCAAGTCCGTCGCGCGGAGGCACGCGGCAAAGCGGTCGGGCGTCGCGACTACGAGCTTAGTAAGCGCTGGTGAGAGCGCTTCCCACCGCGTTGTGCACTGCATGTCCATGTACCGGGGTACCTTGCGCCACTTGCAGGCGCGGGCGAGCTCCGTGGACGTCTCCAAGCAGGGGCGTGTGAGCTGGTCGAGAAGCGAGCCACATAGCGCGGTATAGAGCTCGCCGGTCGACGCAGTCGTTGCGAGCTTAACGAGCGTCTCAGCGACGAAGGCGGCGACACCTGTGAGCACGGCGCTGCGGTGGCACCACTGCGTCTTGGCCAGAATCCATCGCACGTCGGTCTCCATGGCGGCTGCTCGACGCAGCACCATCTCCAGGTCGTCCCAGCTGGGTGGCTCCTTCTGGTACGACTGCCGAGCGATCCGGCTTGTCGTCGCATCGAGCTCCGCGACGAGCGCAGCCTTGGCGCTGGCCTTGGGCATGATGATTTTACTGGTTGCAACCTCTGCGAGAGGCCATGACCTCTGACAACACATACATTCACACAACTATACTGCATTGAAGTTATCAAACTTTATACGTACCTCATGTGGCGATGGCTTGAACCCATACACTGTATATATTTTGGCTTGATATCACTTAATACATGCATTGATTGGTTCACAGGAAAAGATTCCATGCACCTGATTGGCTCTATGGGTCGAACCATGCCACAGACCACCATGGATCCACTCCAATCAACGCTACTTGCTCGGAGATAGACCGAGATTCACGCAACTTGGTTGACATGCACTGGTGAGGAAAAGCCGTCGACTCCAAGACAACGCGTAGGAGAGCGGCAAAACGCAGAGTTGGCGTTGGTTTTACCATGCGCGTTGCCACGGACCTTGAATACGCATCGATCCACTCCAATCAACGCTACGTGCTCGGAGATGCAATCAAGTATTGGCGCGTTGGAGTCGATTAGGTTACGATGGTGTAGAGGACACGAAAACTTGCGTAAGTTGTACTCGTTTACACTCTGTTGGCGGTTTACATGTTCTAGTACTTTGAGATGCGACGCGCAGATGGCGCTGCCTGAAGATCGCGTCGCCCAGGTGATCCATACGTGCTGCGTTGTGTGGTGACGCGTTGCGACGTCTGCTTGAGCAGCTCCCGTGCCGAGCAATAGCAAGCAATCTGAGATCATTCGAGCGCTCGCATGGGAAAAGGTCTTGAATAGCTATGCTGGCAATACCGCTCCGAAACTCGAAGCCAACGCCGATGCTGAAGCCGGTCACTTCATTGACGATGCGTGTCTACCGGTAGTCCGCCCTTCAGTTATTCAACAAGTAGCCTGCGACTGATCGCGCCAGTGAATTCGCACGAGCGAGCGATTTCAAGTAAAAGTAAAGAGCGATGTTGAATGCACAGCAAATGATTCGCCACGAACCACACATGCGGATTGGGTGCGTCAAGCAGCGTGGGACGTCGATGGAACCGAGCGCGAATTGCAGCATCGTTCCCAAGCCCACACTTCATTTTCAAAGTGCGCGAGACGAGCAGCAGCCCGAGACGAGAAACGGGGGACGGGGCGGCGGCAGTGGTCGCCGCCATGACCATCAAGGTACGCAACTCTTCTTCTGTTTTGAAGGATGTACATATTGTCTATAGGAAACACAAGGAGTCCACCCATCGGTGAACGCAACCGAGCGACGGGCACCGCTGTCGGCAACGTCGACCCGCGCCACCGTACGCGCCTTTTCGCAATGCACTGTGAGCGTGACACGTCATGCTAGGTGCCGACGCTCGCAAGGTGTCACACAAGAAGCGCGCGCGGATAAACGCTTCGGTACACGACCTCTTCTATCACGAAGAGCGACGGGGGCGAGGTCATTCTCGCCGGACATTGCATTTGACCGTACAAAGATATTTGGCCCATCGATCCCTTGCTTATCATTTCTCATGTAGACTACCCCAATTTGCCCCATCATCGACTCTCGGGTGACTGGCCGACTGGCTTTATACGGCCGACGAGAGTCGTTTGAAGCTCAAGGACTTTGCTTTCGTCGAAGAGATTGCTCGCGGCAGCAAGTGCGTCGTGTATGCGGCCGTGCACACGCCGTCCGCGACCATCGTAGCGATCAAGGCCGTCCCTCTGACAGCGGTCGAGACACTCGGCGGCACGGCCAACTTTCGACGCGAATTCGAGTCGCAGTACCGCGTCCGTGGTGGCAACGTCGTGGCAGCTTACGGCTGGCTTTTGGACAGCGACCACGCCTACATTGTCCAAGAGCTGTGTTCCAAGGGCAACCTCTTTCGAGCGCGCCTCAGCGCCTTTCGCCAGCTTGTGCTTCTTGCACCTTTTACGGGGATTTCCATCCCCCGATTTCTACTAACAACACAAATACAGAGATTTGATCTCCATTTCTTCTTGCTTTCTTTACTCGCTTGTGGCAGCAGAAAGAGGACAGCACCAACCACGAGCAAGTCCCTCGAAACGATCAACGAATCCAATGCGAGTAGAAAAGCTAGTGTCGAGGAAGCTGCCGCTGTCGTCGCAGCCCTTGGCTGCAATGCGCTTGACGAACTCGGTGCAAAGCATGTGCTCACGCTTCGAGATGTTCCCATGGCGGGACTGCATGCGCTCGATACGGCCCGATGGGTTCGATGCAGTGTTGACGGAGCCTCGATCTGCCCAAAACCAATCGTTCTTGTGAATCGTGCTCTCCCGTTGTCACTCGTACTCTACAACGAGAAAATGTTGCAGATATTGGGGAATGTGTTTCGCGTTGAGCTCGTCTTAGCGGCGGTAGCGGTGGCGCTTAAAGTTGAAGTAGAGGTGCAGGATGCCACGCTCGTAGACGCACTTGAAGCCGCGCTTGTGCGAGTACTCCCACTCGCGGTTGACGATTTTGAAGGCCAAGTCGACGTACGGCGGGCCGGCTTGGAAGCGGATGATGCAAAAGTCGCGCGATTCTGCGGCCTCGAGCACGTACTTGGGCGTGACGCTCTTGTCGATGAGGTCGGGGTAAAAGAGGTTGAACTTGTAGCCTTGCACCGTCTTGGGCGGCGGGTTGTCTTCGTCGTAGTGCGTCTGGTTGTACTTGTTCCAGTCGTACCCGGTCTTGACGCGGTTGAAGAAGCGCGGCTTCCGCGGCTCGTACTTGGCCGACCACGACGGCAGCTTGCACGCGACCTCGTCCATAAACTCCTCCTCCTGGTCCTCCATGCCCTTGTCCTGCTCCAGCGCCATCATCGAGAGCGCTTCGCGGCTGTTGTCCAGCGTGCCCGTCGTCAGCGCGGGCGCCGATGGCGATGCCGATGGAGCCGTCGCCTGCGAGACTTGGTACGCGGCGTGGGCTTCCTGCGACGCCACGCGGTCGCCGAGCGTCGTGAGCAAGGCCGCATGGATGTCGTGGAGCCGGCTCTTGGCCTTGTGCACCTTGATCTCTTGCAGCACGCTCTCATAGTACTCGACGTCGATGCCGGATCCGCCGCCGTTGATCGTCGCGTCGATTTCAGCGCCGAGTTCGTCGAGCTCAGCGATCGACTTGCCCGTGAGCATCTCATCGATGGCCTTTTGGACCTCCGTGTGAATTGCATGGCGCGAACTCGCCTTCTTCTGGCGCTTGGTGATCTCGTCCAAGCACACGATCGCGAGGAGCTTCCAGAACTCGATGTTTTCACCCGTCTCGCCTTCAAGCTCCATGTACACCTGGATGTCCTTGTGCAGCTCGGCAAGCTCGTGGCCTGCGAGGCCGACAAGCAGCTGCTCGGGCGCACGCAGCTCGACCTGCGCGTGCTTGAGCTCCGCGAGCGTGTCTTCGACGGCCTTGGTCGGGTCAATCACATGCGACGTGGACGCGAGGAGGAGGTTCTTGGCGAGCAAGTCGATCGGCTTCTCGCGGCCTTCGCGGATGCGGATGTGCGACCGAACGCGCGCTTGGCTCAAGTGGAATGACTCTTCCTTCTGCTGCCAGTCATCGTACTCGGACGCATCGCGCAGTCGCGACTCCTCTTCCCGCAGTCGGTCCATTTCCTCGCGCTCGGCCTCGCGCTCGTCGCGGCGCTGGCGCACCTTCATGATTTCGTTGATGAGCTCTTCGCGCATGTCGTCATTGCGGCCGCTGCGCTTGCTGCTGCGCCGGTCACGCGATCTCGACCGCGACCGATCGCGGGACCGAGATCGTCGCTTGCGCTCGGGCGACTTGCGCTTGGCCGGCGCGACCTCGGCCTTCTTGTGCCAGACAAACTTGGCCGTGAGGTTGGCGTCGCCGAACGGGTTGTCGTCGTTCGAGTAGCCCATGGCCTTGACGATCTTGGAGGCCTTCTTGTCCTTCCTCCGCGCCCGGCGGGCCTCGTCGTCCTCGTCGCTCGAGTCGGCCCGCTTGTGCTTGCGCTTCTTCTCGCTCTTGCCCATGCTAATGTTCGGGCGCAAAGTTCCAAATTTATTCGCCCAAATTGTGGCCTCCGTCCGCACAAAATCCGGACAGTGGCGTTTTTTAAACCATTGAATTTTGTATTGTAAAACACACAAACATTGGCAAATTATAATCGTAAATACCCCAAAATGCTGGCAACTAGCATGGAAGGCGCAATGCAGTTGTCGACGCGGTGTCAATTAAATTCGCGATCAATATCCGGATACGAAACGACATTTTTTCTCATTTCGCGTTGGATTGTTGGGAAGAAGAGAGCCAAGGACGACGATGGCGATGGCAGACGAGCCGACCGTAGCGCTGACCGCCCGCGCCGAGTCGCCGTCGAGCAAGGCCCGCGTCGTGCGCCGATCCGGCTTCCAGGCGCCGTACTCGCGCGACCAATATGTATCCTGCGCAGGACATATCATCTCGGCCACGGCGCTCTACGCCTGCCTTGTACTCATGGTCGCAGTGCCCAGCGACGAGACGCCATCGATCGACTACGCCGCCTACGAAGTACGATCTTAAGGTCGACGGTATATGGCTCATGGCGCGCTGTGTAGACGTACCTCGTGATTGCGCTTGCCGTGCACCTTGGTGTCACTGCGCTTCTGCTCTACGCGTGGTACTCGTGCGAATCCTGCGACCCCGGCGACACGGAGACGGACAAGGCGACGCCATGGCTCGGCATCGTCTTGAGTGGTCCGCGCTGGGAGAAGACCAAGTACTGCGCCGTGTGCCGGAAAACGATTCCTGGCATGGACCACCATTGCACATGGTTCGCGAAGCACCTGGTCGTTGTCTTGGTCGCTCATGTGTCGCAGGTTGAACACGTGCGTCGGGAAGAAGAATTACCCGCAGTTCTTTACGATTGCTATCTGCGGTACCGACGAAGCGCTATGTGCGATGGAGCTAACGACGATGATGCTGTAGGTGTCATCCAGTTCCTCCTGCAATGCCTTGTGACCATTGCGCTGCTCGCCGACTGGGTTCACTGGCAGGCGTACTATGGCCACTCGGCGACGCTGAGCCTTGCCCTCCAGGTAGTATATCTTCGCGTGGATGCAGAGACTCAAATCGGTGCAGATTGGTTTCGGTGCGTGCGCGGTCGTGTCAGTGCCCTGCCTCATCATGTACTTTACGCTGCTCGTGTTCCACTTGTACCTCGCGTGGCTCGGGTATGGCACGTACGACTACTACCTCAAGCAGCGCGACGTGCAGCGAGCAAAGCGCCGACTCCAGCAGAGCGCGACGGTCGAGCTCACGCACAAGAAGACGGTCGAGCCCGTGTAGGGTATCAATGCCATTCTCGTCATCTCTATTTGCTCGTTGGCATTTGATTGTATTCTTACTCCAACGTCGCGACTGTTTCTTCGATGCGCTTCTTGAGGGTCGGAAGGAGCTTGATCTGGTTCTTGACGCAGCCCGTGACGCACGCGTCCATGGAGGCCTGCGCGGCTGCGATCTGCGACTCGGTCGGGTTGCGCGGCAGGTCGTCCTGCGCCTTGTCCTGGCACTCGCGCGCCGCGCGCTGGAGGCGGCTCTACACAGTGATACTTCGTCAACTGCAACGTAGCGTTGCAGACAACGTACCTGGAACTGCTGCATCTCCTGGCTCACGTAGTTCTGGACCTGCTGCATCGGCGCCTGGCACCGGTCGATGCAGTGCTGGAGCTGCTCGGCGCTGCAGTTCTTGTTGTCGAAGCAGTTGACGACGCAGACGTAGCTCTTACGCTACCCAGTGCCATGAGTCTAGGACTAGCTACCGACTGCACGTACCTGGAGCGGGCGGAACGTCGCACGCTCGAGCTTGTCCATCATGTCGCCGACGGCGCGGTTGATATCGTTCTCGGCCATGGTGCAATTTCAAATGTGGACCGCCAGTGATCGCTCGTGCGTTAAATGGGTACAATCGTTTAACGCAATGTCGTCGACCACCGTGCCGTCCACATTTGCCGGAGCTACGCGGTCGAGGTACTAGCTGCCCACGAGTATGCAGATAGACTCGGTGCGCGTACAATTCGGAGGCATATTCTAGTGCTGTCGTGTTGATGCCAGGCAATTCAACATGGAGTAAATGTGCATTGCGTGCGTTTAGCCATGCAGGTTTTATAGCAATTTGGGTTTTTCCTCGTTCCCCCAGCAGCGACCGAAGGATCCAGGAGATGTCGACCCTCGTCATCACGGTGGAGGCGCTTGAGGCCGCAATTGCCGCTCTCTACGGCCAGGTAGCTCCATTCTCCTCCTTCTCCATGCTCATGCGCCTGCTAGAGAGGTCCAGACGAGCAGCGCAATGCTAACGAGTACCTCTTGGCCGTCGCCGACAGCAGCGTACGTCCATCTTCTCTCTGCCTACATCCTCAGCGCATCGAGCTAGTCGGCGTGGCCCGTGGGTCTCACGCTCCTTGCTCAAGCGCCATCGAACCCGTCCATGGACCCAACCCCGATCCAGTACTTTGCCGCCAACATGATCTACTCCAAGGTACCATCGACAGTCCTTACCTCTCCTCATCGCTCCTGTCACAGTTGCGGAAAGAGTACGTGACGCTGGCAGTCGCCGACCAGCAGCAGATCCAGGCGCAGCTCGAAGCTATCTTGCATCAAGTCCGCGCCGGCCAGCTCACGTACCTGCCTGTCCGCCATTGTAGGCAACTGATGGCATGGTAGGTTTGCACCGCTCGTTTCGCAGCGCGTGTGCATGGCAATCGCGTTCATCTACCTCTGCGTGGACGGCGGCTGCGCGCGCTGCGTCGAGGACTGCGTCGCGTCGTCGAGTACAGCGAGCCCGCTGGTCATCGTCATGGCGCTGGAGCTCCTCACGAGCCTCTGCGACGAGAACACGGACGCGTACCTCCCCATGGCGCGCAAGGACAGCGTTGTGCTCGAGATCACGGAGATCAGCCCCACGGTCTTCGAGTTTCTCAGCCACGTCTTCCGCCAAGCGAGCGGCGCTGCCGACATTCGGTACGCAGCGCTGCTCTGTCTCAAGGCGTGGATCAAGGGCGCGGGTCTCTCGATCGCCAAGCTCTACGCGACGATGCGTCATGTCTTTGACTCGCTCCTCGGCGCACTCTGCGTCGTCTCGGGTAGAGCATTTTCGTCCATTTACAGCCAAGTGCATGGGTCCCTGTAGCCGATGCGGTCGTGACGCGCGAGGTGGTCGTGTGCGCGTCGATCCTCGGCAATGCCCTCCAAGTCGAAGAGTACCCACCGGCGGCGGCAAAGGAAGCCGCGATGCTGGCGCTGACGCAAGGTCTTCTCGAGAGCGAGGCAGGCATCCAACACTATTTACGCGCGGACGAAAGTACTCTACCGCCTCTCTCTTGTGCTCTACTTGTACCGCGATGGCTTGTAGATGTCGCACTGGCTTTGACGACGCTCGTTGCTTCGTTTGGCGAGTCGGAGCTCGAGTGGCTCATCGCAGGCAGCCCCGAAGCGCTGGCGCTTGCCGAGCTCATGGTCCTTCGCGTCCATTTGTTTCTGTTGATTGATCGTACGATGTAGCTGGCCATGACGGCGCAGCCCAACCGCCAGATTGCGTCGTTGATGCTCGACGTCTGGCTCATGATCCAAGTAATACGTTTTGAGCTTGAGGCTGGAGGTGTACCAAGCCAACATAGGACGAGCCCGTCGCGGACCGCCACGAAGTGTTTCGGGACGCCTTCTTTCGCCGGCTCTTGCACGTGCTCTTGCTCCAGTGCGCGCCGACGGCCGAGGACGAAGATGACGACGACGCGTTCCAAGCCTTCCGCTCCACGGTCGTCGACGTCGTTCTCTCGGTGCACGCGCTCCTCAAGGACGAGTTTCTCCAGTACATTGCGCACGTCGTGCAGACGCAAACGGCCAACATTGGGCATCTCGATGCTGCGCTCTTCCTCCTCTCGACGATCACGGTCGACCTCAAGCCACGGCTGCCGACGCCGGATGCGATTCTCACGTCGCTCTGCTCCGACTACATCTTTGGACACGCGTCGTTCTCGAGTGCGCCATCGGTCATCCAAGCCTCGTCGGTGCTGCTCGGTACAAACCTCACACGTGTGAAATCATGACATTGGGAGTTAAGCTGGTGCGGTGGGTTAGGCCAGCTCCACGGATGGCTCGCGCTGCCCCACAACTCGGCACTGTTGGCGACAAGCGTACGCTACCTCGCATCCGCAGTCGGTCCGTCGCCCAAGCAAGCGTGCAAGAGCTTGCTCCAGCTTTCTTGCGCAGCAACCGACACGTTGACGACGATGGCCGACCTCATTTCGCTCGTCATTCGCACCATGCACGTACGCCACGCATTCTCGTGGTCTCTTTCGTTATATTTTTGCGCTAGGAACAACCGTTGGAGCTCCCGGAGCGGCTGCTGCTGATCGAAGCGATTGTTCGCGTGGCGACCGCCGCGCCTTGGTGCATGGAGGCTCTCACGTTCCTCGCGGGCCCCATTCTGAGCCGCTTGCAAGAGGCAACGCAGCACGAAGTGTCACCGGCGCTCGTCGCGACGGAGCTGGCGTGTCTCACGACGCTGTTGCGCTTTGCGGACGCACCGACAGCCGCGGCCGGTGGCGCTGACGCTACGAACGCACTTCTCCGACTGCTCTGGCCCGTCCTGACGCCGGTTGCGGCGCGGTACGGCTCGTCCGAGACCGCGATGGACGCGCTTCTCGAGCTCGTCGCGGCGATCCTCAAGGCCAAGCGGGACGACATTGAGGCGTTTGGCGCGTCGCCAGAGGTCGCTGCCGTCCTCGAAATGGTCGTCGCCCTCTTTGTGCAGTTCGCATACGCATCCAGCTTTGGGCCGATCACGGTCGCGATCGAGGTCTTCGGCCCGCGGGGGGTCCCGCCGGCCCTTCGCCTTGCGTTCCTCGCGCTCTCGCAGCGAACGTTCGAGGTCGTCAAAGTCACGACGCCGTCCGAGGTCCCCGATACGATCCGCGGCTTCTTTGACGTACGAATCCTCCAACTCTCGACCGACCGCAAAGGCTCCTCACGGATCGTAGCTTGTCCAACGCTGCGTCATGTTTTGCCCGGGTCTCCTCTTTGAGCGCGAGTTTGGCGCGACGCTGCAGCTCGCGCAGATGGCGCTGGCGCGGCTTGGGAGCCACCGCGAAGGTCTTCGGTCTGTCATTTTCTATGTCAACTATGTCGTCACAAAGCGCGAATCGAGCTTGGTTGGTTCCGAGAGACAATGAGAGGATGACGCATGCGGGTGTAGATGGAGCACAAGGACACGATCGACGGTGTGCTCGGGAGTCTCAAAGACGCTCTGTGCCTTGCGATCGTGGATTTGCTTGCTGCCGGGAGCCCCACGACGCTCTACGCGCCGCTGTCGTCGCTCTGGTTTCACTTTCTCACCGCGTACGGGGCGCTCGTCTACCCCGCTGTCGAGCAAGGTACCATGTGGCAACTTGATAGATTGATACAACGCGGAGATACGTAGCGCTGCTGCAGTCGGACGCCACGACCGTGCTCAGCCTCGAAGACAAGAACCGAGTGTTTACCGCTTGGACATCGTACGTGGATTGTTTCAATGTTTCAAATGACATTCCGAGTAGGCTGAGCGACAACTACCAAGAGCGCCGGTTCAACGCCGTGTGCCTGGACGTGGCCAAGGTTTGCCGCCGAGAAATGACGGCCGACGTTCTCGCCGAGTACGACGTCTAGTGTTTCGTTGTCGCGTAACCGTTAAACATGGAAACGGTTGCCTCCATGCACGAGCCGCGGTTCGCCGATTGGAGTCCGGCCAGTGTCTTTGGTGGGCAGAGCTCTCGCCTGACCAAGCCAACTCTGGCTGCCGTCCAGCCTCTTGAGAAAGTACGAGAAACCAACCAAGAGCCACCGACGCCCCGCGCCGAGCAAGGCCGCGCCGCCAATGTCATTCAAAAGAGCCTGCGCCTGCACCTGGTCCAGCAGCAAGCAGCACATGCGGCGACACATCTGGCTCGTATCCAGAGTGCGCTCGAGCGCACCGCTGCAATCTCGCTGCAGCGAACCTACCGTGCCTACCGACGCTCCCGACGCCGACGCGTGGCGGCAAGCACGCTGCGTCGGTGGTTTGTACGCCGGATCGTGGCGACAAGAGCCGCGCGCTCACTGTCCGAGACGAGAGACGGTGCTGCTCGGCGAATACAGAGCTGCAGCCGAGCTTTTCTCGCCACACGACAAGCCTGGCGCTATGACCGCTACGTAGCTGCCGTGTCCGCTCTGCGTACATGCATGCAACGCCGAGCGTTTGGAGATTTGGTGACGCAAGCAGCGATAGCCAAGCAAAAGCTGATCGATCGCGTACAGCAACTCCACGCAGCGCGACAAGACCGCCGACTTCGGCGCTTCCAAGCGACGTATCGTCGACATCATGCTGCGCGGCGCATGGCAGCCAGCATCACAATTCAGCGACTCTACCGCGGGTTTCGAGGTCGTCAAATCGCACGGGAGCGGCGGCAGCTCTGGCTCGCACGCTTCACTTGCACAAACTGCGGACGGAATGAGCCAGGGGGCGTCTACTGCAAAGGCTGCGGGCGCCCGAAACAGCCCAAGCGCCCGACGCCACCACGAACGGCTTGCACGGATCCTTTGCGGCCCGTCTACGCGCGGCGACGGCAGACCTTACCATCGCCCGCATTTACACACAGCCTCGTTGAAGCGACCAAGCAACGAGGCGCCGATATCGACCGCTCTGCTCGCCGTGCAAGTGGTGTCGCTGCACATGTCATGGACCGACGGACCCAGCAGGCGTTGCAGTACCTAAGCCTCAAATCACTCCGCTGAGATCGCCTTTGTTGGTTCGATCGTCTTGCAGCCGACGGCCTCTGCTTAGCCACTGCCTGCCAACCGCACAACCGCACATCTGCGTACATCTGAGACGAGAGTACGTCAATAATTCGTCAATGTGAAATTCAAGTGCTCTTGATCATAGAGCACGTTGCTTTGCGTCGAGCCACACTAGCATAGTCTGTGGCAAAGGAAAAGAGATGTCGCCGCGGTAGAGTTAACAACCCTCGTCTTCATCAAGTCAAAAATATCGGATTAGCAAGTCGTTCAATCGAGCGCGCGGTAAATACGGCGGCGCATGTGCAGTCGCCGGTACCAGATGAAGCCGAGGACGCTCATGCCGAGCGCACTTATACCCACGAGGCCATAGATCGCGGCGCCACCCGCAGCGTTGTGCTCGCTGCTTGCACTGAGCTGGATCGAGAGCTTCGTGCGGAGGTCCGAGATGAGAATGTATGAGGTCCCCGGCCACGACGCAAAGGACGACGTCTCGATCCACCACTTGGGGTACGGCGACGACACTTGACTCGTCGGGTCTTCGCCGACCGTGATGGCGCCGCCGTTGTACTTGCTCACGAGGTGCCACGCGAGCTGCCACCACGTCGCGACAACGTCGTCTGCAAACGCGTTCGTCTTGGTCTCGAGGTACGCTGCCATCTCGGCTGGCGACTGCAACGTCGCGGCGTGCGCGGCGGCGGCCGCGTACATGTCGAAGGCGGCGTCTTGGTACACGTTGATCTTCTCGAGTACCTCGGGGTAGATGACGTTAAAGCGCAGCTGCATCCAGTTGTTGACAAACTGGAACGCCCACCACGCAGAGTCGGTGCTAAAGGTGCTCTGGCGACTCTGCAGAAACGAGTTGGGCACGGTGGACTGCGCGCACGAGAAGGGGACGAAGACCGTGCCGTGGGGCGCCGAGAGCCCAAACCACGTGACGCCGCCGATCGCGTCCGGGAGGTCGCCGCGCACCTGGTGCACAAAGCTGAAGATGGTCCGGTCGAGCGAGATGGCGCGCTCCCAGCCGCCTTCAATGTTGTACGTCGCGCCGCCGTTGCGGTTCGGGTTCCCAAACGGGCCAGCGTCCAGACCCTGCGTGAGGTCGAACGGCGTGCCCTCGTAATGGTCCCGCAGCAGCGTCATGACGTCTTTGGCCGAGATCTTCTTGTCCGGGCGCACGGAGAGCGGGTACGTTGGCAGCGTCGGGTGGTACGCGAGCTCGGGCTCGAGCTGCAAGGACGGCGCAAAGACGTCAAAGATGCGCCAGAGGCGGCGGCCGACGTACAACGGAAGCAGCGGACTCGACGGCTTCTCGTAGCCGTAAGCTGCCGTAAAGTCAAACGGCCCGTGCTTGGGGTGCCACCAGCCCATCTCTTTTGCGAACGAGTGGACGTTCTCCGAGGCAAGGTAATTCGTCCGGTCGCTCAAGTCCATTTGCCGAATCACAAAGCCATTGGCGATCGCAGCAACGTGGTCGTCAGGCACTCGCTGGGCGGCCCAGACCGCGCTCGCGTTCTTCGGGCCCGTGAGCACGTGGAAGAGCCAGACCTCGCCGTACTTGTCGCCCACCGCAACGGACTCGCCCGAGCTCATGAACGCGGGGTGCGTGAGGTTGCCGTTGAAGTCGTTGTAAAAGCCGTGGGCCACTGCGAGGTCGCCCATGGTCTGGACGGCGCAGCGTGCGCTGTCGCAGCGCTCGAGCGCGATCTTGGTGAGCTCGTTGATGGTAAAGAGGTTGTAGCCGCCGGGCTGGCCGAGGGCCCAGCCGACCGTTTTGGCCGCGCATGTGCTCTCGCCCATGCTCAGTTGCACCTCGTTGATGAGCGCGTAGTCAATGTCAAAGTACGCGTACGTCTTGTTGACGTGGGGCACGGCGCCGACGTGCGTCGTGAGGCTCTGGCCGTCCACCGGTGCGTAGTGAGGGCCGCGGTCGTTCGTGACAAAGCGAGGGTAGCCCGGGCGCGACGAAGCAAACACGCTGCGGCTGGCGCCAGCGGCGTGCTCCATGGCCGGCACGCGCACGATACGCAGGTCGATCGCACCGAACCCCGTGTCCTCGGTGTGGGAGACAAGCACGGAGCCGTCGACGGTTGCGCCTTTCCCGGCGACGATGACGGTACACGCCGTGACGCTGGAGGCGAGGAGCCCGAGGATGTGAACGAGACGCATGGGAATGCTAAATGACTTGGACTGCAAGGACGACTCGGAGGTGCAGTTGAAGTCATGGCCACCTTGAAGCAACCACCTCCGAATCCAAACCGAACTTGCATACGCCTCGTCTCTCATTGGCGGAGACGCGGTCCCATGTCCAAGGAAGCGGCTTCATTGGCTACAAAGATAGGATTTTATCCAATGATGTCACGACTTTGAACGCGTGATTTCGCCGTTCAACTTCAAAAGGGGTGGGCTAGGCACCCCTTTTCTAGGCACCCCTTTTATGTAGAAAAGAGACACGACACACTGTGGGCCTACCCGCCGCCCGAGCGATCCCGCACACGACAACCACGATGGTCCATCGTTTTGGAGAGGTCATGCATGCGGCGACACAATGGCACCGCGCGTGGTCGACTGCTAACGTCACGTGTCGACATTGGAGCTCTCGGTGGTACACAAAGGGGAGTCTGAAAACACCCCCTTTTCGTAAACTGTCTGAAGACTCGGCTGCTTTTTTATTCTTTGACGACGAATCTTGAGAAGCGGCAATAGAACACCGGCGATGGCAGCACTCTTTGGGCCGCTACCGTCCGTGAACCGCGACGCGTTCCGCTGGATCCCGGACAAGGAGGCCGAGAAGTGCATGAACTGCAACTCCGAGTTCACGGTCTTCAACCGCAAGGTACATGCTCGCCAGCCTCCCACGCGACCTCATGCCCACGTAGCACCACTGCCGCCGCTGCGGCCACGTCGTGTGCAAGAACTGCTCACCCAACATTCGCCGCGTATCGCCGCAAGACCCATTCGTACGACGCGCCGTCGATCGCGGTGCCATGGCTCATGCGTATGTACGCGTAGCCCGTGCGCGTCTGCAACCCGTGCTACACGGCCGTCGACGAACACTTTACATCGCTCGAGTGGTCGGGCCACACGACGACCGAAGTACTGCGCCCATCCATCTTGCCCATGACACTCATGTGGTCGTATCGCTTGCTCCTAGGCCGAGCGCAGCCCCGACCCCGTCGCGAACGGTCGCGTGCACATTGGGCAGCTGTACGTCAAGGTCGTCGAAGCCATCGGTCTTCCGTCAACCGACTCGATCGCCAACTCGATCACAAGTGATCCGTTCGTCAAGGTCATTCTCACCGGCCGCTGGTCCCACGGACAGGTACAGGACCTCTCGCTTTCGCATCTCACGAGGGGCGTAGGAGTGGGGCACCGACTTGCAGTCGATTCGGCTCACGAAGCGCAAGTCGCGCACGCTCAACCCGCGCTGGCACGAGACGTTTGTCTTCAACGTCTGCGCGCCGGGTGCAGAGCTCGTCCTCGAGGTCTACAACAGCGGGCAACTCGGTCAGCCCACGAAGCTTGGGCAGGCGGTCGTGCCGCTGAGCATTCTCATGGACCAGCGCCGGCACAACAAGTGGCTCGACTTGCTTCTGCCGCAGGGACTGTACCGCGAAGGCCTCAACAACGACGCGCGCGCGGGCCGCATCCACGTCCTCTTGCACTACAAGTTTGCGCGCGCGGCCGAGTTTGTTTCGCACTTTGCGCCCGAGCAGCCGTACGAAGCGCCGTGGCCCGCGTTCAAGGCGGCGACGCTCTACTCCAACTTTTGGCTCCTCCTCGACGACCTCTGGCCGTACCTCGAGGTGCTTTGGGCCATCTCGCCGACGCTCAACTGGGAGCACCCGAGCAGGACGTGCTTTTGGCTCGTCCTCATCGTCTGGATGTGCGTCTACATACGATGGGTGCCCGTGCTACTGCACCTCTTCCTTATCGGCCTCGTGCTGCGTAACCACTTTGACATGACCGTCAAGCTCCAGCCATCGGAAGCACCGATCTCGTCGGTCGTGACACCGCCCAGCTTTAACACATCGTCGAGCCTCGAGCCGAGCAGCAGCAGCAGCAACCTCCTCGACGGCCAAGCGCGCGTGTACAACCTGCCCCAGGGCTTCCACCACATCACGGACAAGATGACGCGCCTCACAACAGACGCCGAGACGCGCCATACGCTGCAGAACGTCCAGAACAACATGGCGTGGTGGTCGGGCGTCATCAAGTCGATCGAGCTTTTGTTCTCGTGGGAGGACTTCTTCTACACGGGGTATGTGCTCATCGGCCTCATCGTGAGCTGCATCTTGCACGTCGTGATCCCCAACCAGTACTTATTGCTGCTGATCGTCCTCTGGCTCTTTGTGCGCTGGACGGTGCCGTACATAACGCTCAGCCGGTGGCTCTACGGCGTCAAGCAAGGCATTCGATCGCTCTTGCACCAGCACCGCCTCCTCTCGATGCACGAGCAGAAGGGCCTCATGGACCGCGACTCGACGAGCAGCAACAACTCGGGCCCGCCGTCCATCAACGTCATGGACCTCAACGGGAAGAGCTCCATTAACAACGCTTCCAACCCACGCGGCCGCATCCAGAGCATCAGCCACCGCAACAAGAGCGTGTCGAAGCGAGAGCTCATGATTGGCGCCGCTGCCGCCGAGCTCTCCAAGCGCATTGCGGCCGAGAGCAGCGGGGGCAGCGGCAACTTTTCGTCCCTCGACGACTAACGTCTTCTACGAACCTTGTAACTAACTATCTGAATGGTTTCGTGCGTTGATGGGATTCTCCACTAGACGGCAGATACTAGAACATTTAAACCGTTAAACTGCCAGCAAGGTGTAGACGAGTAGAGCTTCCGTAAGTTTTCGTGTCTTCTACATCATCGTAACCGATAATAATCGACTCCAACCTGCCAATACTCGATTGCATCTCCGAGCACGTAGCGTTGATTGGAGTGATGCGTATTCATGGTCCGTGGCAACGCGCATGGTAGAATCAATGCCAACTCTGCGTTTTGCCGCTCTCCTCTTTTTGTCGTTGCGCCTGCAGAGAGCCGCTTTGTCGAGCGACATCCAGTGCACTAGTACTTCGAAAACTACTATCGCACAAAGACAGCCCTACGGTCCTTTGCCCATACGAGACTGCGCTAGCGTGACGGTGGCAACATTTGAATCGATCTAAAGAGCATCGATTTTCAAGAGGGGGGTACGGCACGCATCGCGTGCTTGGCTGTCGTGTCCCTTGCGTGCTTGCAATACGCCTCGTAGTCGTTGTGGAAGAGGCGAAGACAGTCGAGGCCAAAGCTGCGAACAGTCGTGCCTGCATAGCGCAATCCTTGGAGCTCTAGCCGCGCTTCGGCGCTGTTGTACAGTGGCTCCATGAGCGCGGGGTCGGGCGCGAGAAGGAGCGCTTGGATACGCTCGATGAGGTCGCGACTGCGCCAATCTACGTTTGTATCAATCAAATCTCATTTATCGCCAAGCGCCAACCTGGGTTCCACAGCTGCGTGAGGCACTCGGCCGACGCGGACCCGTCGACGAGCACAATAAAGTTCAAGTGATACACGCGCGTGAGGAGGCGCACTGACGGCGCCTCGTACGGGTACTCGTGACCAAACCTAAGATCGCGTTCTTGATATATTGCAACATGGATACGCAAACGGCAAACTCAAAGTGAAAAGTGAAGCGACCACCGGCATACGGCGACGTCTCTGGGCCCGCAATGTGCACGTGCCATTGCCGCATGTCCTCTTTCTCCAGTGTTTCAACCTTTCAACTTTGAAAAACCAAGTACGTACTTGGGAACGGCTCGATGACGCAGCCTGGAATCGGTGTCGTCACGGTCGCCGTAAATTCGCGCCGAATCTCGAACGCTTGTTTCGCCAGCTGCATGAACCGTCCGAGCTTGTTGGCTTTGCCGCGCCGGAGGTTGCTCATCATCTACGCTCTGACTCGGTACAAAAACGCTTTCAAGCAAGAAGAATACCCGCACGAACTCGGTGAATTCGATCTGCCCCGAGTTGTTTTCATCGACGGCTGCAATGAGCTGCAGTAGCTAGTACATGGTAAGTGAGTCGTCAGAGTGCGTTAACCACGCAGCACCTCGGTGCGCTCCATGTGCACGTTCATGGACGCCATCATCGTCGAGAGCTCGTTGACATCTAACTTTCGTCATCATAGTCCAGCTACGTGACAATGCAATGGGCCAGACCGATGCCGCCGTCGCCACTCGTGTCAAAGGCCTTGAACTACCCAAATTGAGCGGCGTGGCATGCTTATATTCCGGTACCTGGTCCAAGAACTCTGCGAGCTCGTGCGTCGAAAATTCGCGCTTCAAGCTCTCAGGCACATAATAGAGGTCGGTCCTGGCAGCAGCCATCGACGACAGCGCTAGAAAGACTTCAACGTAAGAATAGCCATCGCAAACGGTTATGCGCCGCGCTTTCTACCGCAGTTGTTGTCATTTAACCGCAGTTCTCGTCATTTAAACGCTAAAAGACATGTTTCTCGAGTTGCTGCCTGGGGACGCAAAGTCTCTGGTTGCTGCCTGAGGACGCTGAGTCCTCTAGCCTGCCTCTTGCGCATGCTCATGCGTACGGCGTCGATTGAAGCTGCCGCCAAAGGTGCAACAATCCGACTTTTCTCGATGGGAGATTAACGCTACACAGAGGTGTACACAGCGTTTGCAAGGAATTTACGAAAATTAACGCATCTTATCCTTGCTTGTATCATAAACAAAGAGTATCCAATATATTAAAATAGTCCAGAATCCATACAAACAGCAAGTGCATTTTAATCCGTGCGACGCCACGTTCCATCGTTCGTGCCCAGCGGTGCTACAGCGAGGAAATGGGCGGTGACAAGCGATCGGCGCCGGACGCCGAGACGACGGCCTTGGCCAAGCGCGCGCGCCCGGATGAAAACCAGACCTTCCCGCGCAGCTCAGCCATCGTGCCCGTGGACGCCAAGGTCGTGACCATCAGCGCCAAGGCCGACAGCAGCCAGCGGACGTCCGACCTCCTCGCGCCCACGATGCTCCTCTCGGGCCACAGCGCTGCCGTCTACTCGATGGCTTTTAGCCCGAACGGCAAGAGCGTGGCCTCGGCCTCGTTCGACAAGTCGATCTTCCTCTGGAACGTCTACGGCGAATGCGCCAACTACAACGTCTTGAGCGGCCACAAGAACGCGGTGCTCCAGGTGCAATGGTCGTACGACGGCAGCATGCTCATGTCGGCCTCGGCGGACAAGACCGTTGGCCTCTGGGACGCCGAGACGGGCCGCCGCCTCAAGAACTACAAGACACACACGGCCATTGTCAACAGTGTCTGCCCCGTCGCCAAGGGTCCGCAGCTCCTTGTCAGTGGCAGCGACGACCGTACGATCAAGGTACTGCCGTTTACCACGTGCGATGACAAGTACTGACTCGCGTCTAGATTTGGGATACGCGGCTCAAGCGCGAAGTTGACACGATCGAAGAGCGTTTCCAGGTCACGGCCGTCTGCTTCGGCGCCGACTCGAGCCAAGTCTTCTCGGGCGGTGTCGACGGACTCGTCAAGCAGTGGGACATGCGCAAGGCCGACGCCGGGCCCGTCGACATTCTCACAGGCCACAGCGAGATCATTACGAGCTTGCAGATGAGTCCGGACAGCAACTTTGTCCTCTCGAACGCGATGGACAGCACGCTGCGCAAGTGGGACGTGCGTCCGTTCTGCGAAGGTGCGCGCTGCAAGATGATCTACTACGGCGCCAAGCACAGCAACGACCGCAACTTGATTCGCGCGAATTGGAGCCCTGACATGCGCTACGTGGGCAGCGGTAGCGCCGATCGCCACGTGTACATTTGGGACGCGGAGACGGGCGAGCTGCGGTACCACCTCCCGGGGCACTCTGGCAGCGTCAACGAGGTCGCGTTCCACCCGAACCCGAGCGAGCCAATCGTCGGCTCGTGCAGTAGCGACAAGACCATGTACTTTGGCGAGCTCCTCGACAGCTACGTCGCGGCCTAGGCTTGGATCCTCGATGGACCCCGGTTTCTTTATAGTTTCTATTGCTCTCTCTTGCTCTCTGTTCGCATCGCAGTGGACGCGATAGAATGGTGGTGGTGGTGGCTGCGTGCAGCAACCGGTAACGCCCATCAGAATAGCGCGCCTTTCCACGCCGCCGAGATGCGACATCACGGCAGCCTCGCATACCCTCGGAGCCATGCCGCACGGCTTGCTTTGCCGCAGGAGATCATCAGCAACGTACGTTGGGAGGGCTCCAGCACATGCACGGAAGAGCTGCAATGTGATTACGTGGCAGATCCTTGTGCAAGGACTGTTTTGATCGGACCAATCACCATCGAGCATCGTTGGCGTTTCCACGTGGCTGGGTTCAGTTCCCAAGATAGCTCGGCGACGATGGTGTTTGTATCGCTCGACGGCTGCGCCGACGCTCCGAGCGCCGTCGCCGACAGCGTACCCAACGAGCACCCGGTCGCTGTGCGCGTGACGCCGGGGTCGCCGCCCAAGCCCGTCAAGAGCATCTCGCCCGTCAAGACGCTCGACGACGAGTTCGTCGTGTTTGTCTCGGACCGCGCGACGACCGACCGCTGGGCGCTGCGCAAGACGTACCGCCAGGTCGCGGACTTGCACAGCAGCATCAAGGGCTGTGTCGTCGGCGCGAACTGTCGGCGCTTTGCGTGCTGCGGCCCACTGCGGCGCGTCGCCAAGGCGCGCATGCCCCGCCAAGCGCGGAAAGTGTGCTTTCGCTTCGAGGCCACGCTCATGACGCTGGATGCCAAGGCTGCCCAGCGCACGATGGGCGTCGAAGAGTACTTGAACGAAACGATCATGGCCACGAACGGGCGCGACGCGGAGTGCCCGAGCCTCGACGCGGCCCGGACTGCGCTCGACGCCTTCCTCGAGGTCGCGCACCGACGCGAAGCGAAAGCGTCGGCCACGATCGAAGCACTGCTTCACGGTCTCCGCGTCACGGACGCCGTCTCGGTGCACATCGAGTGCTCGGTGTGCTTGACAAGCTTTCGCGACGACGCCAACGCCGTCCAGCTGCCGTGCAGTCATGTCTTCCACGCACCGTGCGTCGAGCAATGGCTCGCCAAGAGCACGACGTGTCCCGTGTGTCGACAGCCCGTGACCGCCTCGTGACACATCTCAAAGGTCTCTGCACTGGTCGTTTGGAATGGCCTGCTGCTTGATACTAGTAGCATCTAGACTTGATACAAACTCGATACAAACGGACTTCACTTCCACTTGGTCTATTGGTGTTGGTAATTCTACGGAAGGCTCTATCGTTTAATGGCCTTCTTCTTCGGCCCGTCGTCGTTGGGCGTGCTCGCGTCGTCTTCGTAGTACGACGTGCCGTACGCGAGGAAGAACTCGTGCATGGGTGGCACCTCCTTCCACGTCACGACGTAGAGCTGGTCGAGCACGATCTTGGAGTCGGGCTTCGTCGGGTCCACGATGCAGCCCGGACACAGAATCGAGTTGTTGTAAAAGCCCGAGGCATCCCAGTAAATGTCTTCCGGGTACTCGTACACGCGGTCGTTAGGAAACCCGCCCATGGAGCCCTCGGCGTCGACGAGGCCGTCGTACTCGACGAGTCGGTGGCCATACTGCTCGACGAATCGGTCGACTTCCTTGACTTCGCCGTTGACGACGACAAAGGTCTCGCCGACCTCCCCGCAGCGCGCGACCTTGTTGAGGCCGTCGTGGTGCATCTCTTCCGAGATGCGCCGACTCCCGAAGATGCACACGACCGAGAACGCCGGCCACGGATGCTTGGAGAGGTTGAACATACCGCGACCCGAGTTGGGAATACCGGAAATCGCCATGCCCATGGTGCCGTTGATGTTGGATTCCGTGCGCTGGATGTCCTTGAGCTTGACTTTCGTAAACTTGAGCGGCGGCGGCTTTGGGATCGATGCTTTGAGTGCCGCGAGCTCTTCGTCCGTGAGCTCGGGCGGTGTCTCCTTGACCAAGTGCCTACAGCATCATGCCACCAATAAGAACGGAGATGGATTTCAAAGAAACACGTACATTTGCTTGGCCTCGGTCTTGGCGCTGCGCTTGTAGGCTTCGTGGATCGTCGACTTCATGCGCGGCGACCACCACTTGCCCTTGGTGGACGTCTTGATCTGCTTGGAAAAGTGGAACGTAATGAGCCGCGAGACGTTGAGTGCCTTGCCGTCCTTGGCAGCGGCCACGGCCGTGCGCGCGACCGTGAGGAGCCGGTCGTCGATGAGGTCGTCGAGGGCCGTGTTGGCGCGCTCGCTGAGCGTCCAGACGACGCCGAGGAGCCGCTTGACTTCGCCTAAGTCGACATCGCCGAACGCTTCGACGACCGCGACGAGTTTGTTAAAGTCGGGGTTTTGCGAGTAGAGCGTGTGGTTGCAGCGCTTGAGATAGCTCATGACGTAGGCGTTGAGGTTGTCGCACGGCATGCGCGCCTCGAGCTTGCGCCAGAGCTCGTCGATAAGGCACGCGTCGCTGTGGAAGATCGACTTGGTCGCTTCCGCGTCAAAGTCCCACGTGCACGCGAGCGCCTCTTGCATGACCTCGCCCGACGTGCGCATGTGCTCGGGCTCGACCGACGTGTGGTGCGTGTCGATGAGCTGCTTGAAGTTCTTCTTGACGTACCGGTGCAGGAACTGGTCGGTCCAGTACCGGCGGTTGCTCGTGTCGTTCTCGAGTGCGTTCGGCGGCAGGAATTCGCGTACGCTTCGTTGAGCGTCAAGACGTGGTCGATCTCGTACAGCTCGTCTTCGTTGGCGCGCGAGAGGTAGATCTCCCACGCACCCGGCGTGATGTTGTGCTTGCGCATGAGCTCCGCGACCTGCGGCGACGCGGACGACGGAAGGTCGCTGATCGGCGACGACGACGCCGTCGAGTTGGCAAGCGATTCAAACGGCAAGTCCAGCGCCATGGTCGGTCGCTTGAACGGGATGTGCCACTTTTCCCAGAGCACGAGGATTTCGCGCACAACGGTCTAGGGCCTCATGAGCATTTGCAGTCGATGTTGGGTATGCAGCCTACCAGTTCCTTCCAGTCGTCGTCCATGAGATCGAGGAGTTGGTAGAGCACCTTCTCGGACGCGACGACGAGCGGGGACGAGGCGAGGCGGCTGTTGCCGTGCTCGTCGTTCGTGCCGCCACGCACCTTGCGAAACACTTCGTGCGCAAGGAAGATGACGTTCAGCTTGCCTTTGTTGTGCTCGAGCGCCTCGGTCGCTGCCAAGATCCTTCGCCAAATGCTGTCAAAGCCATGTTCTTGCTTGAGGATAAAGCGCATGCAAATCTAAGCATCGCCAACGTCAGTATATGACCATTGTCTATGGGCATGAAGTACCTCGATCGCCGACTTGGTTTCGGGCAGGCGCTCGAGGAGCATGTCGAGCTCCAGCAGCGGGTCGTTCAACGACGTCGAGAGCGTCTTGGCCTTGACTGCCGCCTCGGCGAGGCTCTGTTTCTTCTGCAGCAGCTTGTCTTCGATCTCCTTGTTGATCTCTTTGCTAATGACGCCAATGACGACGCCGTCGTCGTCGCGACAAAGCGACTCGACGCTCGCGCCCGTCCGCTTCAAGCGCTGGAGGCTCTTGAGCTGGTGCAGATCCACGGGCGCGACGAGGTGCAGCGTGAAGATGTACTTGGCGTACGGGAAGCTCACGCAGAGCGCCATGCGCTTGCGCTTGAGGTACGCCAAGAGCTCGCTGGCGTCCTTGGAGGCAAACTTGCAGAAGAAGCTCGTGCCGGGCACGGCGCTGTACTTGGTCTTGGTGCTCACGCTGAGCTTCTTGGGAAAGTCCTTCAGATAGTGGCGCTTCTCCGCGGGGAGCTTCCCGACGAGGCTCATGGAGACGCCTTGAAACTTGACCTCGACGCGCCACACGTCGGCCGCCATGGACCCGCTCATGATCGCGCAATAAAAATAAATGTTCAAAAACCCACACTGGCCAGCAGCCAGTGCCCTGTTTGCACATTTTCATCTCTCGCACGAAGGGAGTTGCCCTCGATTCTAGGGGCAAGTAACCTCGTGTGCACCTCCGAGGTGCAATTTCATTTACGGGATCGCCGTAGAGGCGGGAACTTGACACGCGGAGGAATATGACGATATTGTTGTTCGTGCTGCATGTGTTTATATTGTATATATATTTATATTATCTATAGTCGTTTTAGAGTTGGCAGACAGGTTGGAGGGTGGTGGGGTCGCGTCAGTAGTCGTACGCGGGCGCCGACCACTGCGGCGGCGGCGTCGGGAGGTGGTTGAGGCTGTCGCGACGCGCTGGCAGCGTCACGCGCCGCTTGGCCATCTCGTCCTTGACCATGTAGCGGTACGTGGACGGCGGTGGCGGCGTCGGGTGCATGTGGTGGTGGTGCGGTGCTTGCTGCTGGTACTGCAGCTGGTACTCGAGCGTGCTCCCTTGCATCATCATGTCCATCGCGCCCCATTCGATCGTGTTGCTCTCGACCGTGCGGAGGTCGGCTTCGCCGTGCGCGAACCTGCACTCGTCCGTCGAGTAGTTGCAGCAGCCTTTTAGAAAGTAGTAGCAGAGCTCCGTCTTGTAGTTTTGGAGGCGCGGCGCGGGGTTGGGCAGCGGCACCGGCGCGACGTTGACGCTCGGCGGTGGCGGCTCGCGGAACACCACGTCGCTCTCGCCGTGCGCGAGGAGGCACTCGCGCCGAGCCTTGGGGCACTGGCCCTCGAGGTACATAGGGCAAAGGCGCGTCTTGTAGCCAGGCGTGGTCGAGACCGGCACTTTGGCGTTGACCGGCGCGACGTTGACGTTGTTGGTGGTGGTGGTGGTACGGACGAGGTCCGACTCGCCGTGCGCAAAGGAACACGTCCGCCGCGTCTTGTTGCACTTGCCTTGGAGGTAATACATGCACATCTCGGTCTTCCAGTTGCTGCTCGCGGCGCGGAACTCGGGCTTGGCCACTGGCAGCGGCGCAACACTGGGTCTCAGCGACGCGTGGTGCTTCAAAAGGTGATCCATGGTCTTGGAGACGTCACCGTTGCTCGCGCGCAAGGCGTCCTGGAGGTCGTCGAGGCTGACGCCGTCAAAATCTCGTAACATACCAAGAGTACTGCTGCTCGCCGCGCAACTGTCGTCGCTGTCCACCGAGTCGTCGTTGGAGCTGTTGCTCGTCGTGCGCCGGCTGCTCAAGCTCGACCGGTCCTTCGCCTCGGCGTCGGGCGTGGCGCCATCGAGAGAAAACGCGTCGGCCGTCGGCAACTTGGTGAGAAGCGCCGAACTCATCGTCGCGGCGGTCGCTGGCATGACGCACGGCGAGTCCAAGAGCGAGGACGGAAGGAACTGACCCATGTTGCTGTTGCGCAACGACGTCGAGAGCGGTGACGGCGACGCCGTCGGATCCTGCTCTGCATCGTCGTCGTCGTCCGTGACGGGCGTGGCCGAGTAGAAGCGAAAACCGAGAAGGCCCGGCGCGGTGGGCGGCTTGGTCTCAAACGGCTTGGGCGGCGAGTCCCACGGTCCGCAGCGCCCGTTGCCGCCGACGCATCAACGCTCGGGCGGCCCGGCTCGTCTTTGGGTCCAGCCGTCACTGCTGGTGTGGGCGGTGCAACGCGATCCTTTTGGAGCTCAAACGCTACGGTACGTTCGCGCACGAGCTCCTGCTTGAGCTTCTTGATCAAGAGCGACTGAAGCGACACCTTCTCGTCCGCAGCCGCCTTGGCAGCTTGGGCGGCGGCCAATCGACTCTCCACGTCGGACGACTGTTTGCAGTCGACGGCGCAGTCGCGACCGTAGGCCAGCACGACGCGGCGGAGCGCCTCCTGCACACTCTCGCCGATCGCGTCGACGATGTCGACGACTGCGACATGTCGATTTTGCATTGATGAGAGCGCGTCTTCGGTTGCCACGGGCGCGGAGGTCATATTCGGCTCTACGACGTCGCGAGCCGCTGCTACTGATCTTCGTCCGGCACGGGCTGAAAGGAAGATGATGATGACCGCGCACGAGGTGTCACCTGGCAAACCTCTCCAAATTAATATCCGCGCTCTCGAGACGACGCGACGAGCCAATCCAAAGCCGCGATTGCACCAGCCTGCACAATTTGAATGGCAGCCAGGCGCCATCCGGATAAGAATGACACGGTGATGAGCTGGCGCGTGTCTAGCAGCCGAGCCGCGATCACGCCATCATCCAGCGACGCCGTGGCGATGATTCGTCGCATGTCGATGCTTGCATGCGAGAAGGAGCCCTCCGTGTATTTCATTGTAGCTCCTCCTCCGACATATTCCAAATGCTTTGAGGTGCCACGTGGTATGACGTCAGTGCCGAAGTTCCAGGCTTGGGTGCCACGGAGACTGCTGTACTGCCGGGCATGCGGTAGCTACCGAGGCTGCATTCTCGCTGCGCCAGACGCCTTTGCTCAGCATCTTGTTGGCTCGTACCTCTCCACGCGGGTGGTCGCTCGAGTGCTTCACATGACTGCGCTACATGGACACGTCGGCGACCGCTCAAGATCGGGATTCTATCCGGAGACGCATTGATGCCGGATACAATGCGCAGATTTTGGGCGCATGATGAAGTCGTCGTTGCGCGGGTACACGTCCAAGGTGGTCCATGACCTGCTCTGGGCCATGGCAAGCCCTCACCTGCTGTCCGAAGAGATGGGCGTCTTGCCTGCGTCCATGGCCGACGACGTCCTCGCGCAACCGTCGACGCTCGCGTGGCTCGCGGCCCTCGACGCCGACCCGGCGCCGCTCGTGGCCTTTCTCTTCCGTACGACGATGCATGCATGGCCTTTCTATTGATCGACGAGCGTCGTCTGGTTAGAGAAGCGCCGTGATGCCAACTCGCTTGCCCTTGGCGTCTACTACGCCGGCCTCCTCGAGTACTGGCTGCGCTTTTGCCCGGCGTGGCGCGTCGAGAGCCTCGCGGTCGGGCAGCAGCTCGTGTGCAACGAGAAGCATGCGATGCAAACCGTCGGGCAGCTCAAGTTTGTGTTTCGCCAAGCAGGCGCGCAGCCCATGCACTGGGAAGCGTCCATCAAGTACTTCTTGCTCTGCCATGGCCCGCCGTACCAGCTCGAGCACTTTGTCGGGCCGCACTTGGGCGAAAACCTCGCGTGGCGAGCGATCGAGATCGAGCGCAAGCTGAGCATGAGCAAGGGCGAAGCCGTGCGTCGCTGGATGGCGGCGCATTTCGAGCTCCCACAAGCTTCGATGGCACCCACCTCGTACATGGTACTCAAAGGCGCGCTTTTTTATCCGCTCACGGCGCTGTCATCTACTTACGACATTCGCAATATTCCGCTGTGCACGGGTCTGGCCGTCGACCACCGACGTGGGTGGTGGACATCCGCGCCAGCCTCCGACCTCCCGCGGACGACATGCTCAAAGCATGCCTTTGCGATCCTCCCCAAGATGCGCTGGCTCGCGCCTGTCGTCGCCTTCCGTGACAAGGACGGGTCGCTCTACCTGCCGAGCGACGATCGCATGGGCCTCGATCGCGTCGATCTTCTCTCGGTGCACCAACTCTTAACCCATCTCGCTGCCCACTTTGACACGTCGGAGAACGCAGTGCTCGTCGCTGAAGTTGACGGCTCCGGCGACGAAGTCTCGCGCGGGTTCGTGATGGATCCAAGATTTGACCCGTCGCCGCTCATGGCCAACGCGCTTCGGTACAAGCGCCGGAAATCCAAAGACGCCGCTGGTGGGCGCGAGTATGAGCAGCGCCGGGGCATGACAGGCGACGGCGTCCGGCTCAAGCACGACGTACCATCGGCCAAGAAGCGGCAGCTGCAATTGCACGACCTCCCATCGACGCCGCGCGAGCTGTTGTTGGCACTGCAACAACACCTGGTCGCGCATAGCTTTACCTATGCGACGATCAAGGCGGCCCTCATGAGCTACTTGCAGGCCGCAGAAATCATGCATGGCCGCCTCGTCGACTGCGTGATCGCGCTTGTCCAAGGCAGCGACGACTCGAAAGACACGCTGCGCATGGGGCACTTGGTGCTCGAAGCCTACAGTGCGATGCGGACGACCAAGAACGAAGCGGCGTCGGCGCTGCGCCTCGAGGCCTTCTTGCACGCGCAGCTGGACGTGCGCGAGCGCTGGTGGTGCATTCGGCTGTGCGTGAAAGCCATGGGGCTGCTCGGCGCCTCCGTCGACAACCCAAATAAACATCCCATCGAGAGGCTTCAAACTGCCGTGCAAGTCCTTGTGGCCGCCGCCCACCCGCGCTGGAACGCCGCCGCCGTCGATCTCTGCGCCTTGTATCGGCTGCCTCGGTACAGCCTCTGCCACACTACAGCGTTCTGGCATTGATCAAATGGGTTAGGACCGACGAGGCGGCCATGGATATGCTCAGCGCGATGCTGGACCACGCCGACTATTATAACGCGGAAGCCTTCTTCGACGCACAAGTGACGCTCGACAGCACTGGCGAGCGCACGTCTCGCCTCGTCGGCTGCATTGCGACCCGCCACGCGCTGCCGACAAAGATTGCGCGGCGGCGCGGCGATTTGGCGGCCTCATGTCGCCCCATCGAATCGACGAGACGACGTCCGAGATGCCGCCCTTTTGACGCCCAAGCACTACGTGCACAGCTCCAGCCCGCCATTGAGCGAGCTCTCGACGCCGTGCACTTGGTCGATACGCCGGACGCCTTCTGGGCGCTGCATGCGCATCTCGAGCGCCTCGGTCGCGACGGTCGCCAGCACGTGATTGGCGTTGACTGCGAGTGGCGGCCGCGCCAGCACGCCGACGAGACAGCCAGCGACGACGAGCGCGTGCAGGTGCTGCAGCTCGCCGTCCCGGACGCAGTGTACGTGTTGGACACGATGGCGCTGGACGCGGCCGGTCAGCACAACGGGCTCTTGCTCATGGAAGCGCTCTGCTCGATGCTTTTTAGCTCGCCGAGCCTGCTGCTCGTCGGATTCTGCTTTGCTGGCGACGTGCAAAAGCTCCGAGCGACGTACACCAGCGTGATGGACCGCGTCTGCCCTTACACGACCAACTGCCTCGAGCTGCGCAAGCTCGCGCTGCTTCGGCTCCCGACCGAGTCGGCGGCACCGACGTGGGGGCTCGCGACGCTTGCTAGCGCGTGCCTCGGCCTCGCGATGGAGAAGGACCAGCAGTGCTCCGATTGGAGCGTGCGGCCCTTGACACGGGTGCGTTGCTTTTCTTGAAAGCGTTCACATACATATTGGTATAGGCGCAAATCGAGTATGCAGCGTTGGACGCCGTCGCCGTACGCCTCCTGGCGCTATTCTTCGTCGCCGATCTGCTCACGCTGCGCAGCGACGCGGGTCTTCTCGCGTCAGCGCCTGTGACCATGCCCGCGCGTCTCCTTCGTCGCCTCTTGATTCGCGAAGACCGCCGCGACCTCGGTACAGAAGATGACTTTCCGTCTGTGATATTACCCTATTTGCCTAGTCCCGTTTTTGCAAGAGAGCCACGTTGTTGCTGCTCTCACAGCACTGCACCTTTCGTTCACGGTCCAGGACGCCGCCTCGGTGGTTCCCAGAAGCGCCATCGTCAAGACGGTAGCTTTCGCCGTCACGTCCGAGGCCACTGCGTACATCGCCGTCGTGCTCGAGCTCGAAAAGCCATCGACACGACGGCACTTGCCGACGCGCTGGGCGTCGACGCCAGCCACCTCTCGCTCGCGACCGACGCGGTGCGTTGTGTGATCTCATCGTGCATTCTTCTTCATGTTGACTAGGAACTATTGCACGTGTTTGGCTACCCGCGAGGCTGCATTGGACCGCTCGGGCTGCGCCAGCAGCGCCACATTCGAGTCGTTTTGGACGCGCATGTGGCGTCGATGCAAACAATGTTCTGCGGCGTCGGCGCCCTGCGTCGCGTCGTGGGCCTTGCCCCCCAGGATGTTCTCGCCCTCGACGGAACACCCGGAGTCGCCTCCGTGACGCACTATTCGTCCGCTAAGCAGAGACGGATAGAAAAATACATCTCCGTGTATCGATCTTTCAACTTGATTCGGTCGACGGCGCCAACGACCTTCTAAGACACGATCAACAGCCACGAACTTGGGAGCATGGGAGTCTATGTCGCCCGTTTACTTTGTACATGTTGTCTACGAGAGCGACTCGAGGTCGTGGCCGCCGCGCAAGACGACCTGCGTGAACACACTGTCGTGGTGCTGCGCGAGCTCCGCAAACGTGCCCTACGGGATTGCCATCGTGAGTGCCCATCCGATTGCGTTCTGATGCGACCTCTTCGACGACGCGACCGTCCGAGATGACGGCGATGCGGTCGGCGCTGCGAATGCTCGAGAGGCGGTGCGAAATCAAGATGACGGTGCGGTCCATCTTGGCCCTATGTCAACAGCAATTACGTTCCGCATGAAATGCAAGGTGCCGCACTTGTCGATCGCGTCCTGGACGAGCCGCTCGCTCTCCTGGTCCAGCGCCGACGTGGCTTCGTCCATGAGCAGAATGCGCGGGTTCTTGACGAGCGCCCGCGCGATTGCGACGCGCTGCTTTTGGCCGCCCGAGAGCGACAAGCCCTTGCTGCCGACGTGCGTGTCGTACTGGTCTGGCAGCGACATGATAAAGTCGTGGGCATTCGCTTGCTTGGCCGCCTCGATGATGCGGTCGAGGGACACGTCGTCGTCCGCCGTCAAGCCGTACGCAATGTTCTCTGCGATCGTCGCGCCAAAGAGCGGCGGCTCCTGGCTCACCTACGAAAGACGCTTCGTGCAACGTGTAAAGACTTGGGTTGGACGCACCGTGCCAATGATGCTGCGGAGCTCGAGCGGGTCCATGTTGGCAACGTCGACGCCATCAATCAGGATGCGGCCACCGCACTTCTCTAGGCGACGAGAGAGATGAGACGTCCAAGACGGCGTGCGATATACCGCCGCGGAGCTCGTAGAAGCGGGCGAGGAGCGCCATGACGGTGCTCTTGCCGCAGCCGCTGGGTCCGACGACCGCGAGCGTCTCGTGCGGCCGGACCGTGAGATTCAGCTTCTCAAAGATCTGGGCCTCGGGGCGCGCGGGATAGTGAAACGAGACATTTTGAAACTCAATGTTGCCTTGGAGGTTCGTCGGCAACGGCTCGGGCGACGCCGCCGTAATCACCTGCGGCGTCCGGTCCACGAGCTCAAAGACACGCGTGGACGCGCCAATGCCCTTCATGATGTCTGCAACGTTGCATGAGACAGGACCGTTGGAATGTGTGCGCACCCGAGTAGAAGGACGAGACGCCAGCAAACGAAAACCAACGTAGAGCGTGTACATGAGGAACGAGCTAAGCTCGCCGACCGTGAGCGCGTCCTCGGCGACCATGGAGCCGCCGTAGCCGAGCACCGCGAGCATGCTCATCTTGACGGAGAAGTCCACCGCGCCAAAGAACGTCGAGCTCGCGAGCGACCGCTTCTGCGCCAAGTCCAAAATACCCGCAATCTTGGCTTCGTGCGCGGTCGTCTCGTACTCCTCCTTGGCAAACCTACGGTCAAGACTGTGAGATCGATATCTTATCCTGAGACCGGCAAGTACCAGCGCACGACGCGAATGTTGTTGAGGCGTTCTTCGGCGAGGTCGGTCGCATCGCTGAGCTGCTTCTGGACTTCGGCCGTGAGCTTCTTGACGTACCGGCCGTACGAGACAGCGCCCAGCGCCAGCGGTGGGACGATCGTCAGCATGACAAGACCGAGCTTCGGACACGTAACAAAGAGCATGGTGACGCTGCCAATGCCCTGGCCAATGCTGCGAAAGCCTATGCATGTTCGCTTGGGTGTGGGCTGGGATGGATGAGGCGGACGTACCGCCGGCGACGTTGTCACTGAGCACCTTGCCGATCAGCGCGGTATCTACGATTGCAAGTGAGGGCAAGAACGATTGCGACAGTAGTCCACCAGCGCTGAGACGGTTGAGGAGCTCGCCCGTCTTGGTCTTATCGAAGAAGGTCATGTCTTGGCGCAAGATCGACGCGTACGTGTCTTGGCGCAGCTTGTTGGAGATGCGCTCGCCAATCATGTTCATCATGTTGATGCGCACGATGTTGGTCGCGGCGCCGACGAGGAAGAGGCCGCCCAGCGCGGCCGAGACCGTCGGGAGCATCTCGACGCCGCCTGGTTGCGTCACGACGTCAATGATCTTGCCCATGCCGAAAGGCACAGTCATCGTGATCGCGGTCGAGAGACCCAGCGCAGAGAGCGAGATCGCGAGGTTCTTCTTCTCGGGCTCGTACAGCTGCATGAGCCGGCGAAACTCCGAGAGCTTGGACGCTGGCTTGGCCTCGGGCGGCGTCTCCTTCTCCGACGGCGCATGAAGCGACGAGTGGGCGCGGAAGAGCGCCGGTACGAGGCCTTGTCGGTCGCTGCGGGTGCGGTAGCGCAGGGCCACGGACGGGCGGACGCCGGACCGCAGGCGGAAGGACAGCATCGCAATAACAATGACCGAGCAAGCCCGCCGCGTGGAATCAACCAATCAAAACGCGCGCACGCGTCACGGTTAGCCGAAACCGGTTGACGTACTGGACCGAATTGGACGTTCGCGATGCCACACGAAGTCTTTGCAAATCAAAACACTGTTTCCCAAACAGCATTTTAAAATGTCTCCAACAGAGTCCACAATCGTGTCTGTGATGGCCGTGACTGGGGACACGGTCATGCAGCGACTAAGAACCGCCACCAAAACCACCGCGAAACGCAGCTCACTGCACCTACTGCATTTCTTATTCTGTTCCTCGTCACAGCGCTTCGAGGAGGTCGCGGATGTACCGAACTGGTATTAGTGTCGAGTCCAGTCCCTCGAACAAAGATTTGGCGTCGATCCCTATTTGAAAACGTCGGAGCGATGGCACCAGCTGCTGCAGACCAAGCTCCTCAAGAAGACGCTGCCCAGAGTGAGCCGTGTTCGGCTACGGTTTCAAGCAAGCGATCCATGCCAGATCATGCCTGTCCACAGAGTATCGCATTATAGGAGCAGTAAAATTCAACAAGCACAACTGACACGGGCAAATATATAAGTTGTGCGGCGGCACACTGGGCGGCACGCGTCGCTCCATTTTGCTCACGCGAGTTACTCGCGCCCGACCGGCCGTCGTAAACGCGGCGCAGGTGCACACTAATTGCGCATGGCGCCAACGTGTTGCGCAAAATGCGATACACTATTTGCGTGGACTCGTCTAAGTGCGGAAACCGCGGCCGTGTCGCAAGGTAAAGTCGTCTGCGCACTTGACCGAGCGAACGTTTTCAAAGCTAAACTTGCTGCCATGGGCGTGGTCGAGACGGTGCACAACATCCGGAGCCGCGTGCTCCTCGAGCTCTTGGCTGTCGGCCTCGAGGAGGAGCCGACGCCGCCCTTCCACCAGCCGACGCCGATCGGCGCGACGCCGGCGCCAGCGCCCACCAAGATCCGCGTCTTGTCGATGAACGTTTGGGGCATCCCAGTCACGCCGTATTGCACCGAGCGCGCCCAAGCGATCGGCGCGATCCTCGAAGAGAAGGCCAAGGACTGGGACATCATCACGCTCCAGGAGGTCTGGCACCGACGCGAGAAGCGCATCATCGTGCACGCAGCGTTGCGCGCGGGCTTTGCCTACTCGCACTACTTTCATCCGGCGGTCGGCTTTCCGCTGCCGTTAGGCCACGACTCGTTTGGCACGGGCCTCCTCGTGCTCTCCAAGTTTCGTCTCTCGTCGGCCATGTACCACCCGTTCCTCTTGACGGGTCGGCCGTATGCGCTGCACGAAGCCGACTTCATCGCGAACAAGGGCGTCGGGATCCTCCGCGTCCACAGCCCGGACGGCGCCGAGATGGCCGATCTGTACGTGACGCACCTCCTCGCCAACTACAACCACTTGGGCTCGCCAGGTCCCGGCGACTCGTACCTCTCGCACCGCGCCGCGCAGGCGTACGAGCTCGCGACCTTTATCCAAGCGACGACGCGCAACGCGCTCATTATGGTCTGCGGCGACTTCAACTCGCCCGCCAACTCGCTCGTGCTCAAGATCGTCCGCGACCTCGTCGCGCTCCGCGATGCGTTCGCGGACAACCACAAGAACAAGGACTGCGAAGGGCTCACGTTCGGAACCGACGACAACGAGTTCTCAGCCGGCGAGTTTCCGATGCGGATGGACTACATTCTCTTCAAGTCCCAGCGCTGGGCGCTGCATGAGAGCAACGTCTACAAGGAGTTCTTTACCAACACGAAGGGCGACGAGCTCCCGCTCTCGGATCACTTTGGCGTCTTTGCCGAGTTCCGCCTTACGACGCACGACAACGACGACGAGACCAACAACAACAACAACAATGAGCAAAGCGACAAGGTTCCGGCCGGTGAACCGTCCGGTTTGCGCAACCGCAAGCAGCCGCAGGCCGTGGCGCCAGTGGCCTTGCCGGCCGCGACGCCGTCGACGGCGATTGCGTGTCTCGAAGACATTCTCCGCGAGCTCGAGGCCGGGAAGGCGCAGACCGTCGAAGCTCGTCTCACGCACTTGACGCGGGCTTTCGGGAGCCTTTTCGCCGTGCTTGTGGGTGGCATCGGCATGGTGCTGTACAGCCACACGCTCTCGAACGCCTTTTGGTACATGGGCTATGGGCTCCTGACGCTGCTCTTCGTGTTTGGCATCCTCGAGTACATCGTCTCGTTCTTCGTCCTCACGCTCGAGGTGTCGTCGTTCACGGAGTTTCTCAACCAGATCTTACTCCACCGCCATACGCTTCTGGAAGGCAGCGTTCAAGACGCGTAAAACTCACGTTAAAGATTTAGACGAAGCGTATTTGTGCACATCATGTCTACGACGTGGCCGATTGCAGCCGCGCTTGGACCTGTGCCACGTCATCCACCGACGAGATGCGCACAGCGGCACGATGGCTCGCAAACTGTGCTGCGACGTCGTCTAAAAGGCAGCTTGGAGACAACCAGGATGATGCTCGTAGAGAGTACCGTAGGGGTCGATGGTCGTTGATGGCACATCGCTTCGCCGTCCTGCTGTCGCGTGCAGCTGATGGTGCAGCTCTACGCGCATCATCATGAAGACGCTGTGGGCTCATCGTCTGAGCTGCGAACCGCGCATGGTGCCAATCACGTCCCGAAGACCCGTCGCCGACGACACCATTTGATGCGTAAACGGTGCGACTACGAGAGACAGCATTACATGGTCGATGGCAACCCGTGGAGGACCTACCGGTCTCCGACATGCCCTCTGTGAACTGCAGGCTGCGGCAGAGCTCGTCCACGTTGGCGACTTGCGCGTCGAGGGCGACCTGCGCGGCGTGCAACTGTTCCTGCTTCAAGGTCGCGGTTTGAATCTGCTGGCGGAGCTGGTGCAGCTCGAGCTCGAGTGCGCTGACGTCGGCTTCGCTCCAATGCGCGGCGTCCGTGAAGCTCGCGTCGATCTCGTGCTGGTACTTTTGCTGGATCTCGGCGATGTTGGCCGGCGCCACAAACACATTGCGGAGGATGTAGAGCTCAAACTTGTCAAAGTTCTTGGTGAACGACCGGCTCACGAGCTGCATGTACTCGCTCGTTCCCTACGCCAAGGCTCAGCCTGGTAGCGCTAGGCGTCGTACGTTGTGGATGGCCTGTGCCTCGGCGTTCGTGACCACTGTGCCCTTAGACTGCACGAGCTTGCGCTCGAGCTGCTGCGCGCCGTCTTCAATGTACGACTCAACAGACTTGAAGACTACAAAGAGATTGTCGCTTCGCGCACGAAGCCATGTGAACGCACCGTCGTCCGTGAACTGCAGCCCGCGGCCGCTGAAGAAGTCGGGCGCGTCGGCCATTATGTGCTGGCCGTGCTGGCCACGCCGGTTTTTGCATTTGTTTTTTAATCCTGATGTGCAATGCCAACAAATAGTGTTAGAGTTACGGTAGTGTTGTGTACATAGCCTTGGACGCCATTGTAATGCAGTGCAAACGAGCAGAACACTAGTGTGCTGTAGGCGTTTGGGGTCTGCGCTTGGTTTCTGCTGGCCATTCTCTCGTGCATGGATTGTGTCAACTCGAATTGCACACTATATTATGTTTTTGAGCTGGATCGAACGATCGATTGGCTGCATTGTTTGGATTTTGGCCAATGGCCGGCACCTAGAAAGGACCAATGACAGGCGGCGAAACCATTCCTTGGCCTGCCACAGTCCATTCATCAAGAAGAAGAAAGCGATGTCTGCCGTCAAGGGTGTCGTCCGTCTCCGCGTCGCCGCCGGCAAGGCCGCGCCGTCGCCTGCCATCGGTCAGGCCCTCGGTCCGCTCGGTGTCAACATGATGGAGTTCTGCCGCTCGTTCAACGACCGCACGGCGCACTTGACGCCCAGCATCCCGGTGCCCGTCCAGCTCACGGCCATGAACGACCGTACGTTCTCGTACACGATCAAGACGCCGCCGACGACGTGGTTCTTGAAGAAGGCGGCGCAGATCACGAGCGGCTCGGAGCTCACGGGCCAGAAGGAGGTCGGCCAGGTCTCGCTTCGCCATATCTATGAGATCGCCAAGGTCAAGCAGCAGGACGAGCTGCTGGATTACATTGAGCTCGAGAGCCTGTGCAAAAACATCATCGGCTCGGCCAAGTCGATGGGCCTCCGCGTTGTAGACAAATAGATAGACAGCCAGCGACGCGTGCGATGTTCAACACGATCCTCTCGTTGGTTCCTTATTCGGTCGCCGCCATGGTCATGACCGTCGTGCGCAAGTGCTGTAGTACGCCATGCTAGGCCTGCAGCTGCAGGAGCATGGATCCGTCACGACTACAACGCGCCAAGCTCGCCGTGCCAACGCTCTTGTGCTGGACATACCAGCACCCGCTCCCGGGCCATCTTTCGCTAAGGGACCTCGTCGTGGCCTTGCATGTCATCCTCATCTACTCTGCCCATGTGTAGCTAGCTAGCTGCCATGGTTGTCGACCGTGGTAGCAGGACGGCCGTTTGCCGGTGCCAAGTTCTTCGAAATGGCCAGTTCAGCTCGGGTTTCGATCATTTTTATTGCGATGCGATACAAACTCCGAGTCGAATTTCGAACGTATGGATTTAAATGACAGCGTGGCTTTTCGGCGGCTTGCGACCGTCAAAAGAAGTTTTGCCACAGACGCGCAATGATCTCGCTGGCGCATGTCAAGTCGAGCCAGGCCGAGGCCGAGAAGGCCGTGCCCACCCGCAGGATAGCCTGGCCCGGCGGCAATCTCGTCTCCAACAAGGAAGAGGCCCTGCGCAAGTTCATGGAGCGCAAGAAGGCGATCGCGGAAGGGCGGTCGACGTCGTCGTCCGCGTCGGCAAGTCCATCCAAGGCGTCGTCCCACCAAACGACGTTCCACGTCAATGGGCGCAAGCGCACCGTAGGACACAAGGTGCAGCCGCATGGTCCATCCAAGGCGCTGCACACGAAGAAGCGCGACTACAAGCACACGATGAAGGACACGGTGACGTTCAAAAGCACCAACGTCAAGGCCGCCGCCTCCTCGAAAGGAAAGGCGTCCGCGAAGCCGCTGCCGACCGTGAGCAAGCTCTCCATGTCCCTCGACGACATTGTACGCAAGTCGAGCAAGTGAAGCGAGCAGCAACACCATGCATGTCAATGTACTACTTCATCGTGCCCTTCTTCTACCACACGGACAAGCATCTCGAGACTACTCGGCCTTGCGATCCGAGATGGTGACGTCGACGGTCGATGATGCCTTGATCTTGATACGGTTGAGCTCGAGCAGCGCTTCGACGAACGCGTTGCCGCCGTGGACCGCGTCGTCCATGAGCACGATGTTGCAGCGGCGCAACGCAGGCGCATGCTCAGCGCAAAGCGAGAGGAGCCAGCTCGGCGCCAGGCGCACCATGGCCCCCGAGAAGCGCAAAACGGACGTGAACCGTGTGAGGTCCTTGCCGGACGGCGTCGGTAGCATTTGCAGCACACGCAGCCGAGGCTCGTCGTCCGACACCTCTTCAAGGAGCTGACCCTTTCCGTGCTCCATGACGTCTTCTGCCGTCGGAACATTGGGCCACACGGATACGATCGTATCGGGGCCCCAGACGTTTGCCGCCGCCGCGGGTGCCGGCTCGTGGTAGATGAGGACGACTTGGACGCCGGCGTTGCGGAATGCGTCCAGCGTCGAGCCCGGTGTGTGGCTTGACGGCGTCGCGATGCGGCTGCGCCCGACGCGCGAGACGAAGAGGTGGAGGAAGCGCGCGTGGCCTTCGTCCTCGTGCGTATAAATATGGTTGATGTCCACGACGACAAGTTCTTGCGGGTGCGCGTCCAGAAAGGTCACGAGCTGGTCAAGCATGCACGACACCTCGAGGAAGCAGAGGCTGTGGCACAGATGGATGCTTGTCTCGTGGATCTGGAGGCGAATGTCGAGGTACCGAATACCATGCAAAAGCTGATGCAGGATCGAGACGCGCTGGCACTAGAGGAGCAGTATTAGTATCACCAGGATATTCAATGGTGCTACCTTGGCCCAGCGCTTCACGACAAACGAGACTGGCGGCAGTCGAATGTACTTGGCCAAGTTGGCGTCGCAGTCGCCTGAGTGGCACTTCTCATGGGCGCGCGAGGCGTACGAGCCCGAGTTGTGGCTACCGGCGAGCGCGATGCGATTGAGGGGCATGGCGAGGAGCGCCGGGTCCGCATGCGTCATCCAGCGCGTGGCCTCGGTCGTGAAGACGTCGTCGGTCGCCGCCTGGCAGTGCTTGAAGAAGAAGAAGACCATGAAGACAGAGAGCAGGAACACGTAGAGGCCGAGGTCAATCGAGGAATGCATGGCGGCTGGCAGCCCGCCCTCCTCTGCCAAGCCCATCGCAGCGCTCCGGCTCCCGATTCGGTGTCAGATTTGAACCAATCAGAGCGCAGATGCTATTTGTCCCACGATTGCCACGTCGAGAAATCTCGCGACATCGGACTTGCTTCTGCCCAGCGGACCAAGCTTGCGGACCATGCATGAAAGCAATCCCGTCATGGAGCTGGGAAGCCCATGAGAACGCCCGTCATGGAGCTGGGAAGCCCATGAGGATGCCAGAAACAATGCTACCCTTATGCAGCCCCGATGCATTGCTTGGAAAGGAATAGACTGCATGCGAGCTGCTGGCACCCATCTTGATCCAAGTGCTTCGAGGCGGAGGCAGGAAGAAGCTTGGAAATGCTGAGATGCGAAGAGCGAAGGTAGGTCGTTGAGGGCGTTTGTGCTAGAGACCTAGAGCTCTCGAACGCGGGGGCGCTCACCGCACCAAGATCGCATCATGGCGGTCAACGCTGATATCGGATTGGTCAGTTTTCGAGCGCTCGATTGTGTTGGCCAATGAGCGCGCGGGTGGCGTTGTTGGCATTTGGCCATTCAAATAATTCGATTGGGCGCTCCATCGTAGTGTGAATATTGCAGCTCGATCAAGATGCCCAAGGAGAAGAAGATGAAGCGCGCGCCAGGCGACGACGGCCGAGCCGCGGGCTCGGGCCAGAACTCGCACGGGCGCACGCTCGCGACGCCCAACACGAGCTTGGGCCAGCATTTCTTGAAGAACCCGATGATCGCGTCTGAGATTGTCAACAAGGCGGCGATCCGTGGCACGGACATCTGCCTCGAAGTCGGTCCTGGTACGGGTAACATCACGGTCAAGCTCCTCGAGCAGGCCAAGAAGGTCATCGCCGTCGAGTTCGACCCGCGCATGATTGCCGAGGTCCAGAAGCGTGTGCAGAACACGGAGCACGCCAACCACCTCCACATTATCCACGGCGATGCGATCAAGGTCCAGCTCGAGCAGGCCAAGAAGGTCATCGCCGTCGAGTTCGACCCGCGCATGATTGCCGAGGTGCAGAAGCGTGTGCAGAACACGGAGCACGCCAACCACCTCCACATTATCCACGGCGATGCGATCAAGGTCCAGCTACCGTTCTTCGACGTGTGCGTGGCCAACTTGCCGTACCAAATCTCGTCGCCGTTCGTCTTCAAGCTCCTCGCGCACCGCCCCATGTTCCGCTGCGCTGTCGTCATGTTCCAGGAGGAATTTGCGAAGCGCCTTAGCGCGCGCCCCGGCGACGAGCTCTACTGCCGCCTCTCGGTCAACACGCAGCTGCTCGCCAAGGTTGACCAGCTCATCAAGGTCGGCCGCAACAACTTCCGCCCGCCGCCCAAGGTCGAGTCGCGCGTCGTGCGTATCGAGCCCAAGAACCCGCCGCCGCCCGTCAATTTTACGGTACCATATTCCTATCTTGCATTTGAATGCTCAGACATCGCGTAGGAGTGGGATGGCATGGTCAAGATCATCTTCAACCGCAAGAACAAAACGCTTCACTCGTGCTTTACGACCAAGTCGGTCCTCAAGATCCTCGAAGACAACTACCGCACGTACTGCTCGCTCAACAGCTTGGTACAATTCGAACCGTCGCGAAGTGTTTCTTACGCTGAGCGTAGATGCCGGACCCGGCCTTCGATATCAAGACGCTCGTCGAGGCGACGCTCACGGAGACCGACTACAGCGACAAGCGCGGGGCCAAGATGGACCTTGACGACTTCCTCATGTACGACTGCTACTTGTGTGATGCTTGCAGGAAGCTCATGCTGACGTTGTAGCTTGCTCAACGCCTTCAACTCGCGCCACGTTCACTTCTGCTAAGCTGCTGGATTGGACGCCACCTTTTTAATACTCTGTAATTGCCTTGTTGCATGCCTTTGTACGAGTTGCTTTACAATGCAAGGTCCAGAACGAGGTGCTCTGCCAAGCTCGGTGGCGAATCGACCCGCGAAGCAGAATGTAAAACACTGCATAAACTCTGTGTTGCGAGCGAGCCACTGGAAGAGAGTTGGTGCCGGATAACGTTCAGAAAGGGTGTACCATCATGGCCGACGACACGCTCGTGCCCGAAGCCGACCTTGGCGCCAACACGCACTGGGCCGACGTGCTGCAGTTTGTCTTCTGCGACGAGCCCGTGACGCTGGTCCAGGACCCATCGTCGTCCGTGCTCGGCAGCACAGTCTGGGACAGCAGCAAGGTCTTCATGAAGTTCATCGAGAAGCAGCGCGCGTCGCGCTTCGACCTGGCGCTTGCGCAGCACAAGCGCAAGAAGGCGGCGATCAGCGTCATTGAGCTTGGCGCTGGGTGTGGCCTCGCGGGCATCGCCTTTGCCAAGCTCGGCTACCACGTCGTGCTCACGGACGTCGGGCCCGTGCTTCAATGGCTCACACAGAACGTCGCGTGCAGCTTCAGCGAGGCCGAGGTCAGCGGCCGCGTCTTCGTGCACGAGTACTCGTGGGGCACACCGTGCACGTCCGTGGCGTCTCTGATTCCCGATACGCCGCCTTTCGGTACGCACATCGATCCCTGCTGCAGCTGCTGTACGATTCATTTGCTTTGCAGATATCATTCTGTGCGCCGATGTTCTCTACGACGTGGCAGCCGTCAAGCCATTGATCCAGTCGATCCTCGCCCTCTCCAACCGCAAGGTACTACCACCAACCTCATCATAAACTCAATATGCATGCGTAGACGGTCATCTACATCGCCAACGAGCGCCGCAGTCCCGCAACACGGGCAGAGTTTATGCGTCATCTCAACGCCGAGTTTGTGTGGAAAGAGGTTCTTCCGTCTCGCGCGGCAATGATTTCTGAGTGATAATTAGATTTCCAAGGACGACGTCGATCCAGCCTACGACCGCGAGGCCATTGAAGTGTTTGAGGCACGGCGCAAGCACACGAAGGTCCCATTGCAGTTGGCGATCCAAGCATCCGAGGCGCCAATTGCAACCATGATTGAAGAGTAATACCATCATAAACGACTAAGAGGGAGTAAAAGACATTGCAATGATCAACACTTAGGCAGCCCAGCGGTACGTGCGAATACCTCGCTTGGGCACCGCCGTTTGCACGGCAGCGTCGCCGACGCGCAGCGTAAAGTGGGCGTCTTCGGTGTTTTCGTTGAGGACGACAAGCACCACATCGTTGGCCGGCGTCTTGAAGGCAGCCGCCTGCGTCAGTGCATACCCCGCAGTCACGCACTTGTTGGTCATTTGGTTGCGCAGCTCGTGGCCGTGAAAGCGCCACGCTTGGTGGCTCGCGCCCGCTTCGCACGGCTCGATCGAGAGCCGCCCGCCGTTGTCCAAGGCGCCGTAGCGCGCGGTCAAGCACATGTTCTGGAACTGGATCGTGCTGGCGTTGTTGAAGCTCCATTGGTGCTGCGTGTACATGCAGTTGACCATCTCGATGCGGTCGCCGAGCCACTCGTCGTGGACGACGTCGAGGCAGTACATGGTGCCGACGACCTTGAGCTTGTTGTCGGAGGTGCGCTCGAACGCTTGGTTGGCCGACTGGTCGCAGTGGTAGGCGCCGCCAGGAAACTGGTTGCCAAGCGTGACGTTGCCGGGGGCCGCGTACGTCACGCGCACGTCGGACGCAATGCGCTTGGAGCCTGGCGGCACGAACGCGGAAAAGTGCTTGATAAAGTGATACATGGGCTGGACCGTAAAGTCCAATCCGTCTTCATGGAGGATCATGGGCGCGTCGCACGCGTTCCCGAGCTTGTTGGGGCCACCTTCATGGTCCAGAATGAGGTTCCAGTCGACCCAGCCGGCCGCCCAGTTGTTGAGGTCGCCAAGAATGTCGTGCGCGTACCGCATGCCACGTAGCCACGCGGTATCGCCGGATGCGACGCCCGGGCAGTTGGCTGCCTCGGTCGCCAGCAAGATCTTCTCCGGGTGCAAATTGTGCGTGTCGTTGACGTGCTCGTGGTTCTGGACGCCGTCGAGCTCGCGCGTGTTGTCGTACCAATGGAACGCGACGCCGTCAATGAACTGCGTCGCGGCCTTGTGCTTGTAGACCGCGCCGGCCCACATGTGGACGTTGCCGCGGTTGTGGTCGAACATGAGCAGCTTCACATTCGGGTGCGTCTTGCGCAGCTGCGGCCCGAGAAAGTGACCGATAAAGTCCGCTTGGTACGCGTCGTCGTAGAGACACGCCTCCCACGGCGCGTGCTGCTGCGGCTCGTTCTGCGGCGTGACGCCCCAGAACGAAATGTTGTGCCCCGCATACGCATCGATAAACTTGGAAAAGTACAGCGCCCACGTCGACCGGTACTCGTGCAGGAGCCCATACGGCGCCGCGGACCCGAGCATGTTGGACGCGCCCTTAGCGTTCGGGTACTTCATCCACGCCGGCGGGCTCCAAGGCGAGAGGAAGAGCTTCATATCTGGGCGCTTGGCCAGCGCCGCGCGGATGAACGGGATCATGGCTTCGTTGTCGTGCGCGACCGACGAGTCGAAATGTTCGAGGGTGGCATCGTGCGGCACGTCAGCGAATGAGTACGTGCCAGGGCTAAAGTCGCACGAGTTCATCGGCACGCGGCCAAACGAGTACGCCGAGCCCGTCTCCGGATCGAAGTACAAGCGGATTAGCTCCTCGCGCTTCTCGGCGGGCAGCTTCATGAACTGGATCGCTGCCGACTCGGTGAACGCACCGCCAAACCCCAAGATCTCTTGGTATTCGACGCCGCTGTCAATACGGATGTAGCTGTTCTCGTTGGCCGCAAGAGGAGGAATTGCAGCCAGCGGGGCGTGGGCGATGGGTGCGACGAGGTTGTTACCCGCCGTCTCGACAACAAAGACAGCATTCGCCTCGACGCCGCGGCCGGCGCTGCCCGTGTACGTCACGGCGCCGACGGCCAAGGACGCGAGCGAGACGAGGCCGATGGCGCGGAGGTGCTTGTGGCGCACGCACATGGGCGACTCGGCGTCGGCGGCGGCGAGCGGCAGGCTGCCGTACGTCGTCTTCTCCGTCTGCATCACCGAGGATTTCGAAAAGTGACCCAAGCGACGTTTCGCCCATCACCTAGGATCGCCAATCGGTCCAGCCAATCCAATCACATGCTGAGAAAGTGACACTTCGGACCGAAGGCCTAATTAGGTGATAGGTATCCTAATTAGGTGATAGCGTCCGAATTTAGTTAACAGTGGTGCTTGAAGCTGCGCGAGCAGCCGGTTCAATTTGCCGCCACTTGAAGTTAGCCAGGAGGACCAGAACGAGCGGCTACCAACCGCCGATCGCTGTCCCGTCGACACCCTCTCCGACGTTTACGGCAGCAACCGCGCCACGGCCACCTTGAGGCGGATGCGCTTGCGACATGCCAACCATTGTCGTGGCTCGTAGAAGCCCACGAATATCACCACTCGGTTTATCATCAGCACTAAGAAATGGAGCCTAAGAACGAGGATTTACGCCCACTGGTACGTCCGGATCGCGCCCTTGGGCACGACGGTCGCCACTTGCCGGCCATCGTTGGTCGTGATCGTGAACGTAGCGTCTTCCGAGTTTTCGTTGAGGACGACGAGTACCTTCTTGTCCTCGGGCGTCTTGAACGCAATCGCTTGCGTAAACGCGTAGCCCGCCGTCGCACAGAGCCCCGTGGCCTTGTTGACAAGCTGCGTGTTGGAGAAGGTCCACTTTTGATGGTCCGCGTCCACGCACTGCTCGAGCGTGAGCGCGGCGCCCGACTCGAGCGAGCCGTGGGCGGTCGCGAGGCACTGGCCGCGAAAGCGGATCGAGCCGTCGTCCGCAAACGTCCAGCGGTTGGACGTGTAGATGCACTTGACGAGCTCGATCTTGTTGCCAAACCACTCGTGCACCACGTCGATGCAAAAGTCGTTGTCCGTGACCTTGATCTTGGAGTCCTGCGTCTTGTAGAGCGACTGACGGCTCGACTTGTCGCAGTGGTGCGCCGCCGCCGGGTACTGCGTGTAGAGGTCAGGAATACCCGGCGCCGCGTACTCGACGCGGATGTCGGACGCAATGCGCTTGGAGCCCGGCGGCGCAAAGTGCGAAAAGTGCTTGATGAAGTGGTACATGGGCTGCAGCGCAAAGTTGTCGCCAGCCGGGTTCATAATGATCGGCGCGTCGCACGTGTTGCCGAGGTGGTTGGGGCCGCCCGTGTGATCGAGCATGAGGTTCCAGTCGACCCAGCCGACGGCCCAGTTGTTGAGGTCGCCGAGGATGTCGTGCGCGTAGCGCTGCGCACGGAACCACGCGTCTTTGCCCGTAGCGACGTTCGGGCAGTTGCAGCTCTCGGTCGCGAGGATGAACTTGTCTGGGTTCAAATGGTGCGTGTCGTTGAGGTGCGTATGGAAGAGGACACCGTCGAGCTCACGACCACCGCCGTTGTACCAGTGGACGGCGACACCGTCGACGTACTCGGCGGCCTTGTTGTACGCGGCCTGCGCCCACTGCGTCACGGCGTCGCGGTTGTGGTCGAAGACCATGATCTTGACGTCCGGGTGGTCCTGCCGGATCTGCGGGCCGAGGTAGTCGGCAACGAACGCGGCTTCGGCCTGCGCGTCGTACGAGCACGCTTCCCACGGCGCCGCGAACATCGGCTCGTTCTGCGGCGTGAGGCCCCAGAACGAGATGTTCTGGCCCTGGTACGCCGTAATGAACTTGGAAAAGTAGAGCGCCCACGCCGAGCGGTACTTGGGGTCCAGGCCCACGGGTTGGACGGAGCCCGTCATGGTTTGCTTGCCCTTTCCGTCCGGCAGCTTCATCCACGCGGGCGGGCTCCACGGCGAGAGGAAGAGCTTCATGTCCGGGCGCTTGGCGAGCGCGGCCTGGATGAATGGGATCATCGTATCGTGGTCGTGCGTCACGTTCATGTCGAAGTGCGACAAGGTCACATCACCGACGACATCGTCGAACGAGTACGATCCCGGCGAGTAGTCGCACGAGTTCATGGGCACACGCCCAATCGTGTAGCCAGCGCCAGTCTCCTTGTCAAAGTAGAGGCGCAAAACTTCTTCTTGGAGCTCTGGCGACAGCTTCTTGAACTGGATCGCGGCCGCCTCCGTGAAGGCACCGCCAAAGCCGAGGATCTCTTGCTTGACCTGGGTGTCGTCGACGTGGATGGTGCTGGCAACGTTGGTCTTCTTGGACTTTTTCTGCTTGGTGAGACCCTTGTGCTCGACGGGGCGGAAGAGCTGCTCCGCCTCAAAGGCCGACTCGACGACGAGCAAGCTGTTGTCTTCAACGATGGTCGGCGTACTGTCTTCGAGGGTGGCGATGACGATAGGCGAGTCCGAGGCGCCGGTCGTCATGACGACGCCGGCCGCCACCATGGTGGCAGCCATCACCGCGCCAGCCCACAGCTTCTTGCTGCGGCCTTCCGCAGCGTACATCTTGGCCATCGACGCGGGCACCGATCCGTACTGCGAGTTGGTCGACGACGACGCGAGCGATGCGTTCGTCATGGTGGGCGTCTGCGGCTGCGAGCAAAACCAAAAGTGGGTTTGCGTTTCACGAAGTGGCCCGATCCGGATCCGGATGAAACACAGCTGCCCAATCACCTACGGCGTAATGGGGTAGAGAATCCGGATACTTGCGAACCTCTCAAACCAAATAGATTCTCGCATCCAAAGAAAGAGGTCCATCAGCGGTTTTGGAGATCGCAACGGCCATCGAACGCCGAAAGATCGCGTTCAAGTGCAGAGATCCATGTGGGCCAACGACACGAGAAGATCCAAGTGGCAGCATTCTTTTCGAGGTGGCCGCCAAGATCGTCACTGGGCGACCCATCAAACACATGTGCATCTCACGCTCACGGAGCAGACATGATCATGCACTTGATGCGCAGGAGCTAGCGACTGCATCCGACGAGCCCACGAGCCCCAGCCTTCGAGCTTGGTCAGAGCTTGGGTTGCGCAGATTCTACTAGGTACATTCCGTGCGCAGACTCAACAGAGCTCCCTAAACACAACCACTTCGAATGGCCGTGGATCCGTTTCAGGATATGCCGGCTATCACCCGAATATGCACCCACAACACCGCACGCTTGGTCCACCACGGCTGCCAATCCCACGGACGACCCTGGTTTCGGCTGCAGATGCACTCGTGTCGCATTCGCAACGGACCATGCTCGCCTCGCTCGTCGTAATAGTGTGGACGACAGGCTTAGAACACATCAGCCGTCGCTTCGGTGAAGCAGTACGTAATTCTACAAGCCGAGTACGAAGGTACCATCTCTCTTGACCAAGTCGCTCGGGCAATCTGATCTGACGACGTACGTCCGAAAGCCTCGTTCCATCCCTCGTACTCCTAGCATGCTACTAGCACCACGAACGAGGACGCTTGTCAGCAGGATTCCGCTGCTCGCGCCGCTCGACTCTACCGCGGTGGAGCTTCCACAGCGTCTTCCTCGCGAAGGCTCTTTGCTCGCGATGAATAGAAAGGCATTGCGGATGTCAAACTCAACGCTGCGACCGGTCTTGACTTGATATTTGTAGGGCGGTGCTCAATTGAGTTTTCATATCCGGATAGTGTTCGGAGGTGTGCTGGGCGGGGGCGGCGCAGAGTAAAAGTTTCCGCTCATGACGTTTGCCAGTCGATTCAAGGCCTTCCTCAACCACCCCACGGGGCCCAAGACGACGCACTTCTGGGGGCCGGTAGCCAACTGGGGCTTCGTCGCCGCCGTACGTCGCTGCATGCGAGGACCTTGGCTCGATGCTCATGGTCGTCGTAGGCGATCGCCGACATGAACAAGCCGGCGGAGACGATCTCGGTCAACATGACGGGCGGTAGGTGCCATGGACCACGCTGCAGCGTCTCATCTCTATCTCTCTCGCAACTAGCCATGGCCATGTACAGCTTGATCTTCATGCGCTTCGCCTGGATGGTCCAGCCGCGCAACTACCTCCTCTTCGTGTGCCACGTCTCGAACGAAACGGCGCAGCTCTACCAGCTGCAGCGGGCTCTCCGCGCGCCCAAGAAGGAAGACGACAAGTAACTTCACCTTGCTTCTGTCCGTCGCCTAACCAGCCATCATACATGCTCGTGCTCTTGCTAGCCATGTCCATTGATATTGCGATGGTGATATGCAACGTCGTCGTTCACACACAGCAACGCTCCTTGTTTCTCTACAGCTTATGCGCGACTCGCTCTCTACATACGGAAGACGCCAAACTTGGTCGGCTCGGGCTTTTCGTTGAGCGCGGCGCTGAAGCTGAGGCCCAGGATCTTGCGCGTGTCCTTCGGGTCGATGATGCCATCGTCCCAGAGGCGGGCCGTCGAGTAGTACGCCGAGCTCTCGGCCTCGTACTTTTCGAGCGTCGGCTGCTTGAACGCAGCCTCTTCTTCCGCCGACCACGTCTTGCCGGCGCGCTCGAGGTTGTCGCGCTGGACCGTCGCCAGCACGCCCGCGGCCTGCTCGCCGCCCATGACCGAGATGCGCGCGTTGGGCCACATGTACAAGAAGCGCGGCGAGAAGGCGCGGCCGCACATGCCGTAGTTGCCCGCGCCGTAGCTGCCGCCAATGATGACCGTCACCTTGGGCACCTTGGCGCACGAGACAGCGGTCACGAGTTTCGCGCCGTCCTTGGCGATACCGCCGTGCTCGGCCTTCTTGCCGACCATGAAGCCGGTAATGTTTTGGAGAAACAGCAGCGGGATCTGGCGCTGCGTGCAGAGCTCGATGAAATGCGCGGCCTTCACGCTCGACTCGGAGAAGAGAATGCCGTTGTTGGCAATGATACCGATCGGGCGGCCGTAGAGGCGCGCGAAGCCTGTGACGATCGTCGTGCCGTAGTGCTGCTTGAACTCGTCAAACTTGGAGCCGTCGACGATGCGCGCAATGACCTTGCGCACGTCAAACGGCTTGCGCGAGTCGACGGGGATGATACCGCCGAGCTCTTCCGGGCTAAACGCGGGCTCTTCGACCGGCGTCAGCGTCATGTCCGGCTTCTTCTCATGGTTCAAGTTGGACACGATGCGGCGCACAATGTCGATCGCGTGCGCGTCGTTCTTGGCGAGGTGGTCCGTCACGCCGGACGTGCGGCAGTGCACGTCGGCCCACCAAGCTCCTCGGCCGAGACGACCTCGCCCGTCGCCGCCTTGACGAGCGGCGGACCGGCAAGGAAGACCGTGCCGTTGCCCTGGACAATGACACTCTCGTCGCACATGGCCGGGACGTACGCCCCGCCGGCCGTGCAGCTGCCCATGACGACCGCGATCTGCGGAATGCCCTCAGACGACATGATGGCTTGGTTGTAAAACTCGCGGCCAAAGTGCTCCTTGTCCGGGAAGATCTCGGCCTGGAGCGGCAGGAACGCACCGCCCGAGTCGACCATGTAGATGCACGGCAGGCGGTTCTCGCGCGCAATCTCCTGCGCGCGCAGATGCTTCTTGACCGTCATCGGAAAGTACGTGCCACCCTTCACAGTCGCGTCGTTGCCGAGAATCATGCACTCGATGCCGTTGATGCGACCAATGCCCGTGACGATGCCGGCCGCGGGCACGTCGGTGCCGTACATGCCGTTGGCGCTACTCGTCGCAACATGAGAGGTGACATTCCTACGCACAAGCAGCGTACGCCAAGGGCGAGAGCTCAAGGAACGGACTGCCCGGGTCCAAGAGCGAGTCGATGCGATCGCGCACGAGAAGCTTGTTGCGGGCAACGTGCTTGGCGCGCGCCGCCTCACCACCGCCGAGGCGCGTCTTGTCGAGGCGAGCCTACCACGCGATTGAGATGCGAGTGCTACTATGCAAGTCTATGGAGAGGACCTTGAGCTCGGCCGTGAGGTCGTTCATGCGCTTCATGCTGTCGACAAAGTCGGCTGACTTGGTGTTGATGCGGCCGTCGAGGACGTTGGAGGCGGCGGCAAACGGCAGCGCGTGCGACGACAAGGCGCGGCGCAGGAGCGGCTGGCGCAGGGACGAGAGCATGGCTACGTCATCATTAGCGCCGACTCAGCTCTTAGTTGGCGTGTACTTGCGTGCGACGAGCGAAAACAAACTATGTGGCTGCCCCGTAGCCTTCGTTGATCTACCGCTTGCGTATGTCACCACGTGATTGGTCGAAACCATATCTGCCAATCGCGTGCGAGGAACAGCCACGAAGCGCACCCATTTTGACCAATCCCGATCGTGTCGCCCAGATGCGAGGCGGAGGTAGCACGGAGGTCTGTCGCAGAAATGCATGTGTCTTCATGACTTTATAGACTATCCAAGCCAGATGGTCCAAAGCTCATACAAATAGAAGGTATAGGTCTGCATCTTCAAGACCCAATTTCACCTTTGAGACAAAGGGCAATTTGCACATGCGAACAAGCAGGCTGCGTGCCCCATGGTATCCGTGGGCATCCTTGGCCCATAAGCGCTTGGCACCACGCCGCAGTGGGTCGTCGCGTGTGGCGGCAAATGCATTTTGAAGACCAACTACAGCTCTGCAAGCTATCTTCCGGCTTGCGCTAAGAGAGCGGCAAGCCACTTCTTCATTTGGGCCTCTTGCCTCTTTCAGTTCTGAGATTCACGCCACGGTCTGCAATGGAGAGCCCGGCGAGGCACGCGAGACTAGAGTCGCATACCCCATGGACAGTTCGATGTGCCACAACCAAGCCAGTTGCCGTTGGCAAATGGCTCTGGCAATGGCACATGCAGTATCGCATGCAAGTATTTTTGGACGAACGTTTTCACACAGGGTTGACGCAGACACGTTCGTACTGGGACTGAAATAGAAAGTGCGCTCGTTCCCGCGAAACGCGGTGGCGACAACGGTGGTCCATGGAGCTTGAAGAGGAGCATGCCAAGGTCTTGCAGAAGCGAGACGGCTGGGTCCAAGAGGTCTCGCACACCGGTGTCATACAATACCGACACGAAGAGAGCGGGCACTGCCAGGCGCACCCGCCCGACGACTGGACGAACCTGCCGCTCGACGCGGACACGACGCTGCCACCGATTGACGACCTTGTGTCGAGTCGACGACGCCTCAGCGAAGATGAGCAGCCAATTCCAGAGCTTCGCAACCTCCCGCTCGCATGCGCTATGAGCGAGAAAGAGAAACACATCAAATTCGAGGCGCTCCGGCGGCAGAGCCAATCCATGACCACCGACTACATCTCGGACGTTGAGCGCTACAATAGCGCCAAGCCGTTCTCGCGCCGGCCCGATAAGACGTTCGATCCCGAGGCGCGCTGCATTATGTGCAAGACGCACAAGATCCACATGGTCTTCTTCCCCTGTGAACACAAGTGCGTCTGCAACAAGTGCTTGGAGTACCACCCGCCCGTGACCAAGATCGCTGGAAAAGGTGCCCACTGGCCGTACGTACGCGCTGCTTTCCTGTGAAGTCACGAGGTGTCATGTATGTAGGCACGCGTGCCCTGTCTGCTATCGCGATGTGACTATCATGTTTGAAAACACGGGGTTCGAGGTTGACCACTACTGGAAGCTGGACGAGGTTCCGCATCTGTCCAACTCGTTCGTGACGACATTCAAACGGGCAGGCAGTCGCCTCCATACGACGCCCAACATGGTCTTTCCCGCACTCGACGAGCTCTGCGCCCACGAAGACCCGACGACGACGAATCGGCCAAACGAACCGGGCAGCAGTCACGTGGCCACAACTGCGCGACGGGCTCCACCGCGCCTGAGAGAAAAAACCAAGACGTGTTGCGTCATGTAGGAGTCCCAGTCCGCTCGAGTCGCCGTAAGGTCAAGTCAACCACCTATTTATTGAATCACACGAGTTGTCGGTGTCTTCCCTTGGTTGTTGCTGTCAGAAATGTCCTGAATGCAACAAAAGTCTGCAAGAGGTCTGCGAGGATTGGCATTGCGACCTTTGGTACTACCCATCGCTCGCCTGCGGGATACGGGCGCAGCGATCGAGGGACCTCGCAACTGTGCGCGCCAACGCCGACAACTCGACGACGCCGGTGCAGCATAGGGGTAGGTCAGTGCTGGGTGTCCGGTCACGGGCAAATATTATCCGGACTGCGGAATCGTGGACCCAAGGTGGCACCGCGCGAGCTCAAGATCTGCACATGCGCGAGCAGGACTCGGCGGGCCCGGGTCTCGATGGACGACGCGAGAGCCTTCGCAGCAAGATGCTGAGCTTTGTTCAGAGCTGCAACCGGGTCATGAACGGCGCTGCCCCGCGATCGACCTCGGCGCCAACGCCTACAGTCTCGACACCTTCGGTCGTCGCAGCACTGAGGCGGTCGTACGCAGCCTGGGCGTCTGCGCGTGACGATGAATACCTGGCATACGTGCTCCAAGGCGATGTCGACCGCGCTGCCCGATCGTGCGAGCTTGAGGCGGCTGCGATCATCGACGCGCTCGTGCTCGATGCGACGCCCCACGACGCGATCATTGCGTGGCTGCTGCACGAAGCAGGCGCGATCAACTACAGCTGCTACCTCGTGCGAGCTCTCTTTCCTCATGGACATTCGTCGACTCCGTCGCGCCATGGTGTGCAAGCTCTCGTTTCGACCGTCACTGCGTCGGTCACAGACGCGACCAGCCGACGCATCCTCGACTACCTCGTCGCGTGTCTCGTGTCCCTTGAGGACGCTCCAAAGAGTGCAGTCACATTTCTTCGACCTGCAATCTCTGCCATCATCGAGACCTTCAACACCTCGGACGATGACGAGGTGCACGAGATGATCGTCGACGCCTTTCGCCCCCACAAGCACCACGCGACCATACGATCCCTTCTTCGCGAGCAGCTCGTCCGTCTCGCATCGCAGCCATCGCCGACACCAGCACGCATCGAGCGGCTCGGCAGTATTACGGATGTCGCTCTGTTTCTTTCGGTATCCCTTCACGTGCACCAAACGCGCTAACCACCTCACTCTAGGTCTTGCAAACTGCAGTGACAGACCCCGCAGTCGTCGCTTCGACGACCATCCACCCCGGCCTGACCGCCCTCATCGGCTACTATCACCGAGAAGGCCCGCAGCTCCTCCTGCAAGTGCTCTCCCTCGCGCACGACCTGGTCGAGACCGGTCTCCAGGCCATGACGGCCGACATCGCACTCTACGGACTCCGGTTAGCGGCGCAAGCGTGTGCGGACCAACAAGAGACCTACTACCGCTGGTTCGAGGTCCACTTTGGCGTCGTCAGCCCTATGTCGCCGTCCTTGACGGCCATGAACGCACCGACGAGCCAAGCTGTTGCGCCAACGGTGTGCCTCCGCCCGTCCTGCGCTCTCTTGACGACAAAGCGGAGTCTCCAGTTCATGTCGGCGCTCTTGACCGACGAGCTGCACGCGATTTGTGACGCCAGTGTGATCGAAATGACGCTCCGCGTCTTCAAGACGCACGCCACCGAGTTTCCCGAGTTTGTCTGGACCTACGTGTCTCTGGCCCGTACCCGGCTGCAGCAGCTCAAGTCAGCAGCCACCGTCCCGATTCCCAACGGTACACACCTTGTCGCGCTATACCTGAAGCGGTATGTACAGTAGCAGCGTTGGAGAGCGCACGAGAGGCCACGGCGACCGAAGTCGAGGGCTATGTCGCGGCTTTCCTCGATACCGGTCGCGTCTCGTCCAAGCTCCGGCAGCGCATCTTGATGCAGGGCAACGTATGGCAAACCGTGCTCAAGCCATATTTGCTGCATGCTGAAATGCCTCATACAATGCCGTTCTCGATGCTCCTCGGGTGGGCGCAGCTCACGCACGCACTCGTGCACGAAAAGTCCATCACCGAGGCCGAGTACGCGCCGTTCGTCCGACGCGTGCACACGCTTGTGTCGAGCCGCGTCGCCTACGCACAGAGCCGGCAGCAAACACTATCGAGCGTCGCGCGCCAACTCGTCGCCACGTCTCTCGTGCCTGGACCGACGACAGCATCCGCGTTGATTGGCCGCATGACCGCTCGCGTGCGCGGCACGTTGCTCCAGCCCAACATGTCCCTCGACGCGCTCCTCGCCGACATTCGCGGCGGATGCTCCGAGATGCTTGCAGCGCCATGCGCCGAGACCGTGCTGCCGTCGATGCATGGGTTTCTGGTCTCGATCACGGCGCTGCCAGACGTCGGCGCGCTTCGAGCTGCCTTTCTTACGTGGCTGCATGCTGACGTGGCTGCACTGCACCACGGCGGGTGGCTGCTTGGCGCCACTGCCTGTGCGATGGACGACTCACAAGGTGCCGTCGCCTTGCTCGAAGCGCGCATCGCGGTCGTTGCGCCAGATTCGATCGTCGACGTCTTTCGCCTCTGCTTTGAGTTCACCGAGTCGATGTTGCTTCTCTCCAAGAGCCACAACGACGACGTCGGCGTCTCAGTGCGCCTGGTGCAGTTTCTGTACTGGGTCTCGCTGCGACACCACTACCACGGCCTCGACGGTCCGTCATGGCTTCCGACGAGCATCCGCCGCCTCGAAGAACGGCTCTTTGAGCAGCGCGCGCACGTGCTCGAGTCCACTGCGTTCTTTCCCGTTTGGCTCGAATTCGAGTTGCACGTCGGCCACGCAGCGTCCGCGTACCGCATTGAATGCCTCGCGATGCATTTTATGAGCGTCAAGGACCGGGTCGACGCCGCCGCCATTTCGACCGTCTGTAGCATGGGCAAAGAGCTTCTTCGGCATCAAGGTAGTGTAGCACACGCGTCCAGCGCTCCATGCTCTTGTAGACACGTGTCACGCCAATGATGCATCGACACCGCTACACGCCGAGCGAGATCGTGTCGCGGTATTCCTACGTTCGACGACAAGCTAATCACGCGGCCTCTAGATCCACCCGTGCTGGACACGCATGAAGAAGCGCAAGCGGCCGCATGTGGCCTGCGACGTCGGGCTTGGCGTCGCGCTCTTCCAGCAAGCACTCACCATGGTCATGAACCAGTCGAGCAAGAAGGGCAACCTCGTCACGGCCATCGTCAACGTGCTCACCGAGCGCGCAATGAGTCGTGTTACCGCCTGTGCCGATGTGGTGCACAAGGCGTCGTACGTGAGCGTCTTCTTGGAGCTTCTTCTCGCAGTCGTCGTGCACGGACCCATGCAGCCGAGGGCCTACATGCTGCTGCAAGCCTTTGCGACGACGCACATGGCCGACCTCGCGCCATGGCACCCGCGCACGACGAGCATCCTCCTCGCGGCCAGTCTCTTTAGCGGCGAGATGTCCCCGCAGCAGCTCCAGGCGAGTCTTGCGCCCATTGTCCTCGCGAGCGTCGTGTACTTTTGGCCCATGGTCAACGCCGCGCTCGTGCCAGAGAGCGCGGTGCCACCGCTTTTAGGCGAGCTGCATGCCGACTTGGTGCTGGCAACGACCCGTGGTTCGACACACCCGTACCCGACGGAGTGGCGCGCCTCGTTTCTAAAGCTCGCGCGCTTCTGGCTCGCGTGGGGCATGACGCTGGAGTTATCGACGCTGGAGGCAAAGCTGTTACTGCGCGACGAACAAGCCAGCGTATGTGTCATCGAGGACGCGCACGCGGCGTGGAGCGAGTGGATTGAAGCCACCGACGCGAACACCAAGTAGCTCCTGCTCGTGCAGCTAGCGGCGCGCAGCCTCGTACTGCACCCGCTCGCCGGTGGACAGATCTTCTTGACCGTGTCGACTGGCGGCTCATTACGTGGCGCGCTGTGGTGGCTCCTCGTGGTGCAGCACCTCCATCCGACTGCCCACATGGCATGTATCCAGTTGCACCGCGCAGCGTGGCTGGAGCAAGTCGCTCGGGCCTGTGCGACGTACGTCGAAGCAACGACGACGACGTCAACGGCGACACCGCCCTGGCTCTTTGCCTTGGCGTCGGTGATCGGGACGAGGTGCGCTCTTCTTTCTTTCTGTACATCTCAGGAGCGCGATGCGGTCTAGTGTGCCCACCTTCTTGGCCGAGACGGTCGTGGCCGGCGCCCGCTTGAACCTTCGAATCGAAAATGCCCAAGTGCGGGACGCGGTGCGGCGTCTCCTGCCCGACGACCTCCACTCGAGTCCGTTGGCCGACACCGCCAGCAGCAGCAGTATGCTCTGGTGATGGAGTAATGTGCGCCACCTACCTTCGATCCATGTCCTGCGCTGGCTATCGCCTCGCTTTTGATATGCACCGCGCGTTGCTAATCTGCGCCGTGAAGGTTGCCATGTCATCGAACGTTTGTTGAAGTTGTCGGTCACAAATAAGCTGAACATGATATTAGCTGGTCACTCTGCTGCTGTCCAGTGCCGCCGTGATACAGTCAGCAAGTCGAGTTGACAGTGTGCACATGGGGGTAGAGGCACGAGACGCAGAGGCCAGCCACCGCGCCTGGCCTCGTGCGGTGCCGATACACGCGTGTTATAACACACCACTGGCACGAGCTGACCCAATCCCACCAAATCGACTCCTGCACCTGTGGCAAGTGCCACGGCGGCAATGTCGGCCGCGCGACGCCGTCGTCCCTACGCCACCACATACACTGTATGACGCAAATGACCATACTGTGTACACGGTACTTTTACGCGATTCTGAGTCGGACGACGTGTGGCAAGTACGGGTCGCTGCGACACGAGCAGCTCGCTCTGGCAGCGGGACCGTCGACGGCTATCTATCGAGAGCTCGTAGTACGAGCTTCGAGCAGCAGCAGCCACTGAGCAGCACCGCGCTTCCCATGGCCACGTTTGCGCCGAGCCCGTGCTTGCAAGGATAAGAAACGGGCTGCGTAGTGTGTTATAACAATATGTTACACTGCGTGATTTGGGACAGAAAGCCTCTGGCTCTCGCTGCTGAACTGTAGGAAAACGGATCTGTAACAGCAGCGGCTTTCGCGCGGCCGCTGGCTGCGGCAGAACGCAATTCGCCTAGCCGGAGTCACATCATGATGCTCGCCTACTACTCGCTCGAGTCGCCGCTGACCTCGGTCGTCAAGCGCGCCGCCGAAGACCTCCGCCGGGGCACCAAGCGCCCGCGCCAAGGCATCGAGTCGACGCCCTTTCCTGGCGACGCGTCGCCGCAGAAGAAGCAGAAGACCCAGCACGTGGTTGAGCCCGTCGTCGTCGCTGCGCCCGCCGCCGACGAGCTTGACATCGACGTCGATGAGGCCGCCGATCGCTTCCACCCGCAGATCCTCGGCCGCTACTACGATTTCGACAAGACGCGCTCCAACCTCAAAGTGTTTTCGTGCCGGCCATGGAACAACAAGGTGCCAGCCAAAGGCCGCTTCAATGTCACGACGCGCCGCCCGACGTACCGCCCTAAGCGCTACCCGCTTGTCGCCTGGACACTCCCGACCTTCCCGCTCGTCTCCGCCGGTAGACACGAGCTGTAGGTCGCGTGTACCCATGTAATTTATATTTGCTAAGTTATCATTTGCACGAAATATTTGTTATTCAAAGTTCGAGGCGCAACTGCATCTTGCCTCAACGCCGCACCCAAGCCTTTTAGGGCCAGTGGGCTTGGTTTGACACGCAACAGAGCTTCTTCGCAAACATGAGGTTGATGTCGAGTGCCAAGACCATCACATTATTGAGCGAAAAGTGGTTGTGTGCGGCTCAAGGTCTCTTCGATGGCACGAATGATATATCTTTTGGCGCGGGAAGCTCTTGTGAAGCGCCGCGACTGAGGTGGACCAGAACCGCCCGAGGCTCGAAAAGAATCATCCGTACCCTTGTTTTTATTTGTTGTCGCCGCAGATGCAGCCGCGTTTTCTACCATGTTGTGAACCATCGTCTTGAGAATGAATGCTCGACGGATGCGAACACAAGACAACTTGTGTACATCGTGAGCAGGCGACGTAGTAACTTTAGCTGAATTTGCTTATATGACGTTACACCCTAACCCTTGCCACCCGAATTGAGATCGACGTCGGCCTGTATTCCACCTGTAGCCACAGTGCATACGCTTCTCCGAATCTACAGCGATGGCCGAGGAGCAGCGAGGTTGAGATCTTTAACGTGCTTTGTGGCCCCTCGTGGCTTGCCGTAGCACTAGTCTCCGAGCCGTGCAGACTGTCGACTCCATCGTCGTTTCTTGACACGAGGCGTGTGTCCCTCCGTCGCCCTGGCGCTATATGCACACCACCCACCTCCATACGTTGCTGTACACAACGTGTCCTTGTTGATTACAACTTTTGGTACCGGTACCGGCGGTGGCGCAGAACGTACATGCGCAGCACGGTGGCGACGACGACGAGGGCGACGCTCGCCATCGCAGCGACATGGGCGATGCCGATGCTACCATCCTCGCCGGTCGCAGCGACCGTCGACGACCGAGACTTGGACGACGAGAGACGAATGAGCGGCATGCCATTGTGCTCGCCGCTGAGGTACTCGTGGCGGTCCGTCGGGTACAAGAAGCTGTCGCAGGCCTCTTGGCCAAAGACAAAGCACTCGAAGAGGTAGAGCGCACGAAGCGGGCGAACAGCAGCGACCATGTGGCCCGCGCCCTTGACCGTCGTGAACGTCAAGTTCTCGTACCGCTGCGTGTAGCCCGCGAGCTGCTTGTCGGGGCCGATCCACGCAGCCCACGGTGTCACGACGCTCAAGTTCAAGCCTTCGTCGGCGATCCAGCGCTCGGTGCCCATAAAGTTGACGACCGAGTCGGCGTCGCCGCTGTAGATGAGCGCCTTGAGCCCTACAGAGTTCTTCCTTGGTACCTCATAGAGACAAGCAAGTATCGGATACCGGCCGAGAGAATCTTTGGGTAGAGCGGCAGTGCCGAGATGCTTCGGGAGTAGAGCCGCGTCACGTTGTGGTTGCAGTCGGCCCACGCGACGTGGCGGCCCGTGACGTGCAGCACCTCCTGGACAGAGTGCAGCTGGAGGTAGCTCTGGGTAAACTTGTCCTGGCACGGCCCAATGTCGCCGCGCGAAGGCTCGACAGAGTGGTAGTGCAAAGTCTCGCCTTGGCTGTTGGGGAGGAGGCACACGTCGCCGTAGATATTGTACGGGTTGAACTGCTGCTTGTTGGCCGACATGATACCGACGCGAAGCGCGTCTCGGCACTGCGGCGTGCAGCTGTTCGGCGACCGCATGCACATTTTGAGCTGCTCGCCGGCGCAGTTGGCGACCATGGAGAGGTAGTTTTCGCGGGAAATCATCGCGTGCGTGTAGTAGTAGTCCATGTACGCGTTGCCGTCAATCTTGTCGTCGGTGGCGGGGTTCCCGATCGCAAACCCCTTGAGGTGCACGAGCGGAATTGGCGTCGTCACGAGCTGGTGCAGTAGGAACGGAATGTACCGACCGGCGTAGCTCTCGCCCATGATGTAAAAATCGCGCTCATAGTACGCCGAGTACTTGGTGAAGAACTCGACGAGGAACTCGTAGGCGCGCGCGGCCGTGTGCGGGTCGTTGTAGTCGGACGCATTGAGCAGCGGCTGGCTAAAGCCGACACCGGCCGGCGACTCGAGGAAGAGAAGATTCGCCTTGCGGTTCCACGCATACGTGTTGCGCACGACGCTGAGGTCGCCTTCGACGACGAACGGGCCGAGCTCCGTGAAGAGGCCCGCGAGCGACGAGCAGCCGGGGCCACCGTTGAGCCAGAGCACGAGCGGGTCGTTCGCCGGGTCGTTCTCGGACTCGACGAGCCAGTAAAACATCTTTTGGCCGTTCGATGGCAGAGGCAAGTGGCCGGCGTACTGGTCAAAGTCGATCGGGCGCGGGTCGTTGTAGTTGGGCAAGAACGGGATCTTGTGCGGGTTGAACTCGACGCCCTTCGCGTCGTCGCCCACAGCGAGCGCCAGCGCGACGGCTGCCGTGACCGCCAATCCTCCTAGCACGTTCATTTTTCAACTTTGACGCTTCCAAGATCGCGCTGGGTTCGAATCCGGATCCACGACCCTTTCCGAAGATCTCCGTCCTTTCTTAACCTGTGGCGTACAGCCGCAGGCTTGGACGATCTTCGTGCCGATGTCTGGCTCTAGAGAAGGTATGAGGTCATGGCAGGAAGCGTACAGGGTGACTCCGGCAGTGTTTACCCCGCAAAGGCACGGAAATAGTTGTGTGTTTTCAGCCATGACGTGGCGCCATGAAACGCTTTCGATATCTTCGACATTCGAAAAGACCCTCAAAAAGATACTGCATCGGATACGCGACCTTGCAAGCGCTTGTCGCTTCGCGATGCGCCGTGCACGTCCAAACTTCACAAACAGCGTGTTTTTAGACGAGCTTACAAGGCGGTATACGTCTTGTGCCCTCGCCCTTGCTTGTACATGACAAGGGCGATGAGCGATACGATGCCGACAATAAACGCAGAGTAGACGACCCAGTTTGCGCTCGAGGCTGCTTCCGACGCCGACGTTGTCGTGCTCGCGTCCTTGGTTGTCGACGAGGTCGCCACCACCTCGTCGTCGTCGTCGTCGTCGTCGTCGTAGTCGACGTCTTCGCCCGTCAAGTACTCGAGGTTGTCTTTCGGATACGCAAACGAGTCGCATGCTTCCTGACCGTAGACAAAGCACTCAAACATGTAGAGTGCGTGGAGCGGCCGCACCGCGGGGACCATGTGCCCCGCGCCTTTGACTGTCGTAAAGTTGAGGCCGTCGTACTCTTCTCGGTACCCCGCGAGCTGCTTGTCCGGACCAAACCACGCATGCCACTTCTTGAGCACGTGCAGCTTGAGGCCGAGGGGTCCGATCCAGCGCTGCGTGCCCATAAAGTTGACAACCGAGTCGGCATCGCCGCTGTAGATGAGCACCTTGAGGTTCGCGTTGAGGAGCGTCGGGTAGTGCTGCAGCGACGAGTCGCTCTTGTGGTAGACGTCCGAGACTGCATCGTTGCAGTCCGACCAGTTGGTGTACGTCGGCAGGTGCAGTGCGGCCTGCACATGCGGCAGTCGGAGGTACGACTCGGTGAATGTGTCGGCGCACGGGCCAATCGGGCCGCGGTGCATGGGCTGGACCTTGCGGTACCGCAGCGCTTTGGCTTGGCCGTTCTCGAGGAGGCATACGTCGCCGTAGATAAAGTACGGGTTGAGCGCGGTCTCGTTGATCGAAAAGATGCCTTCCTGGAGCACGCTGTTGCAGGCTTGCGTGCAGTTGTCGGACGAGATGACGCAGCGCCCGACGTCGTCGCCGCAGCTGGTCATGACGTCGTCGTAGTTTTCGAGCGAGATGAGGCCGTGGCTGTAGTAGTAGTCGACGTATGCGTTGTGGTCAATGTGGTAGTCGGTCGACGGGTTCCCGAGCGCAAAGCCCGATAGTGTCACGTTAGCGATCGGCGTGGTCACCATCTTGTGCAGCAGGAACGGCACGTACCGACCGGCGTAGCTCTCGCCCGTGACGTAAAAGGGCCGATGACGGTACTCAGGGTACGCTGCGATAAACTGCGTAATGAATTCGTACGCGCGGTCGGCCGTCACGTCGTCGTTGTACTCGGTCGCGTTCAGAACGGGCGAGCTAAAGCCGACGCCAGACGGCGACTCGAGAAAAAGCAGTCTCAGTGCGGTTCCACGCATACTTGTTGCGCTTGATGCTCAGGTCGCTTGCGACAACGAACGGCCCGAGCTCCTTGAAGAAGCCACCGAGCGACGAGCAGCCGGGCCCACCGTTGAGCCAGAGCACGAGCGGGTCGGTCGCCGGGTTGGCTTGGGACTCGACGTGCCAGTAAAACATCTTTTGGCCGTTCGACGGCAGCGCAAGATAGCCCGCGTACTGCTTGAAGTTGATCGGCGCCGAGTCATTGTAGTTGGGCATGACGGGAATGACATGCTGCTCCTTGATGCTACTGGCGGCGACAGCCGCCACCACGAGCGAGACAGCGCGCCACATGAGGTCAATGCGAGAATGAGCGGCCATCGGGCCCATTCGAACGGCAACTACGAACTTTGACAGGCGCGAAGTTCGAAGCATCGCATCTGGCGTGTCGCAGATCTCGGGGGAGCTCGGAACACGCGATCTACGGTGTAGAGGGCATGTGGACGCTGCTTTGAGGTGACCACGCGTAGGTCGTGGCGCGAGGCTTCGATAAATGCGCCAATCGCACGGCGTCCTGAACGGTCGTCGACGCGTCAGGCGAGAACGCGGTGCTGGCGCCACCGGTGCGATGGATCTTTGCCACCTCGGCGCTAGCTCCACGAACATCCTCGACGTCTCTCGGGTCTGACTCTGGCGTTCTTTGTCGCGGTGGAAAAAACCTGTTTGGTGAGCGCTGGTTGGTGAGAACGATCTTCTTGGTTATCCAATCCTCGCGGATGCACACTGCACGCGGCTAAGCTTGTGGGCATTTCTATCACCTCTCACACCGCTTGCACCGCCCAGTTGATTCGGTGGCGAGCAGCGCTTCTAGTTCAGCGCATTACGAATGACTACTCCCGCGTCTCCAAAGACCAGGATGCCGCCATCAATGCGTTTGAACGCTACTGGTACTGCCAAGGCCACCAGCGAGGTGGCGGCAATGGAGTAGAGCCGCCGCGGAGGCCGCTTTTGTTGATTCGCCTCGTGCAGCTTCGAGAAATCTTCGCGATCTTTTGATGGTGTTATCCGGATGCCGAAAATCAGATCTTGCGGCATGTACCAACGAGTACATGTACCCCAAAGGAATACACCCTCGCTGTACCTCGTTGCTACCTCTCGTTGCTTGAGCAGGGCGTGCACTGTGGGCTCGATTGGGTAGATGTAGCCATCGCACATCAGCATCGCACATCGCATTCACCTCGACAGAATGGGGCCATTTATCAGGCCAAACTATTGCACGAGTCGATGCACTACGGACCATCCTCGACCTGCTTCTTCGTCCGGCTACTGGACATTATTGTTCAATTTCACAAATTGTTCTGCCATGAGGCGACTAGATTCGGATGTTTTGATTCGGATGTTTTGTTATTTTAAGAAGATAACGTCGGCGGTTCTCACGGGCTGCTGCACGAGCAATCGTCGCCGTACTTGGGCACGTTCGTGGCCGTCAAGTGCGCGTAGTAGTCGGGGCTCTTGGCGTCGCGGCGCCAGTGCTTGATCGCGACAAAGACGACGAGAGTGACGGCGGCGAGCACGAGTAGACTGCCGAAGCGCGAGCCCTCGTCGACGTACGCGTGCACCGTGCGGCGCACTGCGGTCGACATGAGCGACGCCTCGGACGTGTCGACCGAGACGTCTTCGCCGCTGAGGTACTCGAGGTTGTCCTTGGGATACTCAAAACCGCGGCAGACGTCGTCGCCAAACACAAAGCACTCGAAGAGGTACAGCGCGTGCAGCGGCCGCGTTGCGGGGACCATGTGGCCCGCGCCTTTCACGGTTGCAAACGTGAGTCCGTCGTACTGCTGCGTGTAGCCCGCGAGCTGCTTGTCCGGGCCAAACCACGCATGCCACTTCTTGAGCACGTTGAGGCGAAGACCTTGGCGCGAGATCCAGCGCTCGGTCCCGATAAAGTTGACGACCGAGTCGGCGTCGCCGCTGTAGATGAGCGTCTTGAGGTCCGTCGCGAGGATGCGCGGGTACAGCGGCAGCGCCGACGTGCTCCGAGTGTACATGCCCGCGATCTGCTCGTTGCAGTCGGTCCACGGCACGACGCCGCCGTAGACATGGATCGCTGCTTGCACACTGGGTTGGCGGAGGTACTTTTCCGTAAACTTGTCCGTGCACGGCGCGTACGGTCCGCGGTGGCCGCTCGGGATCTTGCGGTACTGGAGCGCGCCGACTTGGCTGTTTTGCAGAAGACACACGTCGCCGTAGATGTAGTAGGGGTTGAGGTTGTCAGTCTGCACGGATGCGATCGCGTCGCGGACGAGGCTCTCGCACGCGTTCGAGCACGTGACGTTGGGGTTCTTGAGGCACGGCGTATCAGCGTACAAGCCCGCGTACTTGCCGACGTCGTTCTTGCAGACCGACCGGAGCTCGTCGTACGTCTCGATCGAGATCATGCCGTGCGTGTAGTAGTACTCCATGTACGCGTTGCCGTCAATGACGTCGTCCGTGACGGGGTTCCCGATCGCCATGCCCTCGAGGTTGACGCCATCGAGCGGCGACTCGAGCAGCTTGGCGACAAGGTACGGGATGTACTGCCCCGCGTAGCTCTCGCCGGTGATGTACAGCGGCCGGTTCTTGAACTCGCTGTACTCGGCAAAGAAGAGACGGAGGAACTCGTGCGCGCGGTCGGCCGTCGTCACGTCGTTGTAGTCGGTCGCGTTGAGCAGCGGGTGGCTAAAGCCGACGCCGGCCGGCGACTCGAGGAAGAGCATGTTGGTCTTGCGGTTCCACGCGTACGGGTTGCGCTTGACGCTGAGGTCGCTCTCGACGACGAACGGCCCGAGCTCGGTGAAGAAGCCGCCGAGCGACGAGCAGCCGGGGCCGCCGTTGAGCCAGAGCACGAGCGGGTCGACCTCGGGGTTGGACTCGGACTCGACGAACCAGTAAAACATCTTTTGGCCGTTCGACGGCAGCACGAGGTGGCCGGCGTACTGGTTAAAGTTGATGGGCTTGGCGTCGTCGTAGCCGGGGAGGGCCTCGATGGCGTGGGCGTGGGCGCCGTCCTTGGCGGCGACCGCCGAGCACGCGAGCAAGAGTAGTACGAGCGCCAGCATGCCAAAGATATACTGGCCGTGGCAATGCAGCGCAGCCACAAGATGGGGCCGAGTCGCCGGATGGCAATCTCGCTGCCGATTGGCCCGAAAAGCCCATCTGACTTTTGAATTACCTGATATAAGTACGTTTGCACCCAATCTCGCGGAGGCGCGCGTTGTGGAAGCCACAGTAACGCGACACCAGCATCCATCCAATCACACCGAGTGCGACCTGACGTCTTACGAAACACTTGCTACGCTTACGTAGTGTCCTTCCCGACGCGTCATCTTGCATGCGAGCTCGAGTCGTGAGAGGTGGCCGCGTAGATCAATCACGTCTCCCCTCGCCTTGAGGACCGAGGAATCACCTTTAGGATAAGAACGAAGTATCCCATTGCATGCATCCTTCAAGTGGCGAATGGACGACATTCTGGAACGAAGGCGAGGGCCAGTGTACTTGGATTCGGTAATTGACAGTTGCGCGCAGCTGGACGCATCCCACTGTGTGGATGGATCGCGATCGGCGCCTGGGGCCACGTGGTTCTTAGTTGAACCTGCGCACGGCGGCAGTGTGGTGCGTTATTACTGTGGTGAGCGAGCTGGCGAGATCTCTGGACAGCGATGCATCATGCATATAAAGAAGCGTGCGCTCGTCGTAGTAGCAGCAACCTGCCGGTCACCATCGTCCAGATGAGCTCGGTCGAGGGCACCCATGAGGCGAGTAGAGTCATTTCGACCGCGACCAAGTTGTACTATGTTGCCTCCCTTTCTATCCAATAGTACCCGGTGTGGGGACCATGTCAAACGCTATTGCGTCCGTCGCGCACCCAAGCACGGCGCGTTGGAGCTGACGGGATCCCATCGAGGTTGAAATGGCCTCCGAACGAGGAGCAGTTGCTTCGGCAGCGGGGATATGCGGTGTGTCGCATTGTGTGCTAGCTTGGCACCGTGTTTATGTGGTGCTACTTCAACACCTACCCCTGGACATGTAATTGACTTGTGGTTACTATGCGCATACAAACCGTTAGTTCAGAGACAAGGAGGCGCTGGGTACCATCATGTAGTACGACAGCGATATCAGACCAATTGCATAGTATTATAGTGAGCCATAGGATCTGGCTTCGATCTCTTACAGCCCGCACTCAGGCCAAGGGTACCTGTCGTTGCGCAGACTCTTGAAGGACGTGCGTGTGGCGTGTCTGCGGTGCAGGACCTGGGTCTCATGCGGTCTGGGGCTGCTGGACGGGGCGAGGGCTACCCCATCTGATCTCCAAAATCAGCCGAGCGTCGTCATTGCAGTAGCTAACGCAACCTGAGTATAGCCCATAGTCGCCACCTCATGTGTTCCATTTTCTGACGAACGCACTCGATCCTCGTCGTTTACTTTATCATCGCTCAACTGCAACTGCAATCCAGACGCGTTCGGCATTCGATCAATCCACTTGTACTAGCACGTCAGCGGCGTCTTCTCCTCGAGGTCCGCGTACTCGCGCTTCTTGGCGCGTCGCCGCATGACGAACACGGCGCCCGAGATGATGGTACCAACGAGAAGCAGCGCCACAACAAAGAGGCCCCAGTTCATACTCGACTCGCCCGATGAGAGCGTCGCCTGCGTCGTCACGTCATCATCGTCGTTCGTGTACGTGACGTCGGCGCCCGTCAAATACTCCAAGTTGTCCTTGGGGTATGCAAACGTGTCGCAATTCTCTTGGCCAAAGACGAAGCACTCGAACATGTAGAGTGCGTGGAGCGGCCGCACCGCGGGCACCATATGCCCCGCGCCCTTGACCGTCGTAAAGTTGAGGCCTTGGTACGCCTCCGTGTAGCCCGCGAGCTGCTTGTCCGGGCCGAACCAGGCCTTCCACTTGTCAACGACGTTGAGTTTGAGACCGCTCGACGTGATCCAGCGCTGCGTCCCGATAAAGTTGACGACCGAGTCGGCGTCGCCGCTGTAGATGAGCGCCTTGAGGTTCGCATTGAGAATGCGCGGGTACAGCGGCAGCGACGACTTGCTCCGCGTGTACTGGATCGCCGCGTGGCCGGCGCAGTTCTTCCACTCGACGTGGCTGCCCGAGACGTGGATCGCGGCTTGGACTTGCGGCAGGCGCAAGTACGACTGCGTAAACTGATCGGTGCACGGCGCATACGGGCCGCGGTGCATCGGGCGAATGTCGCGATACTGCAGCGTGTTGCCTTGGTCGTTCTGGAGGAGGCACACGTCGCCGTAAATGTAATACCCGTTGAGCTTGTCCGTCTCGGCTTGCACCATGCCCTCTGAGACGGCCACCGCGCACGAGTCGTTGCTCGAGCGGTCCGAGAAGACGCCGGCAAACTGGGCGAGGCCGTTGAGGTTGCACTTGGCCTGGATGTCGGCGTACGCCTCGATCGAGATCATGCCGTGCGTGTAGTAGTAGTCCAAGTACGCTTCGTTGTCAATCGCTTCGTCCGTGTACGGGTTGCCGATCGCAAAGCCCTTGAGGTTGAGCCCATGAATCGGCGCCGTCAAAAGCGCATCGACGAGGTACGGGATGTACATGCCGCCGTAGCTCTCGCCCGTGATGTAAAAGTCGCGACCGGCGTACGAGGGGTACGCGAGGAGGAACTCGGCGAGGAACTCGCGCGCACGGGCCGTCGTGAACGCGTCGTTGTAGTCGGAGGCGTTAAGGAAGGGCGTGCTAAAGCCGACGCCGGACGGCGACTCGAGAAAGACCATGTTGGTCTTGCGGTTCCAGCCGTACTTGTTGCGCTTCACGCTAAGGTCGCTCTCAACGACGAACGGCCCGAGCTCCGTGAAGAAGCCACCGAGCGACGAGCAGCCGGGCCCGCCGTTGAGCCAGAGCACGAGCGGGTCGGTCGCCGGGTTGGCTTGGGACTCGACGTGCCAGTAAAACATCTTTTGGCCATTCGAGGGCAATGGCATGTGCCCCGCAAACTGGTTGAAATTGATGGGCGACTTGTCATTGTAGTTGGGCATGTCCGTGATGTGGTGCGCGGTCTGGACGTCGGCGGCCATGGCGCTCGCCGCGACGACGAGAAGCGATGCGATGATCTGCATCTGCGGCTTGGAGGCAAAAAGGCAAACTGAGCTCTGAGATCGCACCCAGCTGCACCTAGAGCGGTCCAATATATTACAAAGGTTTTATTGCACCTACAAATATCTAGAGAAACAATTTAATTACGTCGTTCCGACCCCTCTCGTTCAGATTTCGAATTGCCCGTGTCAAGTTGAAGTGCCTCCGACGACCGCCTTGCACGCTGCGAAGGCGCGACCGACTAGAGTCCTGCACCCGCCTGCATGCACTAGTAGATCGTCAGTACTACCCCAAGGAAGGGCCATGGTTGTACCAGGGCGGGACGCAGCAGCCACGGAAATCAGGCAGGAAGCCGTGCGAACGTTCCATCTTTCGGTGGTTTGCATCCGGCTCAGGCGCATCCGATGGCTACGAAGATACATGGCCCCCGCTTCAACTTGCGTCGCAGGTTGTGGGCGCTCCCGTTGATGTGTCGAGCTGCTTGGACCAACGGCCGGCCATTTTATTGTTACTGTACTACATAGTAGCTGTCCTGTCGTCTGCGTCTTCGTCGGTTTGCTGGGATCGGTCTTGCATCGGTGCAGCGGCGCCGCAGTTGCAATGCGAGAGCATTTGGCTCGTATGAGTTAGTCGACTAAACGAAACCCCACCTCGACTAGAATTCGACTACTTGGTATTGGAGCAGTGGGTTGTGCAACTGCAAGTCGTCCGTCGTCGGCGCAGGTGCGGGGAAAGAACGGCGCACCCACATTTTGACCAATCCGCGTTGTTGAAAATGGCATCTCGCGCGGTGATTGGCCGAAAGGAAGCGAGGGGGACCCTCTGAAAACGCATACTTTATAAGGAAACGTGGGGCGTGGCAGCGAGGTCCGTTTTTGGGGGACCTCTTTCGACGCATATCCATACATTGGAAGCAGCCGCCATGGACGCGAACGAGCTCCAGCGCTTCGAGATGCTCTGCACCGCGCTGTACCAGTCGGCCGACGAGCGCGAGCGGTCGATGGCGCAGCAGAGCGTCCTGGTGCTGCAGAGCTCGGCGGAGCACATCCCGCGCTGCCAGCACATCCTCGACAACTCGACCAACATGCTCGCGCTCCTCGTCGCGAGCACGAGCCTGACGAAGCTCATCACGACACACTGGAACAACTTTACGCCGTCGCAGCGCATCGACATCCGCAACTACGTGCTCGGGTACCTCGCGCAGAAGGGCCCGAGCCTCGAAAAGTACGTGACGGTCTCGCTCATCCAGCTCGTGTGCCGCCTCACCAAGTTTGGCTGGTTTGACGACGAGCAGTTCCGCGAGCTCAACCTCGAGGTCTCCAAGTTTCTCCAGGCGACGGTCGACCACTGCATCATTGGCCTCCAGATTCTCAACGAGCTCGTGACCGAGATGAACCAGCCCGTGACCGGCCGCAACTTGACCTTCCACCGCAAGATCGCCGTGGCCTTTCGCGATGCGTCGCTCTTCCACATCTTTCAAGTCGCGCTCACGACGGTCAAGACGCTGCACATGAAGAGCATTCCCGGTGCGACGCCCGACCAGGAGAACCGCATGGCGGACTATGCGCTCGGCCTCGCGATCAAGTGCCTGTCCTTTGACTTTATCGGCATCAACCCCGACGAGTCGGCCGAAGACGCGGGTGCGCTCCAAGTCCCGACGACGTGGCGCCCGATCATCCAGGAGCCCGAGACCATGTCGCTGCTCTTTGACTTTTACCACACGACGTCGACGGCCGCGTCGCCCAACGCCGCGCGCTGCTTGGAGTCGCTCATGCTCCTCGCGTCCGTGCGTCGCTCGCTCTTCTCGCCGGACCAGGAGCGCGCGGCCTTTCTCTCGCGCCTCCTCTCGGGCATTTGCCGCATCATTTCGATGCAGCAGGGGCTCTCGGACCCGGCCAACTACCACGAGTTTTGCCGTCTGCTGAGCCGCCTCAAGTCGAACTACCAGCTCTCGGAGCTCATGAAGGCCGAGTCGTTCCAAGAGTGGATGGAGCTCACGCCCGAGTTTACGGTCAAGTCGTTTACGCAGTGGCAGTGGTCGGCCAACTCGGTGCACTACCTTCTCGGTCTCTGGTCGCGCCTCGTCGCGGCGCTCCCGTACGTGCGCACGGAGCGCAACGGCGCGGCGTCGATTGCCTTCCTCGACAACTCGATTCCGCGCATTGTGCAGTCGTATGTGCAGTCGCGACTCGACTCGGCGCTGGCCGTCGCCGCCGATGACGCGGTCGACGACCCGCTCGGCGACGAGGGTAGCTTAGCCGAGCAGTTTGATAAATTACCAACGATTTGCCACTACAACTACCGTGTCGTCGGCGAGTACCTCCTCTCGGTCTTCGACACGACGCTGACCCAGTACCGCGAAGCCGCCGCGCTGGCCATGGACGCTCGCATGGACGACGACGACGACTCGCTCGCGCGCGGCATGCACGGCCTCGAGATGCAGCTCGCGTGGCTCGTCTACATCGTCGGCTCGATCATCGGCGGCCACTCGTACGCGTCGCCCCAAGCCGCCGACGGCGACGAGATCGTCGACGCCGACCTCAGCAACCGCGTCTTTGCCACCATGAAGATCGTCGAGCACCGTTTGATCTCGTCCGGCGGCGCCACCAAGTGCCACGTCCACCTCGAGCTCGCGTTCTTGCACTACTTCAGCTTTTTCCGCCGGAGCTACATTGGCGAGCAGCACGGCATGCCGTCGGCGACCTTGAGCGCGTCGCCGGTGGCCTCGCCGCTCTCGAACCCGCTCCTCGGCATGTCGCCGTCGGACTCGAGCATGTCGCTCAAGGCCAAGACGTACCAGCGCATGTTTGAGCGCATGGGCTACGGCGACCACACGGTCGTGGTCAACATGATTGTGACGCACATTGGCCAAGACCTCAAGTTTTGGGGCGACGAAGAGAAGGTCATTAGCAGCACGCTCACGCTCTTCCTCGACATTGCGTCGGGCTACTCGTCCGGAAAGCTCCTCCTCGGGCTCGACACGGTGCAGTACCTCATTGGCCACCACACGGCCGACGAGTTTCCGTTTCTCGCGATCCCGAGCAACACGCGCCACCGCACGAGCTTCCACTCGACGATCTCGCGGCTCCTCTTCACGACGGCCTTTGACGAGAGCTCGGACCGCTTTGAGGACTTTGTCAAGCCGATGGAAGACGTGCTCAACACGCTCATGCACGTCCAGAACTACCGCCAGCCGGACGTGCGCGAAGCGATCATTGGCGTCTGCCGCGACCTCCGCGGCGTCTTCATCTCGACCCACAACAAGCGCACGTACAACTGCATGTTTGATTTGCTGTACCCGACGTACATGCCGATCTTTGCCAAGGCGGCCGACGTGTGGTATGACACGCCGTCGGTCATGAACGCGCTCCTCAAGTTTCTCCAAGAGCTCGCGTACAACAAGAGCCAGCGCGTCGTCTTTGACCAGAGCTCGCCCAACGGCATCCTCCTCTTCCGCGAGCTCAGCCAAGTGATTGTGGCCTACGGCTCGCGCGTGCTCCAGAACAACCACGCGCTCCGGGACCCGTACGCGGAAAGTACAAGGGCATTTCGCTCTGCCTCGGCATTCTCTTCCGCGCGCTCGGTACGACGCCTCGTTTTCGGATTGATGTCAAGTTGATATATATATCGTGTAGGGGGCAACTATGTCAACTTTGGCGTCTTTAAACTCTACAACGACTCGGCGTGGGACCGCGCGCTCGAGGTGTCGCTCCAAATGGCGCTCTCGATTCCGATCGACGACCTCATCGTACGTCCATCCTTGACACACTGAGATATGTATTGATGGGTGTGATAGAACTACCCCAAGGTCAAGAACGCCTACTTTTTCTTCCTCGAGATCCTCTTCCGCAACCAACTGCTCTCGGTCGTCGCGCTGGACGCGGGCGTCTTCTCGCAGCTCGTGCAGTCGCTCCACGAAGGCGTCAACTCGTACGACTTGACGATCGCGGCGCAGTGCGCGACGGCGGTCGACCACCTCGCGTCGCTCTTCTACACGGAGACGAAGAAGAAGAAGGACTCGCAGCTCAAGCACATGCTGCTCAGTCACTTGCAGGCGTCGCCCAACCTCTGGTCGACGTTGCTCTCGTCGCTCTTCAACATTCTCATTTACGGCGACGCGTCGTCGCAGTGGGCGCTCTCGCGGCCGATTTTGAGCCTCTCGCTCTGCAGCCCGGACGCGCTCCAGGCGTACGAGCAAAACTTGGCGTCGTCGCAGGCCAACGACGCCAACAAGGCACTCGTCGAGGAGGCGTTCGCCAAGCTCTACAGCGACATCCTCCAGTCCCTCGAGGCCTCGAACCGCGACAAGTTTACGCAAAAGCTGGGCCAGTTCCGCAACTCGCTGCGTGGCTTTCTCACGATCCAGTAGTCGAGGCAACGACGACTAATATATTCTCTTCCTACAAGAGCGTCGGCGAGGCGTCGTCGGTCGTGCGGCTGCTCGAGGCCGGGCTCGCGATTAGCACCTTTTGGTAGCTGCCGCCCCCGTCGCTGCCTTTCTACTCGACGTGTGAGCCGGTCGCTGGCAAAGCTGAGGAGTACCTTGGAGTAGTTGTTGGTGTTGGGGAACGAAATCTCAATCTAAGAGGGCAGGGTAGAGGACAGTCGTCGTCGTGCGTGTACCCAGGACCGCCCGCAGCGCTTGACAAACTTCCACTCGACGCCAACGTCTTGAAAGCACGGGCGGTGGTTGATGCGGTCGATGAGCGTTCGGGCGTACTGCTCTGCCTACCGCCAACGATGCATCAGGCGTCGCCGTTGATGGCGCACGGACGTCGCTAATGCACATGTGTGGGCACAGCAGCGAGAGGCCGCCAGTGCAGACGCAGCACGCGTAGCCGTAGCAGACGCAGAAGAGGCACGGCCAGTAGTCGGTGAGCGTGTTGTTGATCTGGTTGATGGCGTGGGTGAACTGCGTCTCGTCCACCTACAACCTCAACGAATCCGTGTCTTGGCATGTGCTGTTGCATACCAGATGGCGCAGCTCTGGCGGGAACTCGTCGTCGTACGCACGCGAGACGCCGTTGACGAAGCGCATGTGGGCGGGCATGAGGCGTACGGTCGTCCGCGCGGCCATGGCCATGGTTGTTGCTCTGGCCTTGTGGAATGTATCTGGACCATGGTTTCGTGTTTTAAACACGCAAAAGACGACACTTGGGTTTATGTTTAAAACGTGCACAACAAAACTGGCAAAATAAATACGACCGACACTACTCACGAGGACTGGCGCGACGACGCCGACGACGACGACTGCTGGAGGCCGACCATCTCGGTCAAGATGACAAGGTCTTCGTGTGACCACTCGTCCGGAAGACCTGCACTTGGCGGCGGCTTGGCCTCGTCGGGCGGCTCCTGCTTGATCGCCACGTGCGACGTCTGCGGTATCGGTGGCAGCCACTGGTCCGCCGAGGGATGCGCGCTAATGCTGGTGGCGTTGTGGTAGGGCATGGATGCGTGGAGTGGAGGCAGCATCGGAGACTCTATCGTGCGCCGCATTTCCATCTTGCCCGGTGGTGGTGGCCGGGTCCAGCTGTAGTTGAAAGCTGGCTGCGCGCCCGGCGAATGCATCTTGGAGTCGCTGTAGTCGCTGTAAGCTTCGCCGTGTTGTGCGCTATGTGCATCGTTGCGCCTCGTGCTGTGATGAGCGTCGAGGTGTGCGTCCGGTGGGGTAAACGTGATCGGGTGTACCACCGACGTCGCTTGCGTCGGTCGCTCCACGCTCTCAGCGTGCAGCAGCCGCTGGACGCTTGCATTGCTCGGTGCTTGTAGCTTCTTGAGGCGGCGGCGCTTAATGTCCGACTTGCGCTGGTTCTTGTTGTGTTGCAGCCGGTGCGGCTCGCAGAGTGTGTGCGGCTCGCCATTCTCCTTGAGCGTCCGCTCGTTCGCGCAGCGGCCGCTCTTGTACTTGCACTTGCCGCGGTACCCGAGCAGCGCTCCGCCATGCTGCGGCGGCCACTGCGACGACGACGATGACATGGTGGTGGTGGCAGAGACACTGGCCACGTTGAAGGAACTGACCCAATCTTCTCGACCAAGAAGTGTGGAGAATGCTCGCGGAAAGGCCAATCGGAGGCTCGCGGCTTGTCCCACATGCATGAAATTTTAGAGTCGCCGGATGCACATCCGGACGCCCCGCGCCGCGTCGCCCACGCCGACACCGCGCGCCCGCATGACACGCCGGTCGTCACGCCTTGGCAGCACCGACACCACCCCGCTCGCGAGCCAACGCCAACGCCTTGGCTCGCGAGCGCCTGCAGAAGCGTTGGAGTGCGAGATGTGGTGGCCTCCGCGCTGGCAGCTGGGCGCGCGGAAGCAGCTTCCCGTAGCTTCTTCTCCGCCACAATCGCCCATCAAAGGCGAGTGCCAGAGGCCAGCGCGACGCCGCCCTAAGCCCTAAGGCGCAATATTTGGTGCACCTCCGAGCACGCTGACCACTGTACGACTGCTGAATGACCTCGCGTGGCTACTCGGTGCAACCCATTTCCGGCGATGCGATGATGTTCGATAGTACATCGCGAGGAAGAGGAGAAGATTTTTAGCATTCAAAATTCAGTGTCATATCGCGATGCACTGATCGTCGCTGAGCACCGATGCCGAGGACGACGACGACGGTGGCGCCCAGTCGGCAAGGCGCGGGAGCTTGAGCGCCATGGGCGACGGCTGCGGATTGAGCACCGGAATCATGACGCTTGGCGGACTCGATGGCCGCAACGGACGCGCAGTCGTAAAAAAGAGTTGGGGCAGCCCCTCCAGCACGATCTGCTGCGCGAGGGTCGCCGTCGCCGTCGACTTGAGCGTCTTGAGGCGGACGAGCAGCGCAGTGACCGCGCTCTCGACCGTCATGTACGCACCGCTATCGATCGCAATGTGCATGTCACCGAGGTGCAATGCGTCGGATGCTTTTTCTCGCCGCCGAACGAACGCGGCGACGTCGTCGATCAAGTGCTTCATCTTGGAGCTGAAAACACTCGTCATGGGTTGCTTCAAGAAGCTCTGGAGGACGTGGCGTCGGTCGATAAAGTCATGCGACGATGCCGCTTCAACCGCCAGCAGCACAACGTGCAGCCCATCTTGTGCGCCATCGTGTGGTGCAGAGGGCCATGACGCTTGGCTAACGGTGACACGACCGGCGCCTCGGATGCATCGGCGCGCTTTCGCGGCGTCTTGGCCTTGGTCGTGATTGTCTGCAGCATCGAGTTAACCTCCTTCTCTTGCTTGGCAAAGTACTTTTGTGCATGCGTGCGGATCTGCGTCACGCTGCGCGTCTTGACAACCTTCCCGACGTTGAACCACTGCCGGCCGTACCTCCGAAGGCCGTCGAGAAAGAGGCCATGCTCCGTGTCGGTCCATCGGCCTTCGTTGTGGGCGGGCTTGGGTGTCGTCGGTTTGGCGCAGCTTGTGCTTCCAGCAGGCTGCATGCTTGGTCGTGCGTTCTCGGTCTTGATGCCCACCAGCATATTTGCACTCTGCGGCGGGAGACGGCAACGTTGCAACATTGCAACATGGATTTCAGAAAAAGCTAAAAGTGGAAAGATTTTGCCGTACGGATCACGCGGATTGGTCCATTTTGATCCAAACCCGACAAGATCGCCCAATCAAAAGCGGCCCTTTTTCGAAGCCCGCGATCTTTCGACATTTTCGCACCGTCCACGCTGTCAAGATTCGTGCACACTCGCGTGGCAGGGTCGTGGACACTGGTTCTTATTCTTCTTCATATTTTCACCTCTCGTACGTTGCAGCGGTTGTGTGCTATGGACCCTGACGCGGCCAACCGACGGCCACCATTTGCTCAGGATTCTCGGGACACGTGGCAACCAGCTACTTGTCCATGTGCGACGATCCGCATTCTCGTCACATGCGGACGAGAGACTAGAGCACTTGTGGTGGGGATCGCGGGTCGTCGAAGCACTACCCTTATGTCTCACTCTCCTTGAGGTTCGTCGACGCCACCAACAAAGGTCACATGTAAAAGCTTGTTACTGTATTGCTGAGCAATGGTAATGGAGCGAACATTCGCTAGACAGAGTGCAGCGCAAACGACGTCACGTCGTCATCGCTGTCGATGAACCCTTCGGCGCAGGCTTCCAGCAGCGGCTCCTGCGACGCCAACGGCGCGCGCTTGTAGGACGACACCGCCGCGTAGAGCTCGGTCACAAAGAGGAGGAAGCCAACGCCAAAGACAAAGCCCGTGATGGCCGGAACGTCGCGGAGCAACTTGGCGACGCTCCACTCGGGCGTGAACGCGTCGCCGCCGAGCGCGGTCACGAGCGCGACTGACTCGAGCTTGGTACTGCCGCAGTGCGCGCGCACAAACCCAATGCGGTGGTTGTCCATGTCGTACATGATGTTGTGGTCCTGCAGCATCGACGCGCCGATGATGGTCGCCTGCGCGAAATCCTGAAAGAAAATCGTCGCCGTGTAAATGTCGCCAAAGTCGTGCACCATGTACTGCGTCGGCGGAATGCACATGGTGGCGTCGTTGGCAAACTGAAAGCAGATGTTCGGGAGCGCCAGAAGCTCGAGGCGCGACAGCACGTAGTCGCCGCCGTCAATGTAATCCGCGTTCTCGGAGTCTTCGCCGACGGCCGCCGTCCACTGCTTTTGGAACCCCGCTTTGGCCGCGCTCGGAATGTACACAAACGTCGTGCCACTGTCAAAGACGCAGCCGCGGTGCGCGTTGTAGATACCCGCGTCGACATCGACGACGTGCCCGCCAACTGAAATCGACTCGAGGGAGACCGTCCAGTAGCTGTAGCCCGTGTCTCGCAGTGGCGTAAACACCATCGTCTCGGACGGGTCGTTCAGCGAGATGTCGAGGCCGCCAATCACCATGGAGCCGCCGTCGTCGGCGATGCACTGCGAGAAGCCGCGAAGCGTCGTGACGCCGTCCATGAAGAACTGGACGTGGACCGCGTCCGGGTCCTGGCTCATGCCCATGATGCCGTCGGCGCGCTGCGACAGAAAGGCGCCGGACTCTCTCTGCATGCAGCCAAAGACGAGGTTCGCGGTTAAGTCGGGCCGGTCCTCAAAGTACGCCGTGTCCTGGACCTTGAATGCATTCCAGCCCGAGCCCTCGACGTACTCCTCGGCAAACGCACACTTGCCGTCGGTCGTGCACGCCGAGCACGGCGAGAAGCCGCGCCTCTCGTTGTCGGCGCACGAGAGGTACGACGCGCTGTCGCCCATGACGTAGAACGGGTTGGTGTGCCGCGCGCCGCAGTCGACGCAGCCCGTGCACGGAAAGGCCGTGTCGGCGCTGCCCGTGTCGACGATGAGCAGGCGCTTCTGGTGTCCGAAAAAGATCTCGACCGAGTGCACGCCTTGGCCGAGCTCGAGGCTCATCTCGACCGCCGCGGGGTTCTCCTTGAACGACTGCAGCATCACCTCTTCGTGCGTCGACGCGAGGCGCGTGAGCTCCAAGCGGACGCCCGGTGGGTACTCTGGCATGGCCGACGCGGTCGCCGCGATGATGGCTGCAATGCACAGGCTGCGCACCATCCTTCTACTTCGCGGACTGGGCCAGGTGTTTCGGTATATAAAGATACGAGACCCGCCACTTACTATTTTCGAACGCGAAGAGACATTAAGAGGCAACCGCTCAAGATCGCCGATTTGCGATCTTCGACATTTGGCAGAAAATTTAGAGAAAATTTGTTCCCTGTACAATCGCTAGCCGAGGGCGACGTCCATGGTCATCATGACGATGAACCCGACAATGGTGCCGATCGTCGCGAGCTTGGCGTTGCCGCTCTGGTGCGCCTCGGGAATCAAGTCGTCGACGACCACGAAGATCATGGCGCCAGCGGCAAACGAGAGCGCGTATGGCAGGATCGGCTGGACGTACACGACAGCAAACGCGCCGAGGAGCTACAACAGTCGAGAGCGTAAGAAGGCGATGGAGCACAGGAGAGCGTACGCCGCCAATGGGCTCCACGAGACCGCTGAGCTGGCCCCACATGAAGGCTTTAAACGGCGGCATGCCCTCGCGCCGCAGCGGCATCGAGACGGCGAGGCCCTCGGGAAAGTTCTGAAGCCCTAGGATTCGCCCCTGAGCATAAATACAGTGTTAGTGAAAAGGTTACCAATGCCAATCGCGAGGTTCACGGCGTTGCCAAAGGTCGCGGACGACGTGTGCCCGATGCTGCCAAAGCCGACGCCGACGGCCATGCCCTCGGGGAAGTTGTGCATGGTGATTGCGATCACAAGGAGGACCACGCGGCGGAAGCTCATGTCCTTGGCCGAGACAAAGCTCTGGATCGCATCGTCGTGGCCAGCGTCGTCTTCCTTCGACGTCGTCGTCTTTGGCTCGTCTTCGTCCTCGGAATCGTTGTTGCTCTTCTTCTTGCGCCGACGCAGCCCGTCCGAGGTTGTCGACCGCGTCTTGTCGGGCGTCACCGCCGACACCTTGAGATCGTCGTCCTTCTTGTCCCAGCTTTCCGGCTTCGTGTCGAGGCCGAGGAGCGGCAGCACATGCTCTGTCAAGAGCATCGAGCCCGCGCCCAAGGCGAAGCCCACGGCGGCGGGCACAAATGCCCACCGACCCTCGGGCCCGTAGAGCGGCGACTCTTCGGCGATTTCAATCGCGGGCGCGAGGAGCGACCAGTACGATGCGGCGAGCATGACGCCGGCGGCAAAGCCCTACGGTGGATGAGGTCCCATCGCAACCAGGCCATGCGTGATACCAGCATCGAGTCGAGGATCTTCTGGCTGAGCTCCTTGTTCTCGACGTCGAGCACGAAGACGAGCGCCGAGCCCTAGAGGCGACGTGTCTACCACCACTGCATGGACCATGAGAGCGTACCGCAGCGGTGAGGCCCCATGTCACGAGCGTGCCGAGGAAGGCCTGGAAGACGGGGCTCACTCCTTCGATCATCGAACACGTGGGTTGGAGTATGAAGGGTCCGTCGCGTGACCGCAATCGCCAGACGAGCGCAACACCGTCTGCAATACAAACACCAAGTCAAACCGTTTCGCACGGTGGGTGCGCGCAGGATACAAGCACGCCACTTTTACGCACAAATCCAATCGCGATAAAAGTGCCAACAGGCGATAGTTGGGTGTTTTTATACACACTCGACGTGCGCGTGTTTCTGGCCGGTCCAGTGACCTGGATTTCCTGCGCATTCCTTGGCCATCACTCTCGCGATGATGCTCCAGCTGATCCAGCGGTCGACGCCGTCGCTCCAAGCGCGCCTCGCGCGCCGCTTCCACCGCTCCGTGGGCATCGTGGGCATGCCCAACGTCGGCAAGTCGACGCTCTTCAACGCGCTCACGCGCACGGAGCAGGCGCAGGCGGCCAACTACCCGTTCTGCACCATCGACCCCAACGTCGCCCGCGTCGGCATCCCGGACCCGCGCGTGCATGCGCTGGCCAAGATGGAGAACTCGCAAAAGGTCATTGAGACGCAGCTCGAGTTTGTCGACATTGCCGGCCTCGTGCGTGGCGCGTCCAAGGGCGAAGGCTTGGGTATACCACCGACGACGATCCAAATGCGTCTTCTCACCATTTTGATCAGGCAACAAGTTTCTCGACAACATCCGCCAAGTCGCCGTCATTGCGCACGTCGTGCGCTGCTTTGAGGACATCAACATCCTCCACGTCGAAGAAAGCGTGGACCCTCTCCGGGACCTCGACACGATTCGCACGGAGCTGCTGCTGGCCGATCTGCAGACGGTCGAGCGCCGCCTCGAGACGCTCAAGAAGAAGAAAAAGTCCACCGAGCCCGGCCTCCAGAGCCTCGGCGTCGTCCTAGAGCGCGTCCAGCCGCTTCTCGAAGAAGGCGTCTCGCTCGCCAATCTGAGCTTCGACATCCCCGAGGAGCAACTTCAGTTCGACCGACTCCAGCTCCTTACCGCCAAGAAGGCCATGTACCTCTGCAACGTCTCGGAAGACGACGCAGCCTCGGGCAATGAGATGACCGAGGCCGTTCGCAAGCAGGTCGAAGCCGAGGGCAGCATGTGCTTGACCGTGTCCGGTGCCCTCGAAGAAGCCGCGTCGGCGTTTGAGGACGAGGCGAGCCAGATGGAGTACTTGCAAATGGGCGGTCTCGAAGAGACGGGCCTTACGCGCGTGATCCGTGCGTCCCAGAAGCTTCTCCAGCTCCAGAGCTACTACACGGTCGGTGAGAAGGAAGCCCGCGCCTGGAACATTCCGCAGGGTGCGACGGCGCCGATGGCGGCCGGCGTCATCCACTCGGACTTTGAGCGACTCTTCATTCGCGCCGAGACCGTCTCGTTCGACGCACTCACCAAGGCGGGGAGCATGAAGGCGGCCCGCGACCAGGGCCTCGTCCGGTCCGAGGGCAAGGACTATGTCTGCCAGGACGGCGACGTCTTCCACTTTCTCGTCGGTCGGTAAAACCATCATAGACACACGTGAAAAAACGCGTTGTACGAGGCTATCTAATACACGCGGTGCGCTTCCATGCGCTGGCTGAGGTCGTGGTACATGGCGCGCGTCCGGCGGGTCGAGAGCACGTGGAGGAGGCTGAAGCACGCGACGCCCGAGAGCGTGCCCACAAGCATGGCCCACCCCGACGAGGGTGACGACGTCGACGCACTCACGCTGGCATTCACAATAACTTGGTCGCTCGGCTGCTCGGCGCCCGTCAAGTACTCCAAGTTGTCCTTGGGGTACGCAAATGTGTCGCACATCTCTTGGCCAAAGACAAAGCACTCGAACATGTAGAGCGCATGGAGCGGCCGAATCGCGGGCACCTACATAGTTGATGGACTTGAATCGTCCAGTATAAAGAGACATGTGTCTGGTACCATGTGACCTGCGCCCTTGACCGTCTTGAACGTGAGGTGCTCGTAGCCTTGCGAGTAGCCCGCGAGTTGCTTGTCGGGGCCAAACCACGCCGCCCAGGGCGATGTGACGCTGAGGTGCAGTCCGTCGACGCGACCGATCCAGCGCTCGGTCCCGATAAAGTTGACGACCGCGTCGGCGTCGCCGCTGTAGATGAGCGCCGAGATATCTGCAAACATCAAACACTTGACAACCTTGCTAAGAGACGAGCTATACCAGCCGAGAGGATGTGCGTGTACTTGGGCAAGGCCGAGGATGCCCGGCTGTAGACTTCGGCAATGTTCATGTTGCAATCGCTCCACGCCACGTCGCCTTCGATATGAAGCGCTTTCTACGGTCGCATGGGCATATATTGCAATGGCTCTACTCGCACATACCTGTACGCTCTTGAGGTTGAGATAGTCTTGCGTATACCGGTCGGTGCATGGCCCGATCTTGCCGCGGTGCATCGGCTGCAAGCTTCGAGTGCGGTGGAGATGGAGCAAGTCGCCTTGGCCGTTGGTGTTGAGACACACGTCGCCGTAAATGTAGTATGGGTTGAAGTACGACGCGTCGGACGTGATCGGAGTGCTCGCGACCGCATCTTGGCACGCGAGCGAGCAGTTGGCCGTCGAGAACATGCACTGGGAGAGCTCGTCCGCACACGATGCAACGATCTCGTCGTAGCTCTCCATCGAGATGAGCGCGTGGGCGTAGTAGTAGTCCATGTAGGCGTTGCCGTCGATCGTGGCGTCCGTGAACGGGTTGCCGATCGCGTAGCCCTTGAGGTCAAGGCCTGGAATCGGCGCCGCCATGAGCTTTGCGACGAGGTACGGGATGTAAACGCCCGCGTAGCTCTCGCCTGTGATGTAAAAATCCCGGCCGCTCAAGTGCGGGTACGCGCCAAGGAACTGCGTAAGGAACTCGTACGCGCGGTCGGTTGTAAAGTCGTCGTTGTACTCGGTCGCGTTCAGAACGGGCGAGCTAAAGCCGACGCCGGACGGCGACTCGAGAAAGACCAAGTTGGCCTTGCGCGCCCACGTGTATGGGTTGCGCTTGACGTTGAGACCGCGCTGGACGACGAACGGGCCGATCTCGGTGAAGAAGCCGCCGAGCGACGAGCAGCCTGGCCCGCCGTTGAGCCAGAGCACAAGTGGGTCGGTCGACGGCGCCGACTGCGACTCGACGTGCCAGTAAAACATCTTTTGGCCGTTCGACGGCAGTGCAAGATGACCCGCAAAGTGGCGAAAGTCGATCGGATGCTTGGCGTCGTAGTGCGGCAACGCGTGGATTTGATGGGCCGCCGCCTGCGATGTGAGCGGCGACGCCGCAACGGCCGAGACGACCACGGTGAACAAAAGCGCAATGCTGCGGCGCATGGCTTCTCGTTGATGCACCAAAAGCCAAAATGAAAATGGAACGAGCCGCACGGGTGGTGCGCGGCGCCTGGCCCACTACACAGTACAGAGCCACAGATACTTTGTATGGTTGCGATCTTCAAGCAGGACTAGCCTTTCTAGCCGTTTCAGGTTGCACTTAATACGCAATCTTTCGAAGCCGCACCCGTTAGCGATTATTCAAGTACGAGTCGATCAAGACACTACGAAGGCGAGGCGACAGTGGAAGCCGCGCGTCGTCTTCGTCACTGCTACTGCTGCTACTGCTACAATGACACCTACAGTTACTCGCTGCGATGAGGCTGGCAGCTATGACTGGCGGCGACATGGTGTCGACGGGGTTCGTCGTCGTTGCTCGCCGGCGTGACCGGAGGGCAGCAAAGCGCTCTTGTAGCGTCCGGGTAGCAATTGTTGGCTTGGAAGAAGGAGAGTAGGTCTAGCAGAAAAAGACGCGAATCAGCGCAGAGTCCGGACGTGGGCCCAGTTGGATCGTCGTACATCAAGTGATCGGCCGCGAAGTCGCGCCAGCGTCGCCGTCTCTGCATGAATGGCATTCGAGACCGCCAAGGCTGGTCTCTCGGAATGAGCCTTGTCTGCCTCTCGTCGTTTTGGGCTTGGCGCATCGTCCGCGACGTTTGCAGCCGTGTCGTCGAAGAGCAAGACGCAGCCCATGTCTTCGCAGAGGGTAGCAACGTCCAAAAACAAGGCAGTGGTGGTGGCCAGCAGCACCTCGTTCGCAGGCGAGTGCTCGGACAGTAGCTCGTCTTGACAACAGTGGCGCAGTGCGGTCAAGAGTGCATCGACACCTGTCAAGAGGTCGTTGCAGCCACCGTCGTCATCGTCTACGTTCTGGTCACCTCCATGCTTGCAGCGCACGCAGTTCTACCGATGTCGAGGCAGTACGCGTCGTCGGGATCCATACGTTTCCCACCTGAATAGGCGACGTTAAAAAACGCTTCTTACTCTAATCCTATTGCTGCTGCTTTGGCGCCGAGACGCTGCGACGGCGGGTGACGCCCTTGGCGTGGTCGCGCTCGAGCTTCTTGAGCATCGAGTTGGTCACTTTGATCGAGAGCGCCGTCGGGAGAAGCGTCGTCTTGTGCAAAATGCTTGGGTTGTCGCCAAATGTGTTGAGAAACACCATCATCTACACCTCCAAATCTCAGCGTCGATGGCCTTTGCCGCTAAAACACGGTACCTCGTCGATAGACTTGCCGTTCAAGTGGGGCTCGGCGAGCTTGAGCATGCCGAGGGCGGCGCGAAACATGATTTTCCAGCTGCGCTCAAAGAGAAAGATGTCCCAGATCGCGTCCAGCGTCTCTTTGGGCAGCGCGTTGAGGTACAAAAAGAGTGTTTGGAACCACCCGACGATGTACATCTCGACCATGACGTGCTCAGCCTCAAAGTGGTCGTAGAGGGCTGGGAGCGCGGCTTGGAAGAGGCACCGAAACTGGTAGCAGTGCAAATGGAGGCGCGTGAGGCCGGGCTGAACATTTGCCGGAGCCCGTAGCTTTCAAAGAGGGCGACGAGAATCCAAAAGGTTGCTTCGACTTGGACTTCGGTCGCAGCGGCGCGCTTCTGTGGCGACGCCTCGCCAAACTAGCAAGATTAAGTACAACGCACAGGTATACGACATCTAAACCTTGCGGTCGGCGGCCTTGACGTGCTCAAGGATGTGCGCCGTGATGTAGTCCATGCCCTGGCAGTACCCGACATCGGGGAACCGGCCCGCCAGCGCGTGCAGGATCGCGCCGAGCTGCGTCTGGAGCTCTTCGTCCGTGTCAATCGATGCCGTCCAATCGTTGGACGACCTAATTGGTGTCGAGTGAGAGGCCGCTGCCGACGGGAACGCGATGACCGGCGATGGGGTGCGACGCGCCCGTACGTGCGCGTGACGTCGGTCTGGATCGCGTCGGTCCAGTCGCCTTTGGAAAGCGCCATCTGCAGGTACGTGTCGTAGTCGTGCTCGGCCGCCGCGCGCGTTGCCTCGACGCTAGTCTCATTAGGTCACACTCGCAATGCGAAAGAATGGGTACCTCGTGAGGTGGCTCCAGAAGCCGATGCGCACTTGGGGCGAGAGCTCGCCGTAGCGGACGCAGAAGCGCCACACGTGACGCTCGGTGTGGATGTGGCGACGCGTTGCCAAGTTGAGGCCCGTGCACTGCGCGACGGTCTGCACACTACACCGAGCAGAAGTCGGATAACAACCCGACGCCGACCAAGGGTTACCTTCCTAGGTACGCGAGGATCGTGTAGAGAACGATGGGCGTGTCCCAGCAGATTGCACTCGCCGGGTGCGCTCCGTCGTGCGTCAGCAAAACGCTCTTCACGTGGCGGTACTCTAGATAGCGCAGAAGGTGCAGTGGCAAGCACGGTCGCGGACGTACGCTCGAGAAAGGCCGTCGCATGGCCGAACGCTTCTTCGTCAATGAAGACGATCATCTGCGAGTCCGACATCATTTCGGTCACAAGGCGAAGCCCCATTGCTTGGAACCGCTCGGCTTGGATCTGGACTTGGATCGACGAGTTGGAGAGCTTTGTCTTGAGGATGCTCATGCCCTCCTTCGCGCGCACGAGCGCTGGCTGGAGGCCTTCTGGTACGCTCGTGTTGCGCAGCTTTTCGCGGCCCGTCGTTGCGGCGGACGTTGCTTTGCTACTGATCTTGTCCTTGAGCTGGAGGAGCTGGGGCGTGAGGTGGTTCTTGACCGCCATCGCCGAGCTCTTGACCTTCTCCATGCGCTGGTACCATCCGCCGGGCGCTGATGGCGGAGACACGGGCACCTCAACGTCGCTGCTCACCGACGCCCGCGTCGACGACGACGGCGGGCTCGGTGGCGGCTCTGTCGTGCTCATCTAAGTTTAGGCTCGAACCGACTTGGATGTTTGATTTTCCAATTTGAAGTGGATCCTTTTTACGTAAAAATGATGGCCATTTCGCGGAAATACGGTATTTACATACAAACACCAAGATAAACAGGACGGGAAATCCAATCGCGGGCAAGGCGGTGTCCATGACGACGTCGGATTGGTTGAAAAGCAAGATATAAAGCGCTTTGACTGGCTGTCTGGTTTTTATTTTGGATTGGTCGAGTGGCTGTGGGGTTTGGCAAATTCGAAAATCAGCGGCGGACGGCAGCGACGACGGCGACGATGAACAAGGTCCAGAAGCCCATGACGCAGCCGATCAACTTGATCTTCCGCTTCCTCCAGAACGTATGCGAGCATGCTCCATGACCTTCCTCACCTCATGCATCATCTCTTGTAGAAAGCGCGGGTCCAGATCTGGCTGTACGAGCAGGTCAACACGCGCATCGAGGGCCGCATCATGGGTTTTGACGAGTACATGAACCTGGTGCTGGACGACGCCGAGGAGCTCGACGTGAAGAACCTCAAGCGCACGCCCCTCGGCCGCATCCTGCTCAAGGGCGATACCATCACGCTCATGATGGCGGCCGACGGCGCCAACTAACAACCTTCTCCGCCCATTATTCCTAAGTACTACCTCTATTGTCTCGATCGCTTGCCTTGAAGCTACGACACGATCTTGTTGGTCGCGAGACAAACCTCCTCCAAGCTCGCGGTCTGCCTTGTATACACTCACGGTACTTTGGTGCCACCTGCGTCTGTTCCCGGTTCGGCGCGTGCTGGTGGATCGCGCTTTGGAGCTTTGATGCTGCAACAGAACGTGCGCCCACTAGGAGGTCGCATGTCTCTTCGCAAACGTGGCTGCACAAGAGCTCGCTGCCGTGCAGGCAATACGTTCTTATTGTAGACACCGCCGTCTGCGTAGAGCTGTGCGTACGGTGTCGCTTCTACGGCAGTCATCCCAGCGGAGGTGTCATTGCCGTCTCACTTGCGCTCGGCTATCGATCTGAGCCCGCAATTGGTTCGATCGAACCTCGCAAGTCCTGGCGTCCTAGCTGCCCAACCCTAGGGCGCGTCCTAAACTCGTCAAGACGAGGATATTTGTTTTAAAACTAGGCTATTTGTTTTGCCTGTTCGGGTCCTATTCGTACAATGTACGTTCATACAAAACGTGAGCTAAAACGTACGTACTTTAACCGTACGTCCAGTGATGGGTACACGCCAACTCTGAGCGCACGCTTGTGATTGGCTCGCGACCAAATATCAATTTCCTGGAAACGCGGCAGATCGCGAGTAACGTCGTGGAACATGGGACGTAATTGCTAATAAGACTAGCAACGGACGGTTTGTATGGCGCGAGCCGACCGCGCTTAGCCAAGCCCGCAGCCGGCGTCGTTAGATAGAACCGACGTCGTTGGGTAGATGCCGGCCAGTTTGCCTTTTCGCTCGGACCGAAATGAGGGTTCTCGCGCTCGTAGCTGCCATCGCGCTCGCGTCTGCGGCGACGACCACCAAGTCACCCGTGCCGACGCTCGACCGCTTCAACGGCGTCTGCTCGAGCGACGAAGAGTGCGCCAAGTTCCCGGGCACCGTCTGCGTCTTTATTCTCTCGGGTGACTACTCGCAGGGCAAGTGCACGCCCAACTACGGCACGCGCCCGGTTTGCCGAGGCGGCCAAGCCGGCCTCTGCCCGTCGTACCAAGATCCGTCGGCAGGCTACCTCAACACGCAGTGCGTGCTCATTGACAAGGCGATGCAGCCGGCGACCGACACCGATGCGATTGTGCCCGTGGCAACCAAGAACGGGTCGACGCCGGCGACCGTGCGCTTTCTGCTCGTAGCCGCCAACGAGACAACGGAACCGCCCTTGGCGTCGGTGAGCGCATCGGGCTCGGGCGATGGCACGGTTGTCCGCACGCCGGTAAAGGACCAGCCGTGCCCGACGAACCCAAGCCTGTCGCTAGCCGATCCCAAGTGCTGGTTCACAACCAGCTACCAAAACACGACGCTAACCGTCCAGTACAAGTGCGTCGACTACGACATGTGTCTGACACAGTCAGCGTACTCGCAAGAGTCGCAGAAGGTCAAGGAGGCCTATTGTCGTCCGCAGGGCTGTGTCACCGGCGACAAGAGCCTCTGCAACAACCGGGGCACGTGCCAGGCCAACTCGGCCATCGACGTCATGCTGCCGCGCAAGTATGCATGCCGCTGCTACGCAGGCTTCACAGGCACGCAGTGCGAAAAGTCGGATGGGACCGCCGACTGCGACGTCGACTGTGGCCAAGGCGGTGCGTGCATTGACAACAAGTGCTCGTGCTACAAGGGCTACGTCGGCAAGAACATCCGCTGCGACAAATGCACGTCCAACGACGCGTGTGAGAACGGCAACACGTGCACGATCGACACGGGCAAGTGCGACTGCAAGAACGGCTTCAACGGCCCGACGTGCGGCGGGAAGCTCGACATCTGCGCCGGCGTCACGTGCTCGGGCGGCGGCTATACGAGCGGCGCATCCGGCAAGACGTGCACGTGCTTTTGCCCCAAGTGCCCGGCTGGTACGACCTGCACACCCTGCGGCGGTGCCAACGGCCGCGACTGCTCGACGTGCCCGGCGTCGACGTTGCTATCCTCGGGCAGTGTGACACCGATGGTTGGCCTCGCTGCTCTTTCGACGGCCGTTGCCATGTTGCTGTAGAGGTCGTGAAGAATGCAAACACTTGACTGTGAAATCTAGTCTGGTCTATCTGGTCATTGCAGTAGCAAGCGTTTGGAACGGTGGACAGAACGGAGACAGAAAATGGACTGCGGACGAGGGAGGGCTCCAAACTACTACTACTTGGTTCAGGAAATTCCGTGTAGCCCGCGCAGGAGCCTCGACAATACGTCCGCTTTGACACTGCCAAGACAGACGGTCGTGGACCTCAACAGCGCATACACATGCTGCTGTCCACACATTTGCGGATCAACGACACCGCGCGGCTACGATTGTAGTAAGTTGTAAGGCCTTGTGGGCTGCATCGACACGCCCACTGACAGCTGTCTGCACCGTGGTGGGACGTGCAGCGTGAATGACGTCGCTGCAACGTCCACGCAGACCTCCCCGTCGATATTGGATCGCACAGCGGGCGTCGCTCCGCCACGCCGTAGCGCCAGTTCGCACGACTGTGGTTCGGCCAAGCCTCCGCCATGTGACATCTGGCGACAACCTTAGGCTCTCGTAGTAGTCGACCTTAGGTCTCTCCCACAAGCACTTGGTATTTGTATGCTGCTTGCGAAAGAGCAAGGTCGCGTGCGATTACACACCTCTTTTTGGCCAATCAGAGCGCTGCGATCCGTCGGGCGAGGATTACACCCAACGCTGGCGCCGCCCAGCTGGCCGCGACGATGGGCCTTGATTCGTGGGCAAAATTTCACGCCTGCGAAGTCACCCAGCCGTAGCGCTGGCGCCACGCTGCCATTTCCGCATTTGCCCGACGCCGAGATGAAGCTGGTTCTGGCGCTGGCGACGCTCCTGAGCGTAGCATCCTTCTCGACGGCCGCGATTGCGACCAAGGCGCCCGTGCCGACGCGCAACCGCTTCAACGGCGTCTGCTCGAGCGACGAAGAGTGCGCTCCATTCCCGGGCACCGTCTGCGTCTTTATTCTCTCGGGCGACTACACCCAGGGCAAGTGCACGCCCAACTACGGCAAGCGCCCGGTCTGCCGAGGCGGCCAAGCCGGCCTCTGCCCGTCGTACCAGGACCCGTCGTCCGGGTACCTCAACACGCAGTGCGTGCTCATTGACAAGGCGATGCAGCCAGCGACCGACACGGATGCGATCGTGCCCGTGAACAAGCCAACGACGGCGGCGGCGGATCCGGATGCGACGCCAGCTGACTCTGGCGCCAAGCCTTCGGTGACGCCCGCCAAGACGGCTGCGAGCCGCTTCCTCGCTGCGGACCCCACGACTGCTGTGGCCAGCGACCCGACGACGACCCCGAAGAAGACGACGGCGGCGCCCGCTGCTGACGGTACGGATGTCCCGGCTGATGAACCGACGACGGGCCCGACGACCCCGAAGAAGACGACGGCGGCGCCACTTGACGACAGCACTGTCGCCCCTGATGAAGGCTCGACGACGGCCGATGGCACTGTCTCCCGCATCCCTGTGAAGGACCAGCCGTGCCCTTCGGATCCGACGCTCGTGCTCGCGGACCCCAAGTGCTGGTTCACGACGGCGTTCAAGAACACGACGCTCACTGTCCAGTACAAGTGCGTCGACTACGACATGTGTCTCTCGCAGTCGGCGTACGCGCAGGAGCCCCAGACGATCAAGGAGGAGTACTGCCGCCCGAAGGGCTGCGTCACGGGTGAAAGAGCCTATGCAACAACCGCGGTTCGTGCCAGGCCAATTCGGCCATCGACGTCATGCTGCCGCGCGTCTACGCGTGCCGCTGCTACGCCGGGTACACGGGCACCAAGTGCGAGAAGTCGGACCCGACTGGCGAGTGCGACGTCGACTGCGGCCAAGGTGGCGCCTGCATCGACAACAAGTGCTCGTGCTTTGATGGCTTCATTGGCAAGAACATCCGCTGCGACAAATGCACGTCCAACAAGGCGTGCGAGAACAACAACACGTGCAACATTGACACAGGCAAGTGCGACTGCAAGAACGGCTTCAACGGCGAAACCTGCGGCGGCAAGCTCGACATCTGCGCCGGCGTCACGTGCTCGGGCGGTGGCTTCCCGGACGGCCGCTCGGGCAAGACGTGCACGTGCCTTTGCCCCAAGTGCGCTGCTGGCACGACCTGCATGCAATGCGGCGGTGCCAACGGCCGCGACTGCTCGACCTGCCCGGCGTCGGCGCGCCCCAGCTCTGGCACCCCGACCCTCTCGGTTGCGATCATGACGCTCATCATGGCGATCCTCGCGGTGCTCTTTTAAGCCGGTGGACTAAGGCCTTTCCGGACGTACTACAGACTACTACAGCTTTTCACTAATGCAACAGCTCAATTTTATCTATAGCTTGGTCATAGCTCGCAGCATCTCACGACCAAGCCTTTGCATCTGGCACGGACGATCGATCGCATGGCGTTCTCCTGCCATTCCGACGTTCTGCAGCTTCCGCCGTGGCACACACACGGAGGAGCTCGGTAGCAATATGGCCTTGGTGCACCGACGAGTGGCGAGCGACCTCGGTTGACCTGCCTTCTTGCCGAGTACCAAGGGAATAAATAAGGGTGGCCATCGACGGGGTCTTTTTTTTAATCGCTCGTTCCATGGTAAGCTTACCTTCTCAATACCTTGTCTGAAGGTTTTCAAATAAAAATGTTTGGCCATTTTATTCAAAAATAATGACTTTTGAATAAAATGATGGACGGCCGCGCAGACGTCGAGCGTCCGGATCGAAGGGCCTACCTCCCGTTGAAAAGGTCACTGCTCCGCGCCAATAGTGCGCTACGATGCGCAAGATCGTTGCGCATCGAACAAGCTATGATGCATAGCTCTACGATTAGTATTCTAGGAGAAACGTTGGCTCGACTCGCCAAAATCCAAGGTCCTAGAGCGAGCATCTTTGATCATCGATTTGAGCAGCTGCCGTAAACTCCCGAGAGCCAAGATTTGAACATGAGCTAGGCGAAATCGATGCGTGTATGCAGGACCAATAAGTTTTTGGTACCCTTGAGTTGCTCCCAGAGATCATGTAGCTCGAAGCAGGGCCATTTCGGGAACGTTTTTATCATATCCGTCTCAATTGCCGTCAATCGAATGCAATACCCTGCTTAAAATCGATGAGTCCCGTTGGAATGTCCCCGTCCAAGGGCAAGCCAAAGAACTATAAGTGCGTCGACTGCAAGCGTGCGAAGGCGCGGTCCCAGCTGTCGAAGGCGGGTTTTTGCAAACCAGCTCTCGGCGATGCATGCGCGCATTGGTGTCGTCGTTCACCGATTTTCGGCGCAGTACCTCGGCCGCCACGTTGACAAGTCGGGCACCCTCGCGCTGCGCCAGAAGCTCAAGGCGGAGACGGGCAAGGCACCACAGGCATCACAAGGCAAGCGCAAGGCGCAGGCACTGGTAGCGGCACCGGCACCGGCCAAGAGTCGCCAGAAGACGATGGACCCTAACGCCAAGCACAGCGCCGAGTAGATTAGCCTCGACAGACTAATTGACCGATTATCCTTCGTTTTACATGCGTACGTCACTCTATCGCTCGCAATGGATCGCTCATCTCGCCTCGCCTTGTCGACATCGTGATGCGCAATCCAGTGGCATCCAAGTCCGGATGGTATCCGGCGGCTTCCAATCTCTCACGCGGTGGAATAAAAATATATCGGAATTGACGAGAAGCTACCTCAACGTTAGAACTGGCATTTCGAATAAAAATATCTTGAAATTGAAGTCGACGGCCACCCTTATTTATTCCCTTGCCGAGTACACAGGTCAAGCGTCCGTGGCTTGGTAGACCAGCTCCACGTGTGGCATTTTGGCTTGTCATCCCAACGTACGTACAAACAGAATATAGTTCGTTGGCCATCTGGAGACGCCGGCGCCGTGGCGAGCGTCGGCTCTGCGCAGAAAGGGCGTAAGCTTCTAACGTTCCAATCGAAGTCGAACGTCGCGAGAGGACTTGCAGTCCAGTGAGCCAGTCGGCGGCGTCCGTATGCACCGCTCCAGCTGGACCAGCCTCTTCAAACCACAATCGAATTGGCCATGAAGACAGCGCCGTGGATCATCGCTGGCCTCCTCGGTGTCGTGGCCGCGGCGACCACCAAAGCGCCCGTGCCGACGCTCGACCGCTTCAACGGCGTCTGCTCGAGCGACGAAGAGTGCGCCAAGTTCCCGGGCACCGTCTGCGTCTTTATTCTCTCGGGTGACTACTCGCAGGGCAAGTGCACGCCCAACTACGGCAAGCGCCCGGTCTGCCGAGGCGGCCAAGCCGGCCTCTGCCCGTCGTACCAGGACCCGTCGTCCGGGTACCTCAACACGCAGTGCGTGCTCATTGACAAGGCGATGCAGCCAGCGACCGACACCGACGCGATTGTGCCCGTGGCAACCAAGAATGGGTCGACGCCGGCGACCGTGCGCTTTCTGCTCGTAGCCGCCAACGAAACAACGGAACCGCCCATGGCGTCGGTAAGCGCATCGGGCTCGGGCGATGGCACGGTCGTTCGCACACCCGTGAAGGACCAGCCGTGCCCGACGAACCCGAGCCTGTCGCTGGCCGATCCCAAGTGCTGGTTCACAACCAGCTACCAAAACACGACGCTCACCGTCCAGTACAAGTGCGTCGACTACGACATGTGTCTGACACAGTCGGCGTACTCGCAAGAGTCGCAGAAGGTCAAGGAGGCCTACTGTCGTCCGCAGGGCTGTGTCACTGGCGACAAGAGCCTCTGCAACAACCGGGGGACGTGCCAGGCCAACTCGGCCATCGACGTCATGCTGCCGCGCAAGTACGCGTGCCGCTGCTACGCAGGCTTTACAGGCACGCAGTGCGAAAAGTCGGATGGCACCGCCGACTGCGACGTCGACTGCGGCCAAGGCGGCGCGTGCATCGACAACAAGTGCTCGTGCTACAAGGGCTACGTCGGCAAGAACATCCGCTGCGACAAATGCACGTCCAACGACGCCTGCGAGAACAACAACACGTGCACGATCGACACGGGCAAGTGCGACTGCAAGAACGGCTTCAACGGCCCGACGTGCGGCGGGAAGCTCGACATCTGCGCCGGCGTCACGTGCTCGGGCGGCGGCTATACGAGTGGCGCATCCGGCAAGACGTGCACGTGCTTTTGCCCCAAGTGCCCGGCTGGTACGACCTGCACACCCTGCGGCGGTGCCAATGGCCGCGACTGCTCGACGTGCCCGGCGTCCACACGGCTCAGCGCGGGCAGCCCGATCCACCTCGCTGGACTCGTCGCGGCTTTTGCTGCTTGTATTGGGGCGCTGTTGTAATTAGGAGCCCGTGCTTGTTTAATAAATATTACGTACTGCAAGTAGAACGTTTTGCCCGCAGCTTCGCACTGAGCGTGCCACGTGAGCTGTTTTCGACTACCATGGGATTGCCATGTCACTTGAAGTCCTTGCACAAAGTCGCCGCCGCCATTTCGACGTTATCAGCGATCACGCTGACGCACAGGACATGATGGACAGCAGTCCTTCCTCTTCACTAAGCATGGTCGACAGGACGGAGGAAGCGGCAATAGCGAGGCTCAGCGGAAACCCATCATCCAGGATGTCTTTGGGTCCATACCGATACCGGTACTTGATCCGAGGCGAAGCTGTCGCTGCGCCTGAAATTTTTACGCCGTGTCGCTGGCCCCAGAGAAGCCGCACCTGAGCCTTTCCAAGACCGCGTTCTGCGATCGTGACTTGCTCGACGAACGACGCTGCGCCGACGCCTGCATGCTGCCACACCGAGCCTCGAAGCGGCGCCGTGCTGCAGTACGGACTGGCCCGTCGGCGTCAAATTTTCTGGCGTGCGATCATCGGGTCTCGCCGGCGGGGTTTTCGGTATACTTAGATCAAGTCTAAGAAAGGCCATGTCGCGTCGCTGGACCCTAGGCAACACGCGCCTTGGTCAACGACGAGCGCACTTGCCTCTATGATGTGCTGCGGTGCGAGCGGTAGTAATGGGCTTGGAATCTCCGACGACAAGCCAGTTTTTGTGAGAGGATGTCCTGCAAGAACTGGTCGCGCTGATGGCGGCGACGATTACTCACGTGCTGAAATGGGCCCGCCACCGGCAGAGTTCGATTTGCCCACCACCTCGTCGGATGAAGCTCGTCCACGCCCTCTGCCTGCTTGGCGTAGCTATGGCCGCGCGCGTGAACCCACCCGTGCGCGACAAGAGCGTCGGCGTCTGCAGCACGGACGCCGAGTGCGCCAAGTACCCTGGCACCGTCTGTATCCTCATCAACTCTGGCGACTTCACGCAGGGCAAGTGCACGCCCAACTATGGCACGCGACCGGTCTGCCGTGGCGGCCAAGCCGGCCTCTGCCCGCAGTACCAAACAACGACGGTCGGCTACATCAACGCGCAGTGCGTACTCGTCGATAAGGCCATGGCGCCGGTGACGGACACGGACGCCGTGACGCCGTCGACGGTCCAGCCGACGGCAGCACCCGCCAAGACGACCGCGGCTGCGCCCGTGCGCTTCCTCCTTGTAAACACGACGACCACACCAGCAACTGGCGAAGACTCGGCGGGCAACGACACGGCACTGTCGCCGTTGACGCCCGTCAAGGAGCAGGCGTGCCCGACGAACGCGGGCCTCACGCTCTCGGATCCGGCGTGCTGGTTCAACACGGCACACAAGGGCAACACTCTCACCGTGCAGTACCAGTGCATCTCGTACGACATGTGCTTGCAGCAATCGGCGTGGGCCAAGGACACGCCCCAGGAGCAGGACGCGTACTGCCACCCCAAGGGCTGTGTCACGGGCGACCGCGAGCTCTGCAACAACCACGGCACGTGCCAAGGCAACGACCCGTACTTGCCCATGGAGCCCAAGGGCTACTCGTGCCGGTGCTACGCCGGGTACTCTGGCAAGATGTGCGAGACGCCGCTCAAGACCAAGGAGTGCGACGTCGACTGCGGTCTCGGCGGCGCCTGCATCAAGCGCCAGTGCGTCTGCTACGAGGGCTTCCTCGGCCTCGATCCGCGCTGCGGTTCGTGCACGTCCAACGCGGCCTGTGAGAACGGCAACCCGTGCGACGTCGACTCGGGCGTCTGCAAATGCAAGGAGGGATTCAACGGCCCAACGTGCGGCGGGAAGCTCACGCCCTGCGCCGGTGTCAAGTGCAAGCACGGCGGGTTCCTCAACGTCGTCGGCACCAAGTGCGGCTGCCTCTGCCCCAAGTGCCCCGCCGGCTTGCCGTGCCAGACGTGCGGCGGCTCCGACAACACCGACTGCTCGACGTGCTCTGGCGTGTCTACCGAGTCGACGACGTCGGGCAGTGGTAGCAAGCCCAAGGGCGGTGGTCGCGGCACCTCCAGCGATGCTTCGACCAGCGCCCTCTCGCTCCTCGCGCTCGCGACTCTTATGGTCCTCGCCATGTAAGTATCAAGTTGATAGGAGTATGAGCTCATATCGACATAAATTTGCCATCATCAATGGCATTTTGCATTGGAACGATCGCGTGCTAGCTGGTGTGGAGCTGCAGCTGGATCGCATGCTCGAGGTTTAAGAACGCCTCCTTCTGGTGCTCCTGCGTGTTCTTGAGTCTCTCGATGAGCCGCGCCTCTTCGTTCTCCATGTCGCGCAGAATGTTTTCCGCAATGCTCTAGTATCAAGGTTAGTATCAAGAAGGTATTAACACCCGAATGACCTTTTCTTGTACTCGTCTGCGAGCTTGTCTCGTGCGTTGCGCACCAGTTGCTGCTCGTGGTTCTTGCGCGCGAGGTCTCGCTTCCGCGCGGCCTCGAGCTCGCTGCGCTTGATGGCCTCGGACTGCTGCAAGAGCCGCTTGCGCTCGGCCTCCTTCTCTTTGGCCAACTGCATGCTCAGCTGCTGCTGGCGCGCCTTCTTGTCCTGCGCTTGCTTGGCGCGCTGCTCGGTGAGCGTGAGGATCGCCGTCTCCTTGCGCTTCTGAGAGAGCACCGCCGTCTTGGCTACGACATGCGGAATGAGGACGCTGAGAGCAAACAAGATGGCGCCGTACAGTGCTCGACGAGCGCACTGCGCACGTTGGACTGCTGCCGCTCCATGTGCTCGCGCTTCATGCGCAGGTGGTCGGCGTTGCGCTTCTTCACGAGCTCGATCTCGCGCGCGCGCTTGTTGGCCTCGTCGATCTTCTTTTGCGCCTTCTTCTCCTCCATTCTGCCAGCGAGATGAGCAGATGCTGGCGGCGACAGCGGTCGTACCGGAGGTGCGCAAGGCGGTTCGCGAGCAGCTGCACATCGTCCTCGGTGCGCTTGCGCTGCATCTTGGCGTCGAGCATCTCGCTGTGGATCGCCGAGAGCGGCGGAGGCTCGTCGTCCCGCGTCGTCGGCTCGTCGTCGCCGAGCCGGTCCGCGTGCAGTGCAAACCACTGGAGAAAGACCGACTAATCAATCATGCACGATCAGGCGATATGGCCTTCCATGACATCATACCTTGGTGATGTCGCCGGTCGCGTCCGGGTCGAGCTCGTCGAGGTACCGCTCGAGGTCGCGCCGCGCCACGGTGTAGCCCATCTTGGCCAGCACGGTCGAGAGGTGCTCGGTCGCGATCGCCCTGCGCACAAGCAGCATGAGATTTCGCCGCCTCCTCCATCGACGTAGTTACTCGCGCCCGGCGCTGTAGACGGTAAAGATCGTCTCAAAGCCGACCTCGTCCAGCGCGTCGCGAAGGTTGTCGTCGGCCATCGCCATCGCCTAAATATACTGCTGCCACTGGTTTGATCGACGGCTCTATTTATACCCCGAAGAGTAGCACCGAGCTTATCGGCGAGCGATGGCTGCCGCTTGCACCAACAGGCCACCGGTATCCCAGCCCTCTTCTGCACCGCTGCAAGAGGCTGTCGAGACTCAACAGACGATGATTCGACTGCGACAAGCTGGTGATGACCGCAAGCGTCCGCAAACATCCACCATTGCGGCGAGGACCATCATCAAGACATGAGACCACACATGCTTTGGTTGTTTGTACTCGGATGATACGCGTGTCGCATCAGCAGTCGCGCCAGATTGCGTCCGAGACGCGGACGACGTCGAGGAGGCCCGCGACGTCATGCACGCGCACGATGGCCGC